CTTGGTAATTATTTAGTCCCAGAAACCTCCCTACATTTCAATAATATGCATGTTTTGCTGAACTACACCTCCACTATTTGAAATTTATCAGTGGCTCATGAACACTGAGTTTTGGATGCAAACAAATAGTACTTCACCACCGGGATGAAAAGTTGCTGCCTTCCATACAGCCATGGATTAACAATGTGCAAGCCCTGTCCTTATTTGAGACAGCAAGGTTTCAATGTGAACATTAAAAAGGGAAGTAAGAGAGAATATCTGGTGGCATTTTATCAAGACAATCCTATATACTCTTGTCTGAGGTAAATCCATTGAAATAAAAAAATTGGATTTCTTTTTTTGCCCCAGGCACTTTTTTCAAACAGAAAACTCTGACTAACCTGCATCCCCAGATAATTTTTTATTAGCTCCAAATTTTACATTAACTGGACAAAAGGGCACTCTTTATGTAACTCTGAATGGCTTGGGATATCTGTAGATCTACTTCTGTGTATATTCTAAAATGAAAAGTGCATTTGAAGTATAATTTTACTCCTCACCCCTAGAGGTCTGGCTTTGGGTTAGTTTACATGAACTAGCCATTTCTTAGTTTCTATATATGCAAACCAACACATTTTGCTTGGCTACCAAAGTAGCTTGGAACATCAAGCATTTGTCAAATGCTGGACAACTTTGCTAGAGTCTAAACTGCTTTGGGGTCTAAGTTACAGCTTGTTATATACCCTCTGGCAAATGCATGTAAACAGGCAAACAGAATTTAAATTACTACACCTTAAATATTTATTTCATGCCTGCCCCCCACATCTTTCAATACACAAATCCTGCTCATTTCCCATTACATCTATAAAACAGAAACAGTACATATACTTGTACAGAAAATATTAATCGTTAAATTGACAATGCTCCTTTATACTTACACATCACAGGCAAATGTCTGGCTAATTTCCTAGGCAACCAGTATAATAGCAAAATTCTTGGAACATTTTCTGTTGCCTACTACCAAACAGTTAAGACTCAGACACAGCAATGCCTTTTCATAGTGGATATATTTAATTACATAAGCTGTAACCTTATATCAAGCCTAGAAAACTGGAGTAGCACAGTATCTTTATAAATGCAACAAGACACCTTGCTATTTATTATTCTGATTTCATCCTGCTATTGTTCAGTGGGATCACAAAGGGAATATAGAGTAACAAGCCATCATTTTCCAGTCCTGGGTGGGAATGTCAGAATGAGCCTAGTCTCACTTAACTAACTTTTGTTTTCATTGGGACCTATGAAGGAGTATTTCGAATGGGTATTGGATTTCTTCTGAAGCCTTTAATGTCTTAAATCTGTTTATTCCACCTACACAGTGGAGACTTTTAATTATTTATATGGGAAGGTCCATGCAAGTTAATTATTTACTATTATCATGGCCATCATCTGTTACTGCTTCTTAAGATCAAAAGCAAATGTTTGCATCCTGAAATCTTTATAAATTATCTAGACAGGCAATCTCTAGGAATGTTTCACATTAGCATGGCTAAGAGGGAGTTGCAAAGGGAGGAGGAGACGCTGTGCATTCATTTGAAAATCCTCAAAGGTATTTTCCATAATTACTTTGTTTTGTATTCTAGTCCATTAGAATCTTCTTATGAGGAGTCCCTTTACACATGGAAGCTCAGTTTCTTAAGCACTAGGAATTAAAAACGTCAATGACATAGTTTAGGACAGTGTTTCCCAACCGGTGTTCCGCGGGACACTAGTGTGCCGCGAGATGTTGCCTGGTGTGCCGCGAGCGAGTCCAAAAAAGGTTGGGAAACACTGGTTTCTCTTTCAAAAAGGAAACGTGGGTTAAAGCGGCGGCGCCGCCTCCCACTCACTTTCCTGCTCTGGCTTCCCTAACAGTTTTCCGAGTTGCGTCACTGGATCCAGCCCCCTTTTCCACATGTGACACGGGGCTGGAGGGAGGGAAAGAGGGCTTTACGTCGCGCACAAAGGCAGCCTCCTAGAAGCGCTCTGGGCCGGTGCCGTTTCGCCGAAGGCGCCGGAGGACCCCCACCCTCAGCTCCTTCAGAAAGGAAGCCCCGCCCCTCGGCTCCCTACGCCGCCAGGCAGCTCAGCTGACTGACGAGGACGTTCTGCGGCGGCGCCGCACAACCACCGCAGTTGCTGGCAGCGTCCGCAGCGCAATAAGTAACAGCGCCTGGTGCTGCCAACTCTTTCTCTCTCTCTCCCGCCCCGCCCCCAAGCTCTCGCGCGCCCCGCGTCAACATCGCCGTGCGCAGCTTCCCGAGCTCGAGGCCAGCCGTTGCACGCACGCGCCGGCTCGTCATCGGCTCCGGTTGTTGCCTTTCTCCGCCGAGGTCGGTGGACCCCGAGCCTAGGCTTCCTTCCCGCACCCCGCTTTCCGAAGACCGCACACCAGTTGGGCCAGTACATATTCCCCTCCCGTGACTGGAGCGGAATAGCCCTTTCTCTTCTTCCCCAACCCTTGTCGTTGGAGGAGTCCCTCAGTCCCTCACTTTGCTGCCTCCTCCCCCCCCCCCCCAAAGCTTGGAGGTTCCCCGGCAAGGGGGAGGGAAAAAATTGAAAGTTACACTTTCGTGCGTCCCTCCCGGCGTGACGCTGCGCGCTGACGTCACGGGGCTGTAATGGTGGTGTGCCTCGAGATTTTTTTCATCAAACAAGTGTGCCTTTGCCCAAAAAAGGTTGGGAAACACTGGTTTAGGAAAGCAGCAGGAGGAAACACAGGCATCCTGATAATATCCCTTCAGCACCCGCGGAGGTGCAAGCAGAGCCTTGTTTTGCAGCATCCTGTGTAAGGTATGCTTGACAGAGTCAGACTGCTCTATTCCACTTACTTATAAAAAAATAATATTTTTGCTAAAACTCTTAGTTAGTACATGATTATTTTATTTATTGCATTTATATCCAAGTAGCTCAAAGTGGTGTAAATGGTTTTTCTTTCTCCCAATTTATCCTTACAACAACCCTCAGTTGGTCTTTAAGGTGCTACTGGAAGGAATTTTTTTTTAATTTTATTTTACTATGGCAGACCAACACGGCTACCTATCTGTAATTACAATAACCCTGTTAGACTGAGAGAATGTGACTGGCCCAAGGTCACACAGTAGTTTCATGACTGAGCAGGTATTTGAACTCAAGCTCTGGTCTGTTTATACACTTGTAAGATAAACTATGGCTGATATATGTAAACTAGCATCCAAAGCATAACACGCCTTGTATCTCTTCATATATATATATATTTAGCTGTACTCAAGTTCCAGATGCAGCCTTGCTGCTAGACAATATCAAGCTTCCTTGATGCACCAGGTAAGCATGCTCTGATGAGCACATCCCATGTGCTGAGTGAGAATGATGGGTGTGTTCCCATCTCCACCCCTTCCTGTATGAATGTATTAAGCTTTATTGCCAAAGGCTTGAGGCAGGTAACTATAATTATTTTATACTGTCCCTCCCTTTCCCTGGCAGTACAGAATGTATAATGTTCCTTAGCCTACTTCACATGGTAAAGGGCAAATGTATTTTTACTGCATATAGGGAGACCCAATATTAGGCGTTTGGTGATTCATATGGGGCCATCAGTTTCTTGGTGCATACGCAACAGGAAATTCTTCCCACCAGGAAGGATGAACTAATAATCTAGAGATTACTTGTCTTTTGCAGCAACGTTAAACTCAATCCTATTTATTATGGTTTGCGTTTTTGTGGACTACAGTCCACACCTCATCAGATAAATGAAAAACTTTTCATTTCCCTCTTTCTTCACTGTTTACAACCCCCAACATCATGTGCACCATTGCAACAAGAAAAGTGCCGGTACTCCAATACTGATTAGTGTTTGGGGCAGCAAACCAAAAACAAAAGCTGCTCGCTGCCTCAGCGTGTAACTGAGAGGAACACTTTATGCATCGATGATGTGGGCTACAGTCCACGAAAGTTTGTGGTAATAAATCTGGTAAAGTCTTTAAGGTACCACAAGACACCTCGTTGTTTTTGGCTCCGGGCTTTACGATAGCTTTCCCGGTCACCGTGTGTATACGGTGTCTGGTTTTACACAAAGGATAGGAGTTTTTATTCCGGAATGAAATAATCCGGAATAAATATTTGTCCTTTCGCAAACCTATGTACACGAGTAAAGTATCGAAAGCACTTTAGAGGGCGGGGTAATCAAGCTACGTGGACTTCTGTGTCCACACTAAGTAAACACTCTCGTTATGGCAACAAATACTCAACTGCTCCAGCGCAAACCCCCTTTCCTCGAAGACAAAGTACCTTCTGCCCCTGCTCGGGCTCAATACTGTAACTACTTTCCTTCAAATCAAATTCCGACCCAAACGACTGTCAGCCTTTAAACCAATGAAATGTGGAGCAGGCCGAGGCGAAGGAGGGGGAAAAACCCGCCCCGCCCCACTCGCCTTCTCATTGGCCAATGCGAAAGATGCGGGCGGCGGCAGTTGAAAGATTACACCGTTTAAACGGGAGGAAAGGACATCTCGGTACAGCGCATGCGCTCGCGGGCGGCAGTTTTTCCCACCCACCCCTTTTCCCGTCACTCAACCAAGCAGGCAAAAGCATGATGGGGGTTGGTTGGGGCGGGGCGAAGGGAGCTCGAGGGTGCGATGCTATTGGCTTGGACGGTTGAGAGCGAAGCGTGTTTGTGTGTGAGAGTGCGCGCGCGTGGGGTGGGGGCGCCCCTCCCTTTCGGGGCGCTGCTGCTTTGAGCCACCGAGCTTCTCGGCGGCTCCCCTTTAGTGCCTTACCCTCGAAGGGGCCGGGAGGCACCGGACGGGGCGAGCGCCGAGCTCGAGGAGGCCTGGCGAGCTGCCCCGGGTGGATGAAGCTTTGCTGAGGGAAGAGTGGAAGTCGCCCGCCCTCCTTCGGGGGTTCCCCCGAGCCCGGTAACGTGGGGGGGGCCTGCTAATGGCCGGGGGGGGACTTCACAAGGAGGGGGTTCTTTGTGGGGAAGGGCGAGGAATCCACCAACTAAGACCCGCGCGGCGGCGGTGAGGCGAAAACACGACGGAGCACCTACGGTGCTTGTTTGTGAGGAGAATACAGAGAGTCGGGGTTTTTCTTTTTTTTTTTAAGGGGAGCCATTTTGAGGAAATCCTTACGGGGTCAGGCATCGATCCGCGTGAAGCCCTTGGCTGAAAGCGGAGCTTCTTATCGATAGACAGTATATATATATTACAATCAGCGCCAGGTGTGAGGGAGTTTTCCAGCAAGCTGGCCCCAAGTACCTCCGTGATGTCTCTCGGGCTAGGTAAGAGAAGCAAGGCAACCCTCGGAACACCAGATACAGAAAAGCAGCGAAACGAGGTTCCCTCTTGTGTGGGAGAAAACTTGGGGGCTTCTGCCATCAGTTTAGGTATTTAGCTGTAGGCCCCCTTTCCCTCCCTTGTACTTTTCAGGTTTTGCCATCCCTCTCTATTGGGTGCCACTTGAGTTGCCTCCTTCAAAATACCAATTCATCTTTGCTTAAAGTTGCATACAAATATCCCAGTCTCTGTGTGGTATTTGGGGCATAAAGAGGACCTACTTCAACACCTGAACAAGAATAATTGGGCAGTGTGCCTTCTTTGGATGCACTATCCTTCAGATTGTTTCATTGCAGGAATGGAGTGTTATAGGTGGTTGTCATTTTCCCTAAATGAAGTTGCTTGTGCCTGTGTGTAAAAAAAGGATTAAATACTCTGCAACTATTTCAACAAGTGTGTTCTTATTTATATTGTGTTGTTCAGTACTGGATTAGTATTATTTTCAATGCTTTAATTCAATTTTATATGGGTAGCATTTCATCCAAGCATACAGAAATAATTGTAGGTGAACCACAGGGAGCTGAACTGACTTGCCATCTGTTCAAGAACCATAAGTAAAAAGCAGGTGTGCCCATTGCCAGTCAATGAGGCAATTATTGGACCTCATCCATATTTTGAATTTACTGGCATCCCCATAATAACCACTTGAGCCCCCTGAAAAGTTGCTTCTGAAGGGGGTAGGAATCTCCTTTGGAAATGCTCTCTGCTCCTTGACGAGGCTCTTCAGGTCCAAGGTTTAAACAACTTTGTTTTTACATATGTTTCTATCATCTAAACCAGCTTCAAATATTGCTTATGGGAATAACTTATTAGGAGATGGACTGTTAGCACATCATAATTCAATATGAAAATATCCTATTGGTTTCTTGTTTTAATTTTTTAGGCTGCCTTTCAGGATGAAGTCCTGTCTAGGAGGCTACAAATATTAAATGATAAAATAGTTTCAGTAACATAACCTCATTTAAAAATACAAATTGCAAATATCAGAAATGACAATTTACACCACATTTTGAACCAGAACAAAAATTAATACTGATCAGTAAATCTAATAATAAACCAATAAGCATGTTCAAAAAGATCATCTAGTCAACAGTCATACAAAATAAGTAAGACTTTAGCCCTTTTGGAGACCAGAATGGGGCTAACTTTTTTGGGACGGTGTATATTTGGAATTTTGAGAAAATGCCACTGGTGCCAGTCACAAAATGGATGCTATGAAGCCATGGCATAATACAAAATGGTTGGCATATCAAAAAACCCAGAAAAAGACAGGACCGCTAAGTCATGCAGAGAAACACCTTCTCCAACAGTGGGGGAAGAGAGAAGCTCTTTGCACTTCTCTGTTCAAAATAGATGGGAGGATGGTTGTGCAATCCTGGCATCCAATGAAATATGGGCATGTTTCAGGGTGTGTTTAGTGTAGGAGAGGCTCAGCCAGTGTACCTGAGCACGAAGAACAAACATGTTTTGTACTTATTGTGGATTTTTTAGTGGGTATTTACAGATACCTTTTGTGGGCACCATAGGAGAAACTGGCAGGTGTGATGTTGCCTTTGGGCATCATGTAGGTTACCTACTGCGGGGCCATGACAGAAAGCTCTAGTGCCTGCCAGTCTAATGAATCTTAATAGTAGTCCAGTTGATCTTTGGGCACAATCAGGTTCAGGTGGGGGTAATCAATCTGTCAAATAGCCCAACTTAAAGCGGTTGTCAAAGTGAACATTTTAAAATGTATTGTTTAACTTCCGTTTGCTTACTACCTACTAAACAGGTTTTCATTGAATATTATAAAATGGAGTTATGTACTAAGGCAGAGCTTTCTAAACACTGTGTCGCGACAAGTTAGTGTGCCAGCTACAGTACGTAGGTGTGTTGTGCGAACACTTCCCGCGCTCCTCCCGGGGCTGGAAAGGGATTAGTTTAACCTCTGGTATGCTAGTAAAACTGAATTACTGTGTCGCTGAATGATGCATGTCTAAAAAGTGTGTCACCAGCATGAAAAGTTTGGAAAAGTGTTCTAAGGAATACAGTATGTGACTTTAGGAACAAACTTCCCACAGTCTATGGCACAGCTTTGCTGAGGGTCCAGTCCAACTAAATACTGCTGCAAAAAACTAAAAATGTTGAGTAGTAGCTGAAGCAGAGATAGAAACGTCTTTTTCACTTTTTATGGGAATTTTTTTTTTATAAAATGTAGCTGTTTGGCAGTGTTAAAAAAACCACAAACATGTGTTGCAAGCCAAGCTTGAAATCTCCTAATTGAAATCTAAATGGGAGTCATATTGACAGTATGTATCACATTAGTTTAAAATTTAGTTATTAAACATGTATTTATTAATATTTTTTAATGATAGAGCTAGTCCTCATTACTCCTACTTACAATTATTCATTTGGTCACAATCCAACACACTGTTGACCATTCCTAAGCCTATTGAATGTAGTTGCCTTAGGTATGCTTAGCTCCATCTTTGCGCATGGTCTTTTTCTTGCTTGTCCTCACAATTCTTGGAGGGCAATTAAGGGGGTTGTTCCACTTTATAGTAATGGAACTGATGCTGAGAAATAGCATTTTGCTGTCAGGCTACATGTGAATCTGGCTGAATAATAATTAATAAAACACAATAATTCTGTCTCCTGAATATCATTATTTATGTTATGGTAGCCCATATGTTCCTGTTAGTTTTTCAATGTTGGCATTTTTAAAATGTTGGCATTATTATTCTATCCATGGTAAAGCTGGAGGGAACTTTAAATACGTGATGGCAACACCTTCTGGTGTAATTTCAAGACACTAAACAATAATGCCTCTGTGTGTTACAAGTTTGCAGGACTAATTGTCTGAGAGATACTGCATGTTCCTTTGGATGCTCTTTGTTTGAAAGTTTCAGCCTTGAATTTCTGGTTGAATTGACTTCATTAAATGATCCCTGTGTTGTACTGTTGATGTTGTCTCCCTAGTTCAAATATGCTCTGGGGACATTAATGAGCAAAGTGCTAATTTAGAATGAATTCCATGCTAGTTTAGGGCCAGATTAGGCATTATGTCAGTTGCATGAATGCAATTAATGTGCATATTTTTAATATATAAATAACAGAAGGAGTGGTGGTAAGCAGCATTTGGACCACACGGGTGGCAGTGAGTAGTTTACAAAAGTTTCAAACAGCATCAACTGATAATGACACTTTAAAACACAACAAAATGTTAGTGTGTTGTGTAGCTCTACATGAGGCCAGACTAGCAGCTATGTCACCTTTGAAGATTTTCCATACGACTATCCCCACCCAGTATTCTATGGATACTGGGCATATTCAGCCCTTATGCGACTTTTTTTATATCTCCCATTTAGTGGCTTTTCTTTTAGCAAAACTTGTACATCTGCAAACTGCAAACTTTGAGCTTTACCTGAGTCTTCTGATACCTCCCTCTTGTGCAGGGGTTTTGGCTTCAAGAAGATTCATTATTAGACCAATGTTAGTTTATTCAAATTGGTCCCCCCACAACAAGATGTTGCCGTGCATCCCTGATTGTGTGTGTGTTTCCTGAGCTTGTTCCTGAGGAGTTTGAAGAAGCAAAAGTTAGCATTGTGTGTGGGTGCTATGCTTTTAGTTATAGTGCTTTTTAGCTTAGTGCTTGGGAGGTCTTCTTGAACAATTTGGGATGGGACCTGGGGGCTCTTGGGAGGGGGGGTAATCCCAAATCAAGTGCGGGAGGGTCCACCTAATTTTGGAAGATTTCCCCATTATGCACAAGCCCACCATATCTCAAAAGGGACCCCTTTAAGGTGTGAAGGGGCAGAGCCCCTTATGGTATCCTGCTTGGGAAGTAATTATAACTGGCCAGTGATCAGCTTCTGTAATTGAAGCTTAAGGAGACAGACAGGGTGCTTGAAAGCACGTGTGGTCTTTACCGTGGCAGAAGGAGTTATCATAGAATTGTAGAGTTGGAGGTGAACCCTAAGGGTCATCTAGTCCGACCCCCTGCAATGCAGGAATCTCAACTATATGATACATGTTGACCGATGGTCATCCAACCTCTGCTTAAAGCAGCATTGACTGAACTGGTCCAAGAAGTAATGCATGCTTCTGAGAGAAGGTAGTCCTGGTTGACTTGAAGGTGATGGCTGTGCTATTACTCTTTAAGAAAGTCACACTGTACCATGAGAATTGTAACTTTTCTTGTCAAGAAGGGGATACAGTGGTACCTCGGGTTAAGAACTTAATTCGTTCTGGAGGTCTGTTCTTAACCTGAAACTGTTCTTAACCTGAAGCACCACTTTAGCTAATGGGGCCTCCTGCTGCCGGCGCTCGATTTCTGTTCTCATCCTGAAGCAAAGTTCTTAACCCGAGGTAACATTTCTGGGTTAGCGGAGTCTGTAACCTGAAGCGTTGGTAACCTGAAGTGTATGTAACCCAAGGTACCACTCACTGTATTTGCCTCTGAACAAGATGTCAGTTTTAACTGTCAAAATTCAAGGCCATGTGCTGTTACTCTGCTGCAAGCCTGTTTAGTAACCAGGTGACATGTCTGAAAGATTGGGGGGGGGGCGGGTCGGAGAAGATGAGTCTGGATCAGGTAGATTCCGTTTGATTGGTGTGGCAAATGACAGTCTCTGATTGGCTGGAGGTTCTAGTCAGTGAAGAAAGGGCAGTTAACTGTCACTGTGGAGAAATAACATCATTTGAAAAAATCAGTTGATGGAGGTTTGAGGTAAAGGCCAGCAGAGAAAGGTGGCGTTGGATAGAGGTGACGTTTGATAGCCGAAGCTTGAATATTAAACTGTTCATTCTTGGTGTGATAACTATATTTTGCTGGTGAAGATCAGAAGAAGTGAGCAGGTGTTGGGCAAAAAACACTTCTTACTAAAAAGTTTCCATAAGTTTTTGAAAGCAGGTAAAATTTATAAAGTACATGAAAGACCGAAAAATTTCCTTTATGTACAAAATATCTCTTTAATAATTTTAGTTAATGGTTCATTCTTCCTTCCGTGTTGGTACCAGTCACATTATATCCACAATGAGGTTTTAAAAGCATTCTAAGAGAATGGGTGGAAGAGGAAAGGAATCACATTGAAGATCTCTGAGTTATTGTTGCCGGGAGTTCCATAGACACTGAAAGATACAAATTAAAGAAGCACAAATATCTAAGCTTGTGTTTATAAAAAGTGGGTAATCCTTTCCTATATGGTTTTATTGCTGCTTTTGAATATTGCTGTTCTCAGTGGTGAATGTTATTGATTATATAGTTATTTTATTGTAAACTAGAGAACTGAATAGTGAGCTCATTATGATCTAGTCAATGTTTACATTCCAGATAAAGTTATAAAAATCTGAAATATTGGAGATGGATGTTCACAACATAATCTAACATCTGGCCTAGATGCCGATGTACTGTAACATTCAGCCTACCTTCATGGACGAAAATTTGGAAATGCCACTAATAAAGTACATTTAAGTCTGACTTCATTGGAAATAGCTCCGTACTGAGCATACAGGAATTTAAAAGTGCTATATTTTTCCTGGGTTGTGTACAAAATGTGAAGCATGTTTATCTTCAGTAGTGATTTTATGAGAGGTATTTAATTTTGCTTATAATGGGATTGCATAGTCATCTGTCATCTCTGATTACTAAATGTGCAGTTTCAATTTTGACATTTGAACAGGCAGTTTGGTTTTGGGAAGCACTCTACAGCAGTGTTTCCCAACCTTTTTTGGGCAAAGGCACACTTGTGTCATGAAAAAAATCTCGAGGCACACCACCATGCCAGATGGGGAAAGGTCACTTTTTACTTATGTAAAAAAAAATAATAAAAAAATAGTAACAGCATAGAAGGTAATGGTAGATGACTGTTAGGGTCTCCCCCCAAATGCAGAATTCTATTAATATCTTCCTTAGCGAGCCGCGTTAACCCCTGTAATGCTTTCTATAGAGTAAGCATAGGGGACACTGGGGGATGTGGAACCAAGGGGGCAGTGGGCCAAAAGAGTTCGGGATCTACTGCTTTAAACAGAAATAAGAGCCAGTGGGTTCTTCCTTTTTTAAAGTATCGTTTCAGCGGGGACAGCAGTCCGGATTTCCAAAAAGCGGCGCTTTTTTGCGTCTGAGCAAAGAAGAGAGAGAGGGGAAAAAGAGAGAGAGATTGATTTGTGGCTGCGCAAAGGGGGGAGGAGCCCAGGAGTAAAAGTAGGAAGGACGAAGGGAGGGGAAAGGAAAGTTAATAGAAGGAAAGGCGGGTGGGAGAGAAAGAGAAAGAAAGAGGGAAGGAAGGGGGGAAGAGAAGTGGAAAGGAGGGAGACCGAGGCGGGGGAGAAGCGTCTGGAGAGTTGCTCCGAAGTTTGGGGGGCCGCGGGGGTGGGCGCGCGTCCCAGGAGGCGGAGGCCAGCCCGGGCTGGGAGCCGCGCCGCGGCCCGGGGGCGGTAGGCGGACCGCGGCTCCTAGGATGTGGAAAGGGGACGGCGGCGCAGGGGGAGGAGACCCGCACGGCTAGGGCAGCGCGCAGGGGGAGGGGAGCGGGCCGGAGGCGGGCGAGGGGGGCCGCGATCCCGCGCGCCGCGAACATGGCCTCCTTCCCCGCGGGCCCCACCGAGCCCCCCGGCCGGGGAGGGCGGCGCGCCCCCGCCGCCGGAGGAGAGCAGAGGCAGGAGGAGGAGGACGAAGGCGCTGCCGAGGAGGCGCGCCAACTTCTGCCAACTTCGGCGCCCGCCCCGTCGCCGCAGGCTCCTCCCGGCCAAGAGCCAGAGGACGGCGGCGGAGCAGGAGGAGGAGGATCGGGTTTGGCGACGGCTGCTGTGTCCTCTCCAAGCGCGGGGCTGGCCTCCGCCGCGCCCGATCCTCCGCGCTCGCCCACTTCTCGGCGGAGCAGGTCTCGTGCGGGTGCGAGGCGCTGCTGCAGGCGGGCGACCCCGGCCGGCTGGGCCGCTTCCTGGGCTCGCTGCCGCGAGACGCCGTGCGACTCGCCCGCCTCCCTCCCACGGCACACCAGGCAACGTCTCGCGGCACAGTAGTGTGCCGCGGAACACCGGTTGGGAAACACTGCTCTACAGTATATTGGCTTCAAATCTTTTGAAAATTTTTGAAAATCTATTTTGGTTATGTTAGAGACGAAGATTTGTGATTTGAGGGCTAGAACTTTCAAGTGGGCATGATTGTTCACACATTCTTGGTTGTTTTAACAACTCTGGTATTAAAATGAACCTAGGACAAAGTGTTTCAGTATTTTGGAGTTTGCTCCCAGTTTTCTAGCTATAGTACTATATAGGGTTATGCTAGAGGACACTTATGAAATACTTGTGGGGAAAGTAAATTGGTATCTTACTGCTGACTTGTACTTACATTTTGTGGTGGAGTGAGACTAACAATATTATATCCACTTGCATAGAAGCTTTGAGTATTTTTTTTGTAATATGTTTATAATGCACATTTGTACTTATTTTTAGTTACACCCAATTCCCTACACAACCTTTTTTATTGGCTGAGATTCAAAAAATAATTAAACTTGTTCCATGAGCTTGAGCAGGACTTTAGACTTATTTTTCTTGAACAGCAGCCTCCAGTGCTATGCAACAAACTTCTTTTGAAACTGAGTGGCATTTCAAAAACATTTTGTTACTTGGCATGGGAATTAGCCATTGAAAGAGGGTCAAATAAAATATTTCACTAGGCTAGCACAAACTAGTTTCCTGGACCTAGTCTTATGAGAGCTAAAACATTGATTGTATTGTAACATTTTCTTCTTGTAACTGTTTGAATGTAACTGAATCAGCTTATTGTTTAGTGGTTTTTTTAGACTTTGTTGTTGCATGGATCACTTGAAAATTGCTGGGGGTTTCAGTGTATCACCTACTAAACTTATTTTTTCAAGAAATCAAAGCACACACAACTCATATTTTAATATTTTTTGTGATTGTCAAAACCAACATTGTGGGTGGTATTTAAGTTTTATTCAGAATAAATCTGTTGAAGTTGATGAATATGACTAAGTTAGGACCATTAATTACAATGGGCCCACTATGAGTACAAATTAGTTGAATACCACTATTTATTATGAGAATCCTGAGCCTTCTGTCAAAGCCACAAATAAAGGCACTTTTAACTGGTAAATTCTTAGGAAATATTTTGAAAATAATGAGCCTCAAGCTAAAGCTTTGTTTAGTAATTGACCCCTGATCAAAATTACCTCTATTTCTGTCAAGGGGGGAAATAATAAAGTAGAGGACCACCTAGAGTTTCTCAACTGCTTCACAATCTTTATTCATAAACTACTTGACAACCTTTGCTGTACAGTCATACCTTGGGTTACAGATGCTTCAGGTTGCGTTTTTTGGGTTGCGGACTGCCGAAACCTGGAAGTACCAGAACGGGTTACTTCCGGGTTTTGGCGGTCTCGCATGCGCAGAAGCGCCAAATCGCATCCCACGCATGCGCAGAGGCAGGTTGCGAACGTGCATCCCGCACAGATCACGTTCGCAACCCAAGCGTCCACTGTATAGTTCATAAACCAGAAATTAGCATGCCCACATGCTTGCTCCTATCTCATACATCGGGTTTGGAAATTGTATTGTGGTTTAAATAAGTCACCATTTCCTATTATGTCTGAAATATTTAATCATGGACTCATAGCTGTGATACAAAACTAGAATGTAATGGGAAAATTTAGTCTAAACAGACCACAATATAAGCACCAGAGTCAGTGTGCAGGGGGGAGAGTGTAGCATGACACTTATTCCTGGCTTAATATACAGCTCTAAATGCTGCCAAAATGATGAGCTCTTCTCTGTCACCAGTCAGCATTATATTTGTTCATTCTACTAGTAGCCGAATTGTTTTTCTGTTGATTTCTGAACCTTTTTTTTTTTTACTGTCCATTTCATGATGCACAAATATGAAAATCACCTGGGAAATGCTAAAGAGTTCTGTGTTTGTTGAGCTCTAGCTGTAAGATCAGCACTAGCAGCAGGAACACCTGGGAGTCTGGAGAGGAACATAACATAACTCCAGTACTTTGTCTCTGCTTCTACCAGCCTCATCTGGAGGACAAATGAGGAAGCCAACTATGAACCATCTGGCTTAGTTAGAAGATCCTTCTCCCTCAGAACAGTTTTAAGCCTGGTCACTACAATTTAGAACTAGCATCATGAATTAGACTTTATTGCCCTGTTAGATTTTATTTCACATGCTATGGCTATTTTAACTTTTATCATTCTGATTCTATCTGACTGTGACATGGTTCATCTGTAAAGAAAATGATTATCTTGAATAGAAGCAAAATAATCATTTCAGCAAGAATCCTAATAAATGAAATAAATGAATAATAAATAATAAATGAATCATGTGATTAAAATACCTTTTGAGTCAGTTGTAAACTCAGTTGTAGGCTGCTTTTCAGGGTAACATGTAAAGGTGAATCTAAAGCTGCATCCTTGAAAGTAAATCTAATTGAAATTGGTGGGGGGGTTTTTTCTTCAAAATAAGCACGTCGAATTCAACTAGAATTGAAACTATGTCACAAGTAAAGCAAATGATAAAACGGTATCTGTTCTGTATTTGGCATCTTGAGCTAGAACTGAAGTATGAACCAAGAAATTCTCTTAAATGATGACTTATATTTAGTTGTGAAGAAAAGGGCATGGGTGCATAGTTGTGTGTGCTAGTCACAATTATTGAGCAGTTTATGTATTTTTGTACTTGGGTATCCAACCTGAAAACAAAATATAAGATGAAAATTGACTTATAAAACAAACACCCCCTATTTGCATTATTTGTTTAAGATTGCTCAACAGAGTTACACTTCTTTTTTCATTGGCTGTGGATTGTTGTGATGATAAATACATAGTTTGAAACAATAGCATATTTTGTTCTCTTTGCAGAAATACAACAGATTCAGCCACAGATACAGCCTATCATCTTATTTCTGAACATTTAAGTGGTATCTGACAAGGAGCTTCTTTTTTGTTACTAAAGAAGACTACTGCAACAAGAACATACAATTTATTAACTCCAATTTGCTAATACACTAACTGGGACTTTGTCGTAAAGCACTTCCTCATAACCTACTGGCTGCCCTGCATGCAACATACTAGCTATTGTCTTTCCTACTCATCATGCAACTCAGTGGAAGAAAATGTTTTGTTAAACATGTGTGAAGGTCATTCATTTCATGTTCGTTACAGGTAAGCATGCTTACTAATTTTTTAAATATATACTTTTAAAAGGTTAGCAAAACAAGGCTTGCAAGTAAATTGCACATTACTTTTTCAAAAGACTTCATAGACCCTTTTTTTAGCACAGTGGTGGGGAACTTCTTTGGCTCTGTTGGTCAGATCTTTATCTGATCCCACTTCCAAGGACCAACTTAGATAGTGGGTGGGATAACCTGTCTGACAGTGATTTGGTGTCAGAGGAGTGACAGGTAGGTTGTCACTGCCAACTTGTCAAAATCTCTTGTGCATTGGTTTCCAAACACCTTACAGCCAGCTGTTTGGTGGGACCCACAACACAAGGGAGTCAGCCAATTATGTGTTCAGAAATTTGGGTAGCCTCTGAGCATGGGACAGCCAAAGTGTTTTCTCCAGTGGTTTCCACCCACAACAGCAATGTCTGTTGCACACTCAGATAGAAAATACTTGGCAATATTTTTTACTGAAAAGAGCTTTCTGTGAATCTTGTGTTGCATTCAGACCAAGTTAGTTAGGTTATCACTAACTCAATTGACTTCGGTGGGACTCAAGTACAACTAACTTGGTCAGGATCCAACCCCTTCAGTTTTAATATCTTCTGATTTTCCTTCTTGAATGAAAGATAATACATGAATCTGTTCTAAACAACAGTAGCGTTCCCTGGAACATATATTTGTTTGTTGGCGCTTCTCACAACTTGTCTGGGTATAGCAAATAGGTATTTAGGTGAGAGCCGCTTTTTTTTGCTCCTTATTCCTTCCTTGCTATGTAGTGTCTACTGTGGCAGTTCTCTTAGAGAGAGAAAATCAAGAAAGCTGCTATAGAAGTGGGTTGTGTTCCCTCTGAATAGAAAACTGAGGTTTTTTGGTGATGGTCAGTCTCAAATAACCATGCAGTAATAGCAGCAGAAATGAAGAAAGATTGCTGGCCAACCAAGTAATTATCCTTCTTTATGAAATGAACAGAATTGTTCTAGAAAGACCAATTGTATGCATCTGATTCTGTACCTCACCACATGAACCACTGGATCAAATGCTTAGAAAAGGATCAGTTATTTGCAAGCCCTATTAAAAGCAAATGAAATCTGCCTTCAATAATGAGCACATAGATTTGCTTTACTTTGTTAGAAAAGTCTGCTAAATGAATGAGGAAATACCACATGAATTGCCTCATAGGGATCTCAGTGTGCTATTTGCTGCTCAACTAGGCAGTCCTTATCCACTACACAATTATGTGCACAATGCATTACATATTCTATTTCTATTCCTTTATTGAGTGGGACTAATGCTGGCAAAATACTCTAGTGCTGTAAAATTAAGTTTCTGGATTTTGTATGACTACATAGCTCCTTTCCTTCTAGATGTATATGACCCATTTGCATTTTACTAATGTACAGTGGTACCCCGCAAGACGAACGCCTCGCAAGACGGAAAACCCGCTAGACGAAAGGGTTTTCCGTTTTGGAGGCGCTTCGCAAAACAAATTTCCCTATGGGCTTGCTTCGCAAGACGAAAGCCCATAGGGAAATCTCCGGGACAGCGGGGAAGCGCAGCGCGTCTTCCCCACTGTCCTCGGACCTCCTCCGAAGCCTGGCGGGGGGGGGGCGGAGGGAAATAAAGGGGAAAAAAATTTATTCCCCCACCGCCAGGCGTGGGGCTGGGGCGGGGGAAGCCCGAGCTTCCCCCTCCCCCAGAACGGGACCCAGAGCCATTCCGAAGCTGCGCGCAGCTTTGGCATCGCTCTGGGAGCTTGCGGGGCTGGAGGAGGAGGAAGCCCCAGCCTCCAAACCATGTCGGGAGACAGCGGGATGGCGCGCTGTGCCTCTCCTGCTGTCCCCCGAGTTTGCGGGGCTGGCGACGGGGAGGAGCAGGCTTCTCCCCCCGCCAGCCTTCTAGCCAAGTCAGGGGACAGCGGGAAGGGCGCGCTGCGCCTCTCCCGTTGTCCCCCGAGTTTGCGGGGCTGGTGACGGGGAGGAGCAGGCTTCTCCCCCCCCGCCAGCCTTCTAGCCAAGTCGGGGGACAGCGGGATGGCGCGCTGCGCCTCTCCCGCTGTCCCCCGAGTTTGCGGGGCTGGCAACGGGGAGGAGCAGGCTTCTCCCCCCCGCCAGCCTTCTAGCCAAGTCGGGGGACAGCGGGAAGGGCGCGCTGCGCCTCTCCCGTTGTCCCCCGAGTTTGCGGGGCTGGCGACGGGGAGGAGCAGGCTTCTCCCCCCCGCCAGCCTTCTAGCCAAGTCGGGGGACAACGGGAATGGCGCGCTGCGTTTCTCCGCTGTCCCGGACGGCTTTCAAAAACCTGCCTTCAAAAGCCGTCCGGGACAGCGGAGAAACGCGCTGCCTTTCTCCGCTCTCCCGGGAAGGCAGGCAGGGGGGAGCAAAGACTTTTGCCCCCCGCCGGCCTTCAGAAGAGGTCCAGGACCTCTTCTGAAGGCTGGCGGGGGGCAAAAGTCTTTGTCCCCCCTGCCTGCCTTCCCAGGGGCTTTTAAATCGCCCCGGACAGGGAGAAGTCCTCCGCTGTCCCGGGCGATTTTGAAATGCCACCCGCCAGCATTTTAAGATCGCCCCGGACAGCGGAGAAGTCCTCCGCTGTCCCGGGGTTTTTTAAAATGCTGGGGGTGGGAAGAAAAGCCCTTGTCCCCCCCCCCAGCCTTCAGAAGAGGTCGGGGGACAGACTGTCCCCGGACCTGGTCTGAAGGTGGTTTCCCTAGGAACGCATTAATTGATTTTCAATGCATTCCTATGGGAAACCGTGCATCGCAAGACGAAAAACTCGCAAGACGAAGAAACTTGCGAATTAATTTCGTCTTGCGAGGTACCACTGTATTACTTTTTTATTCTCCATACATAAAATGAAAAACAGATATAGCTCCTGTAGCAACAAGCAGTATATCAGAAACTCTGAACTCTGAGTAAATGTAGGTTTAGCTGCATGTGATGAAAAGCAAGTGTCTAAAGACAAGTCCAAAGATAGAAGTTTCTTTTTACTAAGTTCAGTAAAAATATGCATATGTTTATCAAGACATGACATTAGGCACCTATATTTGGTAAAAACTTTATTAACAGAGGAGGAAAAAATGATGGGAAAGACACATAAATGGGAATCTTTTAAAATCTTTTAGAAAACTGAAAAGTGTTTTCTCTTTAAAGGTCAGGAGAAGAAAAATAGAAATGTGAAAGGAATACAGTAGACACTTGGAGAAGCTTTTGGTTTGACAGAGATAATGGAAAAAATAGAAAGTGCAAATAGCTTGCACTAATTATTTTCCAACATGTTTAAAATCTGTACGTTTTTGCTCATCGAGCTTATGCACCTCCGCATGTGGGTAGATGCAAACATTATCTTTTGGACATAATGACAGTGCAGGGATAGAAAGTGCAAAGCATTCTCATATACTTCTATTGCATCTTAAACAGCAAATATGGCCCAGTTTCTTGGTAGCTTAATATAGAGGTGGACAGAAAGTTGACCTCTATCTTCTAGTAGATCTCTGCGTGTTTTCCAGTTGATCAGCAGAGATTTCTAACTCCTGATTATTTATCAACTGCAACACTAAAATGACACACACACCCCATTACCCTGTTGAAATTAACAAAGCTGGAGCAGCTGAGGTTATCAAGAATGGGGTTTTCTTTGGAAGAACTGTGAGCTCAGCTCTGGTCTCAGAAATAAATCCCTGGGGTCAGGATTCCTTAGTTCTAAACACATGCTTTTGCACATGGCTCTGGTTGGCTCTTGGAGATTATGTAAAAAATGAAGTATATCCTGCAAGCCTGAAGTTTGCTCATCCCTGACTTAAGATGCATGCATGGTAGTGGTTGGGAAACAAAGACACTTGCTAGCATTCACATTCTTTCCCACAGTTGCTTAAAATAATTTAGGACTAAATTATTACTCAGAAGTACCAGCTCCCTGCATTTAAAAGAATGAAGGGGGGGAAAGCATTTTATAAGAATTTAGAAGCTTAAAAAAGAAAAGATGGAGACATTCTAAAAGTAATGGAGGCAAAATAGGCAATGTGTTGTGATTTATGAGACCAAAATTGAAAATTATATTTGAGAAACATTTTGTTCAGAGAAGAATGATTCTGTTGATTATATGTAGAACCAAAAACATTAAGATTAAGCAGCAGTATGTTGGAAATACTTACACAGAATCTAAAAAACTGTCATGTGGTAAGCCAGGACATTATTTATCTTGAAATGTACAAACCAGGAGAGTTATCTTTTTTCCAATCAGCATCCTTAACAATATATCCTTTTATTGAGTACTGGAAGAGATAGTGAAAAAATGAAACTGCTTTTCTTGTGACTATTTGATGAATTCCTAAAAATGTATATATTGCTCCCTCCCACTTGATTTTTTTTTTTTTTTTTGCATAATAAGCATTTTAAAAAAACAAAACATTTTATAAGGTTTTAGAAACAGGCATAGTGCAGGTGTAAAGCATTTGCTCAGCTGCTAATGCTGTTCCTGTAATTAAAAGCAAGTTGTATCTTACCTCAGTTAAGGCCCAGCTTTTAGATCCAATGAGATATCTGTAAATAGCTTTTCTTCCCAAAGCTGCTTTGATCTCCAGTATGGCATACCAAAAAATTGCCTTCGCACAATTGAACTGGAGTTATTTGCTGTTATCGCTTTGTAACAGTAAACACCTCATCTCTGCACCCCTGCAAGCTCTGCTCTTGAGTCATAAAAATACTTCCAGCATTGTGTCCATCTATCCTTAAGCCATTTTAGGCATATAATAATTTTCATAAAATTCTGCTTCATTTGACTTTGTGCTTTAAAATCTTTATTAAAAATCAAAATCTACCCATTACTTAAAATGAAAATTCAAGAAAGGATAACCATAAATCTATCATGCTAAGTGATAGGAAAACCTCTACATGTTGATGAGCCCTATAATTTCTAAATGTCAAGTTAATTGAATGTGACATTCAACATGAAGTGCCCGGAGAGAACCTCTTTGGAGGGGATAGGATTAGGTAAGATTACCCAATAGCGTGTCTTAATTCTTTTGTTGTGGTGGTGTTACATACTGTTGTAGTCAATTTTGTTTTTATTCAAGTTATGTTGGCTAGACATCATTGTAACAAAATGAAAGAAGTTGGCTTTTAGTTCTGTTTAAGATATTTTGGCAAGTTTCCAAATCTATGGTATGGCTGGCCAACATGAGACACTAGACTTACAAACGAAATATAAGATTTATTTTGTACGATTCCTGACTAATAGGCGTACACTATTTTTTTTAACAAAAGCTAAGAATGTCTATCATATCCTTGTGTTTAGGCTGCGGAGTGTCAAAGGCTAAGAGGTACAGTATACTTTTGGTAGTTTCTTATTACATATCGTCTGTGGTGCATTAATTCTGCAGTTGTTTTGACTAGAAATTTTAAAAGGTCCTGTTGCATGATATTGAAGAAATATATGTTATTTGGTATATACAAAGTTGGGGTTTATGTTGCCAGTTGACAACCTATATAGCGTTTGGATGGTATTTAAAATAATTGCACTATTTATTAACGCAGTCAGGTTCTGTACCGTACTAACTGCTTATGTGACTTCATGCTCCAGTTTCTCTAGTGTGGGTAAAATGCTGCATATCACTTTTAAAATGCTTTTTTGTGTGTTCTGTGTATTTCTGTAGTCCTAACTGCTGGACTATATGCTTCATAATGTTAACAGTCATCTTGTGAATATACGGGAAGAAATGAACTAATTTGTTCCTCATGATATTTTGGATAGTAAACTGATTCACTGTTTCCTAGAGGATAGTTTTGTTATGTGGATTTACAGCTGGTTGGAATGATATATTCAAAGAGTGCGTATCAGTAATTCCTCATCAATCTGGTTTCAAGTGGGGTGCAGCAAGTCCTTGTTTTAGGCCTGGAATTCTTCACACTTTTATGTGTGACTTAGACGAAAAGGTGTATTAACTAGTTTTCAGATTTGAGGATGACAGAAAACTGGGAAGGATAGCTGACTCCTCAGAATACAGTAGTACACCTAAAACGTTCTTGATGGAATGGAAAACTGAATGAAACATACAAAATCAAATTCCACCAAGGTATATGCAAAGTTCTGCTGTGGGGTGGGAAGCCAAATGCATGTGTAAAGAACAGAGGATTCCTGGCTTGGCAGAAAAACGTGAAAAGGATCTCTGGATTATAGTCAATCACACATTGAACATCTGGATGCTGTAAACAAATTGCAATGGGTTCAGTGGACAACTACAAATATGGTCAGGGGTGTGGAAAGCAAGTCCTCTAAAGAAAAAAACAACTGAGGGTGTTTAGCCTGAAGAGAAGAATATTTGGGCTTGGGGAGACACATGATAGCATTGTTCAAATACCTGAGGGGCAGTTGCATAAGATGAGGTAGGGCTGGATCTAATGGACTAATCTAATGGAAGGTAGATTTCAGTTGAACATTATCAGAGCAGTTCAGCATTGGAACAAATTACCTCGATGGATGGTGAGCTTTAGCTGTAGTTTTTCAAGCAGAACATATATTGGGGGTGCTCTTACTCAGGATTTCTTGTATTGAGCAAGGGGATTGACTAGATAGTCTGTAAGGCCGCCCCCAGCTGCCTCTGTGATTCTAACATGGGCTTCAAGTAAAGCCTGTACTGCAAGGAACTTGGTTTTTAGTCTTCTTGCCTGTTTTCTAGTCGTTATTATATGTAATTACATCTTGCTCCCCACCTTTTTCCTTTTTCCTCTGTGATAATATGCTTAGTGTTCTGACTTGGTATTAAGTATTGGCTTTAACCCACTTAACAGGCCGAGCTCTTTAGAAGCCAGAGAAAGAGGGATGGAAGATTTCCATGGTCTGTCTTTCCAGGCTTCTCCCAAATAGTTCAGGCAGGGAATGACGAAGGAATTCCTGCTGGCTGAATTGTACCCAAGAGAACTGCAGTCCAACTGGCACGAATAACTCGTTCTTTCTCCCTCCTGTAAAGATTGAATCCAAGAATATTTATGTGTGAAAGTTGGCTGGGTAAGAGCTGAGAACCTAAACATTATTGAACACCAGAATGACACATTAGGGGCCTGAGTGCAAGGATTATGCTTTCTAAATGAAAAGACCCTTGTTGCGTTGTTGTTGTTGTTTTTTAAAAAATCCTATAAATACTCTGCATGTTAATACCATATCACCTAACTTGTTAACTTGCCTGTTCTTGAAATCCGGGCCAGAATCTTGATTTTGAAGCGATCATGGAACCAGTTCTAATACAGCATCAGTATTGCTATCTATGCATATCTTCCATATGTGTTCCCCCCACCCCAAATAAATAAAAACAGGGTAACTGTCAGCACTCTTTCAGAGAAGATGGGAGGCAGTACATCTGATTTTAAGAGCTTGCATAGGTGGCAAAACATGCACTCACGTTTTTTATTGTAAAAGCCCAACACTGCAACCAGGAATCTGGAATTAAATACATAGATGGTTTATTTTGGTGGTACAGTTAATTTTTAATTTAAATCACATAGCCACTTGAGATTCATCAGCTAAGAGATTCATGATCTTCTTTCCACTTTCCATGTTTCTGTGTTGAAGTCGCAACATAACGGAGCAATTCAAAGCATGCAACACAGCAGTCTAGTAAGGTCCAAACCAGACAGAACAGGTGGTGGCAGCAGCAGGGGGTAGGATATCAGTGATTTAGGTCACCCACAGTTCTTGTTTAGCTGTCCCATGGGGCTGTGTTGAAAAGTGGGACTGTGGTGCTCAGGAAGAGGGGATTTAACCCTTTCAACCCTTTCCATACTCTTTCCCCAATATAAATCATCTCATTTATTCCATTGGGTGGAGAGGGGTGGGGGAGAGAACTTCTTCCACAACTAGGTATACGTAGTGTACAGTCAAGACATACCCAAATAGACATTATATACCAGGGGCCTTACAAATGCATGAACTGCAACTTTTTTTTCTGCACTACAGTTTTGTACTCTAATTATGCTTACCACTGTAATCTAAAACCTGTTGTGCTTGATTAAGGTCTTTTTGGTAGCTTAAAACATGAAGCAGTGTCTGCTGCTTATGCAGGACAGGCACAGAGATATTCAACCATCAGTCTAGTCATTGAAATGAAATGTAGCCTTGAAAATAACCATTACAGTGGTACCTCGGGTTAAGTACTTAATTTGTTCCGGAGATCCGTTCTTAACCTGAAACTGTTCTTAACCTGAAGCACCACTTTAGCTAATGGGGCCTCCTGCTGCTGCCGCGCCGCCGGAGCATGATTTCTGTTCTCATCCTGAAGCAAAGTTCTTAACCCAAGATACTATTTCTGGGTTAGCAGAGTCTGTAACCTGAAGTGTATGTAACCTGAAGCGTATATAACCTGAGGTACCACTGTACTGGGTTGGAAATCAACCCTTGCCTCTGTTGTGTGAAATGGGCTGCACTATAAGGTCCTTAACTGGGAAGCTAGTAAATAAGTCATATTTCTGGCTGCATGTGCTGAAAGAAGCTCCTCCAGGTAAATAGGTGTGGATACTTAACCTCTTCTTTCAGGCTATTGGTGAGCTGCAAAATGACTAATGATGTGTTGGTGGGCTACCAAACATGTTTATTAAGTGTATGTGGTGCTTAGGATTGCTGCTGCAACCACACCCTCTGCTTTGTATATAATGTACTGTATATGTAATAAAGGGCATCAGCTGTTCTAACATAATTGGAACTTAATTTTAATTTTGCAAAATCATATGAGTGCTTAAGTGTGCACTTGAACTAAGCATATTTTATCTATGTTTCAGTAAAAGTGCCTAGCAAGGGATTTTATGTGGGTTTTAGGTAGGTCTTAATGACAGCTGCGGGGAATAGCAGTATATTGGAACTCATGGCGTCTTGCATTCCATCTCTGCAGAATGGAAGCTTCTTGCCTGGAGCTTGCCTTGGAAGGGGAGCGGTTGTGTAAAGCAGGGGACTGTCGAGCTGGTGTCTCTTTCTTTGAAGCAGCAGTTCAGGTTGGAACAGAAGACTTGAAAACCCTCAGTGCAATTTACAGCCAGCTGGGCAATGCCTATTTCTACTTGCATGAATACACAAAAGCTTTGGAGTATCACCACCATGATTTAACCCTTGCAAGGTAACTTTAAATTTTGATTCCTTCAGGATCCTCTAGATAGCAATTACTTTTTCTGTTTGTGAATAAACTTTGTTCAGTGAAATTGACCAGATATACTTGACCATATATTGAACACATGATAATGGAATGTTGCTCGGTATAATTCTGTCAACAGAAATTTCTTAGGCTAATTTCTGCTAATTATGTGATGAAATATGCTAATAGGATTTCATGAGAGCAGCCACAGATGTGTCCAGGGTATTATATGCATTGATCACTAATACACACTTAATTTGACTTGGGTCTTAAGTTGTATTAGTTGTGTATAACTAATCTTCCTTCTGCCACCTGCATATCTGAAAATACAATCTTAGAAAGCATTGTGTAAAATATGTACTGGAAATTAGTTTTTTCAAAAAGGGTTTCCTGACACTAATATTGTGGTGGTGGTGTTAATTAATCTTCATTAAAGTTTAAAACACACACTGTTTTACTCTCAAAACAATATTATACACTTCAAAGAAACAAACTGACAGAGCATAAGATTGGCAGCCAGTAAAGTACTACATAAAGAAAAAAATATATATAAATGCAGTTTATACCATATCCAAAACATATCCATGAGGCACGTAAGTTTGTTATTCATTCTTCTCATTTTTAAAAATATTCATTCATTGTTCTAAGTCCAGATCCCTTAGTGAACATCAAGAGCTGCAGATGATTTGGGATAAACGAAGGGGGGTCTCATAACAAGACCTGAGCTGGCACGGGCATGTTAGCTCCCAGCAGGACTGAGGCTAGTTGCCTCAGCATTCTTTCTTCTTATTTTTGCAAACATTGTATAGACTGGCGGTGCCCAGCTGGGCACGTAGATGGTCACATATTCTCATTTTTTTTTACTTTTACTTTAAGAATGTATTTTTCTACAATAAAATGGTGCTTATTCTCAAGTAAATGTGTTTAGCATGAGGACAGCAGAAGCTTTGGTTTGATTTTTGCGCTAATGTAGTAGAAATGTAGAAGCAGTGGTAAAGCATAGAGTGGTGGCAGGGAGTTGGGGAAAAGAGAAGTGTTGTACACTTCAAAATTGAAGTAATACACATAGCTTTCTAAATTCACCCCCCCCCCCGTAAGATCATTAAATTCAGGGTATAAAATTACCTATCTGCACCGAGTTGTAATTGAATTCTAAATTATAGTACATTTACTGTGCAATACTATGCACATGGCCAAGTCCTATTGTTTTCAGTAGTTCTTAACGTACTAGTGAGAGCATTTTGAATTGGAGCCATAGCATTGTAGCAGTTTGACCAATGTTAAAATATCTCCAAGCAGTCTTTGCTAAGCCATTAGCTGGAATTAATGTGATCACAGGTTGTCTAAAATACACAAATAAGGCTTAATACTGGGTAAACATATTTAGGATGGGACTCAAGTGTGTTCAAATTGTAACAAACATGTGGTAACTAATGTAGATATTTAATAGGAAAATATTTCTGTTTAAGGTAGGTTGAAGTCCACATACGTTATAAAAGTAGTAGAAATGAGTTCATATTTCTTTTGATTTTCAGGACCATTGGGGACCAGTTAGGCGAAGCTAAAGCAAGTGGAAACTTGGGAAATACCTTAAAGGTCCTTGGAAATTATGAAGAAGCAATTGTCCGCTGTCAGAGGCACCTCGACATTTCTAGAGAGCTAAGTGACAAGGTAAAAACACTTGCTATATTTAGCACTGTTGGGGGGGGGCGGAGACAGGAAGTGTTCTTTTAAACAAGGTTATAGCTAAAGATTTATTTGGTTCAAGTGATTTCAGTTTTGTTCAGTTCCCCATTCTCTTTATACCACTGTTTGCCCCTCCTGCTCCATTGGGAGTTTCAGCCCACAAAATCGGGAGGATACCACATTTACTGTCTCTGTCCTAATAATACATTTGCTGTGTAGAGAACAAAAGAGCACCTCATTCTAGCTCTCTATAACCTTTATGGAAATCTGAGTACCAATCCAGACTGGTCTTAAACACCATTCACCATTTTGCTTTTCTTAACCTCTCCTCGTGCCATTCGTCTTTGTTAAAAGCAAATAGGTGTGGGAATCTGCCAGTTGCATGAACCATGGGAAATCGTTCATAACCGAGTGCTTGGTAGCACCTGCACATTCCTGAGAACTTGTTTTGATAGTCTAAAAAGAAAGTTTTGTGCCTACCGATCCAGGTAGCATATGTTTGGATAATTAAAAGATGTCTCTGTGGAGTTCCTGCAGTCTGCAGATGTGGCACCTGATAAAACATATTTGCAAATATAGTGAGCCTTCTTGAGGAATGCTGTGGTGAAATGGCTCATCAGAATTGCAGGAAAGGAATGATTGTTTAGTATAAATGGGAAGACATCCATTGTTGAATAGTTGAGAAATGTTCTTTTATATGTCTGGCTGAAAGCATTCATAAGGCAGTAAGTTTGAAATTCATTTCCAGCCTTTTCTTCTTTAGGTTGGAGAAGCAAGAGCACTTTATAACCTTGGAAATGTATATCACTCCAAGGGTAAAAGTGTAGCCTGTGCAGGTACCCATGATCCAGGAGAATTTCCAGATGATGTTAAAGCTGCATTGCGGAAAGCTGCAGATTATTATGAGTAAGTAACAAAGGGAGCGGGAGAACTATTCTTGGAAGCGGAGTTGATGTAGCTTAAAATAGTATTTATATCCTTTTAAAATGTGCTTTCAAAACTGTGTTTCTAATTCCCCTTCTCTATATAATAAGCTCTTTTTGTTTGAAAATTTGTTAAAGTCCAAACACAAAAATAAATTTCAAAAATAGAACATATGAAAGATTCAGATGAAACCTTTCTCTCCAGTTGCATCAGCTTAATTCTGGCCAATAAAAATGCACTTGCTGATGAATTTCTAAGGAGGGAAATGTCAACAGTTATAGAGTAACTGTCATAAAAGCTGTTTATGTGCCTTTCCAAAATGAAATTAATTCACAGAGAGCACAGTGTAGGACACACTTTCAGTTTATCATAGCAGTCACAATGGTATGTACTGTTTCGTTCACGATTTTATTAGTTACCAAACTTAGTCCTGCATTGTACCTGGAACAGTACCAGAAGCCAATGAAGGCTTGTCAAGTCAAAACTATATGGGTTGTTGCTTCTTAATAATCTGCAAGGGCTATCACACATTGAATGCATTTCACTTTGAGGTTGTTTCACTGAATTTGGAAGAAAATATATATACAGTCATACCTCGGGTTAAATATGCTACAGGCTGAGCGTTTAAGGTTACACTCTGTGGCGACCTGGAAGCAAAGGAACGCGTTACTTTCGGGTTTCACTGCTCGCGCAGACGCTCAAAATGACATCATGTGCGGAAGCGGCGAAACGCAGCACGCGCAGTCGCGTGTTATGTTCTACTCGGGATGCGAACGGGGCTCCAGAATGGATCCCGTTTGCATCCAGGGGTACCACTGTACAGCCTTTATGGAAAAGTGCTGCATGTCACTCCCATTTGAACTCCATCAGTACTTTCCTATCCCAAGTCATGAGATCTGCTGACCACTGGTTTCAACAGTATTTGGCTTCAGTCTGGTGACACACATCCCATTTCAAACCATGAACATATATTTATGAAGGAGGAAAATGAAAAAAAATATTGTGTAGGAACTTTTAACAGTACCCAAAGAGAAGCAAGTTTGCTTTCATTTTGTCTATGCTCTTCCACGTTTTTATCAAAAATGTACATTTCCATGAGCTGATAATGAACCAGGTTGTAATGTGAAAAATAATAATTATAAAACAATAGAGTTAAAGAGACCTTGTTGTTCTCATCAAAAACGCCTTCCACTTAATCTTTGGTGTGTGTACCACCCTACTTTTACAAGCCTGATTCATATAAATGTTTTTTGCATGGAAAAGCCACTAATAACTGATGGCTTCCTCTGCTCATCTCCCTATTTTTTCTGAATATCGCAATGCAGAGAGGTGGAAAATGGGATTCTGTTTTGGTGAATTTCTGCTCTTCAACAAACTGACCACACGTTTGTAAGCCTCCAAAATCTTTCTTTAGGCACAGGTGTCAACTATTTTGCACAGGGTTTTGTTTCTAGCTCGAGCGCACAAAAGCCTTCCTTGCCCTGTTATGCCCTCTTCTAGGTCCACAGGTACCCACATGTTGGCAGTCGCACACCTGTTGAACACGTGCAAAGTGGTCACTGCCTATATATGCAACAGCTCTTCAAGGGGAGAATGACAATAGGTTGAGTTAGACCCCTCTTCCTATCTCTGGAAGGCAATAAAAGGACAGCTTTGGATCAGGGCTCTTGTGAGGGTGAAAGCATTAAACCACCTAATATTGATGGCTTCTAGCAAAAGTTATTAATGTATTGTGGTCATCGTGTCAGTTCCATGAATAGGAAGAACAGCCACCTTCATGGCTGCTAATTATTATGCATTTCTAACATAAACCTTTTAATTGTTTTTATTTTGTTTCCCTGTTAAATAGGGAGAACTTGACATTAGTGACAGAGCTGGGCGATAGAGCAGCCCAGGGACGTGCCTATGGAAACCTGGGGAATACTCATTATCTTCTGGGCAACTTCAGGAGTGCTGTTACTGCCCATGAACAGGTACAAGAGAGTGCTGTGTTCACGCAAAACACTAAGCCATGGTTTGTTTCAGCAAACCAGAAGTCATCCTGCAGAGCCGTGACTTGTTTCTCCCAAGCTTGGTTTGTTTTCTGACTGCTCTTGCTTTGCTGTATAGATTGGTGAGCATCTGGGGTTGTATGGCCAAATACTTTTTGGTTCAGACATAATGCCACACAATAGTCTATATAAGTCTATAAGCCAAGAACAAACCATGGCTTTATTGCCAGAAAACAAACAATTGTTAGTCAACTGGGCTGGGTTCAGACAATCCACAGTTTGGCTGAAGAAACCTTGGCTTGGTGTTATGTGCATGGCATGCCAGAATATAGTGATAGTTTCCAGCATGATGTATTCTGCACCTGCCATTTAAAAAGCAGGTTTTTATTATTGCTACTATTACTATTATTATCATCTGTTAACTCCTAGTGATTAAAGATAGTTTATTCAGGATTCCTCTTTACAAAGAATCTGTAACAATGTATGTTCTGCAGAAATAGCTGAATTTTTTATTAAAAGAAACCCACAGTAAGCATAGCTGTCAACGTTTCCCTTTTTAAAGGGAAATTCCCTTATTCCGAATAGGATTCCTCGCAAGAAAAGGGAAAAGTTGACAGCTATGACATTAAGGTTTATTTGAAATCAGTAACCTGGGATTCTAAAATTTTGTGCTACATATTAAATTCCGTCCTTTTACAGTTCACAACTACTTACTGGATATCAGTATGAACCATTACAAACAGCAGACTTGAGAATTTAAAAGTTGTTTTACTTTGAATTTTTCAGGAAAGAGTTACTGTTCCTTCTTTCAGGACACAGTAGTGGGCATATGGGTTCCTAACTATTCCAGAGGAGGTAGTTGTCTATCAGAAATTCACAGTATTTGACAACAGAACCTTTCTTTTTCAGCGCCTTTTAATTGCAAAAGAATTTGGTGATAGAGCTGCTGAAAGAAGAGCCTACAGCAATCTTGGAAATGCTTATATTTTCCTTGGAGAATTTGAAACTGCTGCCGAATACTACAAGTTAGTCAATGTATTGTTTAATACCTAACCACAGTATTATTTTCATAAGTTTTCCAATCCTTCTAGTTTTCATTATAAATTTATAACCCTTCCTTCAGATTTTAGCCTATCTTGTAGGTAGGTTAGACTCAGATATAACTTGCCCTGGACCACCCAGAGAATATTATATTTGTGTGAGCCTGGATTTCCTATTTCTAACTCCAAATCTGAAGCTACTTTCAGATTTAGATGTTTTATTTGAATATTGATTGGTTGTGTTCTCTTTCCTGAGTTTAGTTAAGATCTTTTCAAAAGGTCCGTATTGGCAGTCCCCCCTTGAAACTAAGACCCTCAAAATCAGTTTTTATTAGAACATATACAGTGGTGCCCCGCAAGACAAACGCCTCGCAAGACGGAAAACCCGCTAGACGAAAGGGTTTTCCGTTTTGGAGGCGCTTCGCAAAACGAATTTCCCTATGGGGTTGCTTCGCAAGACGAAAAAATCTTGCGCGTCCCCGCGGTTTTTTTCCGCTTTCCCCCCTTTTCCTAAGCCGCTAAGCCGCCTATCAGCTGTTCCGCTGATAACCCGCTTAACAGCTGATCGCGAAAAGCCGCTAGACCGCTGTAGCGCTAATCCGCTAAGCTGTCAATGGGCTTGCTTCGCAAGACGAAAAAACCGCTAGACGAAGAGAATCGCGGAACGGATTCTTTTCGTCTTGCGAGGCACCACTGTAAACAGTCTGTGCCACTGTGAGAACAGAGTGGTGGACAAGATGGGCCATTGGCTTGATTCAGCAAGCTTTTTTTACATTTTTTAATGCTCTAAACTATCTTAACTCACCTAAGGATCTAACAAACGACAGCTGTTTTAGAATATCATTTTAGGAAAATACCAATATTTTGGGAATGGTCAATGGTAGAACATCTGCTTGTGTGTGCAGAAGGTCCAAGGTTTAATGCCTAGCATTTCCCATTAAGACTGGGAATGTCCTTTGCCTGGAACCTTGGAAGAGCTGCTGCCATTCACTGTAGACAAGCCCTGAGCCACATGGACCAATGGTCTGACTTCCTATGGTTATTTGTTCTTACCCTATGGCTTTAGACTGCAGCACTGGTTCTGTGGAAAATGTACCCCGTTATTTGACTGACCTGTTTTTTCTGCAGAGTTTATACAAAATCCTTAGATCTAGCTGTTGATGGGAAACCTAATTGGTCTGAACTGCAAAGTAGGGTGACCCTGTTAGCAGTGGTGATATTTGCTTTGGCAGCTTCTAAAGTTTGAGCCAGTTTTCTGCCCTCTCAGTAGCACGATAAATAAATTATATTGTTTTGTTGAAGTTATTACTATTTTATTTATTTCTTTGTTGTGACTCCTAGTCTAAACAATAGAGATTGATTGATAAAGACCCATTGTATGTTTGTTTATGGATATATACTATTTGTCTAAGGAAAAAGACTGTTTTGGAAATGGGGAGACAATTAGCTTTGTATAGGATTATATTTGTATATTAAACTTTGAGAGCCACTTGAACTATGTGCAGATACATTCTTGTTAGTCATGTAAGCGAAGATTATTTCTAGCTGTTTGTACTTTTAGGAAAACACTGCAGCTCGCCAGGCAGCTTACAGACCGGGCTGTAGAAGCACAGGCTTGCTACAGCCTTGGGAATACATATACTTTACTTCAAGACTATGAAAAGGCCATCGATTATCATCTGAAACACTTGGCAATTGCTGAAGAACTGAATGATAGGTAAGGCTTTTAAAAGTCCACTGTTCATTAACAAGAGAGAGATCTTTTTGAGGGTATAAAATTAAGTTCCTATAGAATAATGGTCCTATTCAAATAGACAAAGGTCTAAAGAACTACACTATGCATGCCTAAGAACCTGCCCCTGCCCCTTGGGATTTTCCCCTCCACCCTTTTGAACTGTAGGTGACCATGCCATATCATAAACTCTTTTGAAAATTCCCTTCAGTTTTGTGCAGTGACTTGTCCTTTGATCTGCTACTTTAGAAACAAAAGCCTGGGTTCAATATCTAAATACAACTCTGGAAACTTCAATAAGCACTAATTATTTTTAAAAGTTGTGAGATTTGCATTGGGATTAGCCAGCTTTCTGTCACTAAGCTTTGTGTTATGTAGCTTTAGGGCTTTTAATTGAAATTGTGCAATAATGAGATTTTGTATATTCAAATTGAATATAAACTGTTACTGAGAACCAATTCATTTAAGTATTACTTTAATTGAGCAGCTTGTGGAAGTATGCATGTTCATACTTCTGATTCTCTACAGTTAACATATGAAGCAAAGAGAAATGGATCCCCTCTGCAGAGACCATAAAGTAATGCATTTGTTGACTGATGGTGTTAAGTGTGTTGTTGCCAGTAAATAAAACAAAAATAAAAGCTAGTTAGCTTTGTTCAGTAGCATTACTAAGAGCGTGTAAACAGGACTTCCTCTCAGGAAGGGAAGGAATCACAGAACTGTAGAGTTGGAAGGGACCCTGAGGGTCATCTAGTCCAACCCCCTGCAATGCACAGAATCTCAACACATTGTCCTCCTATTTGAACCTATACTGGATGCTGCTTAGCTTTACAAATGTGCCAGCAGTTTCAGTGCTGCACCACTAGGAGGACTAGTTGATTCAACAGCCACTGTCCATTGTTCTCTCCCCATTCCTAGGGGGCTAACTAAATTTGAGCCACACCTCCTGACTTCACTGACTACTACAGTAGCTGGAAGAAAGCTAGGCATGTAAATTTGTAGCAACCTAGTGAGCTAGAGGGAGCCCCAGCTGACAAAGCATCAAGGTGAGTTCAGCAGATGTGCAGGTTTAGCAGCAGGGCAAGGAGGACAGGGCACACAACTCTCTGCCCCTCCTTTCCTTTAACTAAAGTAAACCTGAACTCTCAATAAAAGTAACCCCTGCAACTGGAATGTCAGCAGGGGTGTGGGGGCTTTCCAGTGTTTTACACTGTCTTGTCACATGTACAGCTATCTCCCTTTTGGGCAAAAGTCACGGGTGTGTCCAAAGTGCAACGAGCTTCTGGTTCTCTTGGAACAAGCTCATTCCCTTGAAGCTAAGGTGGCAGACCAGGAAAGCTAAGAGAGGCAGAAAACTCTGTGAATGAGACATGCGGGGATGCTATAGTTGTGTCCCACTCCCACACTGAGAGCTGTCCTGTCAGGGAGAATGAGGATTTCTGGGAAGGAGAGTGTCAGAAGAAGAGGAAAACATTTCCTTAGAATGGACCCATTCCTTGTTATGCCTGCATGCTCAGGATGCTTTTTTGGGTGGGGAGTGAAGAAAGTGGATGGAGAAAAGTGTTTCTCCTTCTTTGATAACACTAGAATTGAATGTTGGAAGATTAAGGCAGATAAAAGTCCTCCTTCACACAGCACATAGTTAAACTAGTTAAACTATGGAACTTGCTCCCACAGGAGGCAGTGATGACCACCAACTTTAAAAGATTCGACAAGATTCATGGGGGGTAGGGCTATCAATGGCTACTAGCCAAGAAGGTTATACATGGTTGGAGGCAGTAATGGTTCTGAATACTAGTTACTGGGAACTGCAGGAGGAGTGAATGTTATTGTGCTCAGATCCTGCTTAAAGGTTTCCCACAGGCACGTAATTGGCTAGCAAGAACAGGATGCTGGACTAGATAGGATTGGCCTGATGCATCAGGCTCTTATGTTCTTATTTGTTCTTGGCCGATAGTGGTTTGTTTAAATGAAACATGATCTCTGGTTCAGACATAAAGCTAAGCCAAGGATCATGATTTGTTTCTCACATGTGCTAGTGGGGAGTACAAAGTGGCACAGACCAGGGCATTAGCATTAAACGATTAACTGGTTACTGTGGCATATGAACTGACTAGTGTAGGAATGGGTCCTTACTGGTTTAAGTCAGTTAGAAAGCTAATGTATGGAGCATTTAATAAGTGTCATGCTGTTGAACTGTGTTTCAGAATTGGTGAAGGAAGAGCATGCTGGAGTTTGGGGAATGCATACACAGCCCTGGGGAACCACGAACAAGCTATGCACTATGCCGAAAAGCATTTAGACATTTCGAGAGAGGTATGTGGTCATATTACAAGTTGTTTGTGGTACACTTTTTTTATAAAAATAAGTATGCATATACAGTGGAACCTCGGTTTTCGAATGTAATCCGTTCCAGAAGACCGTTCGAGTTTCAAAATGTTTGAAAACTGAAAACTCAATACGGAAGCCTCAGTACAATAGGGAAACTCAAAACGGAAGCTGCCTCAGAAGTTCAAGGACTGGGGTTTACATATTTATGGATAGTATATACAGGAACTTGTTCAGTATGGATATGAAATTACGAAATGCTTTTGATTGCAGGTGGGAGATAAAACTGGAGAACTAACAGCTAAACTTAACCTCTCAGATCTACAAATGGTGCTTGGCCTAAGTTTCAGCACAAACAGTTCAATGATGACAGAAAATCAAATTCTAGATCATAGTGTGAATGGTAAGTATAAACTTCTATGATTATGTATTAAGATTTATCTTAATTAATCTTCAGCACTCATAGATATGCTGATATTTTGTGGGATATACTTCTCATTTTACTTGGGGAAAGTATAAGACTGTATTTGCTTTTTTTAATAATAATTTTTATTGAGTTTACATTTTACCATAATCACATTCCATTACATAATCTCATAACCAAAGAACAATGCTCAAACTGAGCTTCGACTCCCCCCCCCCATCCCACTCTCTGGCTTTAATAAATAATCACTTACATCTTAGCATTTCTATAACCACTTATTTACCTTTTTTCTTAATAAATTTTACCTTGTTAAATGTAAACCAGCTCCCAATATTAGCAAAATATTTAAACTCAAACCTACAAACGTTTTCAAATGTTTACAATGTTCTTTCATATATTGTATAAATTTACTCGTCCTTTTCAAACAGTTCATTGTGCTGATTTCGGATCTTCCCTGTCAGCTTTGCCAATTCTGCATATTCCATCATCTTAGTCTGCCATTCTTCCAATGTTGGAAGTTCCCGTTGCTGCCATTGTGTATTTGCAATGCAATGGGGATTTTTTTTTTTGCAATCCTTAATCTTCAATACTGGGTCTGTTCTTGTATTCTGGTTTTAGAAGCTGTTTTTTAAAAAGCCACAAGCCATTTTTCTTTTATAAGCACACCTATACAGTGAAGTCCCTCAGCAGAACTAGGAGATAATTATTGGTGATTTCCCTGCCCCCCCCCGTGCTGAAATCCACTGTAGAGCACCCCTCAGCCCCAACACCACACGCCCACACCCAAAATACCCTAAATATCTGAAAGACTGCCTCATTCCTTACAGACCCAGCTGAGATTAGCAGAGGGGGTCCTCTTGGTAGTTCCTCCACAATCTGAGGCTTGGGGTGGTGGCGGCCTGTGACAGGGCATTCTCTGTGGAGAATTCTCTGTGGTGGCCACTAAGCTGTGGAACTCCCTGCTGAGTTGTATCTGGCAACTTCATTATACAGCTTTCAGAGAATGCTAAAGCTGCACCTTGGATTTTGACGCTTGAGGTTTATGTTTTTAGGAGCCACCTTATATTTATGGTTCTAAGTCATTCCAAGTTGTTTTTATATTATGCTGTGACCTGCTTTGGGACCTTCAGGTGAAAGTGGGAAATAAATACATAATTTGATAAAATCTTACCTTGCATGTAGGTGAGTTCTAATTCAATTATTAGTCTCAAGTAGTAATGATCTTTGTTGGTCATTAGACTTTAGAAGGTCCTGGTAATTGTACTTGTTATGAAGCTTTCCTTCAAAATAAACTATTTTTCTGTCTTAAGGTGCAAGACCCCGAGTAGGACGCCGCCATAGTATGGAAAACATGGAACTTATGAAGCTTACTCCTGAAAAGGTTGGTGACTGGCTGAACATATTTCATGGGTTGGATCCGGACTACATTAGCTCCCACTGATTTTACAGGAAATGGAATTCAGCTAGGCATTATTAACTTAATATGGATTCAGCACATTAGTCTTAATTGTCTTTCAAGCTATGCGCCTGCACAGTGCTGACCTGCCTGCTGCTTTGTCGTCATCCCCCTCTCTCCTGGTGGGGGGGGGGCGTGTCAGGTCTCTGGCAGCAGCGCTCCTCACTGACCAGTGTTCTGCAGTGGCAACTACCTTTGGATGTTAGACTAGCCAGAACAAGTTATGCACAAAGTGATTTTGGTCAAAAATGGGAGAATCAAAATCTGTATTATTAACTGTTTCTGATTGATTGTGAATCTGGCAATAAATGGCACCACTTGTGTGTGCATCTATAGCCTTCTCCCCCTCCCCTGAGGTTGTCAATACCTTATGCTGTATTTGATGTTTATGATCTGAAGACTAAATCAGCTGAACTGAAGCAGAGATTTAGTTGATTGACTACATATCAGGGATAGAAAATATTTTTCTTCCCTTTGTCTTGAGTACTGTGGGTACTTAAAATAAATTAAGCCATTGTTTACAGAAGATGACTACATGGAAATACCAGAAACAGCACTGAGAGAGAGAGAAGATATAGGAGTAGAACAGTACTAAGGGTAATAATGTTTGGTTCTGTAATTGAGGCATGCTACTGGAAATGAAGGGTACACAAGTACATCCTAAGCAAGATGGAATGATGACTGATTTCTGTGCAGTTTGATGTTCTGAGTTTCTTTCCAAGGTTTGGTTCACACATCACAATGACCCTTAATGTTCTATTGTCAATGTGCAGATCACTCAATCCAGGGATCCCTGTTTTTTGAGCAAAAAACATGATCCCTGATTTGGAAAGAATACTAAGCCAAGGGTTGTGATTTGTTGCTCCCGATTACCAGCAGGGAGGAGCAAAAAGCATTAAATGTTTAATGTTTAACATTAAACATTAAATTTATTGTTTTAAAATTATGAGGAGCAGCAGCTTTGCTGAGAAATGGGTAAAATGAATTCCAAGTTCACATTTTTAGGGTTGTTTCCTGTGCTATTTCTAGTCATAGTAGACCCATTGAAATTAGTGACCATGGTTAAGTTTGGTCCATTAATTTCAGTAGGCCTACCCCAAGTAAAGCTTTGTTGAATACCGCCCTTAGTCTCCACACATGGGGAGTCAAAGGGTAGGAGAAAAAGTTAAAAATATAGAAGTTCATCTGTTGTTCCACCGTGTCCTCTTTGCTTCTGCTTCCTGCCACCCCTTGTGCCTCCACCTGCCTCCCCCCCCCCAATTTGCCTGGGGGGGGTCTCTCCTTTTTGCTGCACTTGATCTGTACACAGAAATGGGATATTTAAAAATTCAGAATGCTTGTGTGTATTTGTAGTTCAGGAACAATCTAAGGAGGCAGAGCTAATTTAAACAGGGAAAAAGTGATGTACAATTAGTATAATGAAGAAGGAATTGGCATCACTGCATGAACTTAATTTTAGGTCTTAAAAAGTTATCCTGGACAATTAGTTTAGCATAGCTAAATAATACCTGGGATCCATACTACTTTCCTGAATGTAGTGCAGTGTCACAAAGAAACATTAAAAGTGGCAGTATCTTGTCCCTGGGAAAATGTGACCACCCTCTTGCCCAAAATTTGCATGTCTATTATAGCGATACAGGTTGTAGTGGATACCGCTTGTAATGTTCTAACTTGGAAGGCTGCTTAGAACTTCAAGGGTGTAGGATTTGTTGCCATAGCAGGCTTCTTCCTGTTTTGATATGAGGTACTTGAATTTTTCAAGCTCTGTGGAGATATTGACCCAAATTAAATCAGCCACTTCAGTGTTAGTAGTGTGAAAATTAAGGCAGGTAGTATTTTGTGCCTGAATGAGAGACTTTCTTCTGGATAGTTTCTTGATATACATTGTCCCTTGTTCTCTAGGTTCAGGACTGGAACAGTGAAATTCTGGCCAAACAGAAACCACTAGTTCCTAAACCTTCAGCAAAACTACACTTTGTAAATCGATTAAAAGGCAAAAAATACAAAAACATCACATCTTCTAAAGTGCTTCAGGATGCTAGTAATTCTATTGACCACCGACTAAGTTCACAGAAGGTATTTGTGGATAAATATTTAATTGCTTGAAAGAAATCTTAAAATTATAGTTTGAACATCTTTTTTAGAAGCATGTTGGTTTAACTTGTTTGCTTGAGTTAAAAAAAAATCTTAGGAACATCATGATTAATGCTCATGATGAAGGTAATTCTAAGCATACTTCTTAGGAAGCAAATCTCATCAAGCTCAGTGGATATTTTCTAAATAAGCATGGCTAGGATTCGGGTGGAAAAATCCATTTGAAAATTTTGTTGGGTTGGAGTGAGAACAAAACATTTGATTATAATACCTGTATCAGCTGCTCAAATACTGTGCTGGCTTTGTTAGGCTAAGACGCTAGCATCAATTTCTATCCTAAGTGTTGTTTTACTTCATTGGCTCTTCTTCCCTCCCTCTTTCCCATGCTATTTATTTGTGCACAGCTTTTTTTGTAACATGGGTAGAGGAAAAATCTCTCCTATTGTCTTCAAAAGTAACCAGTATAACTTTGGCCTGACTATTTTTTTATCTGACTTCTTAAAAGAACAGCCCTGATGTGCCTGGAGATGAAGGGTTCTTTGATTTGCTAAGTCGATTTCAGAGCAACAGAATGGATGATCAACGGTATTGTTTCCAGGACAGGAACAGACTGGCAGTGACATCTTCTTCTACACCGTCAAGAACATTGAAAAAATGTAACTAATTTTAAATTGTGTATAATTCCCACCTTCTGACAGAATAGAATAAAAGCAGCATAAGTATTTTCTTCTTCATCTTTCTGCAGCCTTTTCTACGTCCATGGTCTCACCTCACACTGATGAATTTCTAGATCTTCTTGCTAGCTCTCAGAGTAGACGTCTAGATGATCAGCGAGCCAATGCCAGTGATTTACCAGGACTTCGTCTTAATCAGCGCAACAGTCAATCGGTCCTTGGCCGCTTGATGGCCAGTAGCAATAGTGAACCAGATGATGACTTCTTTGACATTTTGATAAAATATCAGGTAAGTCTTGTAAATGGTGCTCTACATAGTATGTCATGTTTTGTGAAGGCCAGGAGGAAATAAACTTTATGCAGCATGATGGTGACATCTGGTTTCAGTGGGTTCTTACTGTTTTTTTCGATTTAAAAAGTTAATGAATGCTCTCTGATAAATCTTAGCATTTTAAACAAAGCTTGTGGTGAGTCACCCTCAGATATATTCTTAAAATCAAATGGCTCGCCAAAATGCTGTAAGGAATAAGGAACTCAACTTACTGGATTTATAAACAATCTAATGTTGGTTGGATGAGAAATAAGCAGAACATGCTCTGACTTGAGAAAACAGCCCTCTGCACATTTCTCAGCTTCTGAACAGACTTTGCCTGACCCTCACAATTGCAGATTTCTTATCTCATTTTTTTCTCCCTGTTGAAATGACTATTACATGTCACTAGGATTTTGTTTTAAAAGCCTGGATCAAAAGGACTTTTCTATATCAATACATCGGTCCAGGACCGGTATGAGGGCTACACCACTCAGGAGTCCCTTTGCCACCAGTGTGCCAAAGGAAAAACAAACTGGAGCCGAGCACTGGAGGCAGTTTCACACGCAATGTACCACCAGGTGAAGCCACCATTGCACTGTGGCCATCGTACAATTGAGTGCAAGCTAGCTTGTTCCTCCCTTGGGCTGCCTGCCCTGCAGCGGAGAAGTCTAAGGGAGCCCCCACAAGGCAGAGACGTGGTGGGTGCTCTGCTAGATTTTGTCTGCTGAGGGGCAGGCAGCTGTGCACCCCAAAAGAGGTAGCCCACGCATGCGAAGGTGGTGGTGAGGCAGGCACCTTGGCACAGTGCCGCCTTGGCAGGTTATCTCTTTCTCCCGGCCCAACCAGTGCACTGCATCTTTACTCCCAGGGTGACCCACCACCCTGGGAGGAAAGACAGACCCCACCCACCAGGGCGAAGGCAGTCAGATGAGGGGTCTTATGGGGCAATGCAGTACAAAAAAGTGCCCCGTGAGCTGGAGGGACATGGGGCTTGGTCAGCTTGGGGGGGGGAGCCTTTGTGCCCCCCCCCCAGATGGGCAGCGCATGTTCTCCCCACACCAGGTGTTGGGGCTGGAGGGACTTACTCCTCCCCCAGCACTGGGAACCAGCTGCATTGACCCCAGTCCTGTGAGGTGAAACTGCCTCTGCTCCCTCCCTTGTGGGCTGGGGTCAGTGCAGCTTATTTCAACATCATGGTGAATTGCCAGACTAATGTTTGGCTGGTGATACATTGTAATATTGAAAACCTGACATCGGCCAGCCCTACTTCCCAAGCATCTAACAACTAGCTGTGAATCCCGTGCAAGGAGAAAAAATTATTTCAGTTGGAATAAAGTTTACTATAAAGCAAGTGATGTTATTAAATTACCTAAAATGTGCAAAATATTTGCAGACTATTGAACACATTTCTTGACAAGGTGAAGGAGTGGCTAACATAACATTTATAAAAAGATAATATAGTGAAGGAGGCTTGAAGGGCCTTGGAGATTATAAGCAAACTGGGTAATTCAGCTTTTATCTAAAGTGCTCTGACTTCATAAGGACAAAATGCAAAAGAAGCTCTAGAGTCTTTCCATGACATAACTGACTATTCCAAACAAAGAGCTCATAGACTAAGGGTCTAGTAGGAAGAGATGGTTAAAATATACCGTATTTTTCGCTCCATAAGGCGCACCTAGTTTTTAGAGGGGGAATTCAAGAAAAAAAAAATTTAAAGGGAGCGCTGAGCAGAGCCTGTATGCATCCCAGGCATGGAGCGTGTGTGCGGCGCTTGTGGGCTTTTCCCCAAGGAGGGAGAAGGGCAGCCCGTCAGACACGCTGGCTCTTGGGGGCTTTTGCGGGAGGTGAGAGAGCCTCGCTCTGTCCTTTCCCCCACCTCCCCCCAAAGCCAGGGATAGCTGTGCTCTGCGGGGCAGTGGGATGAAGGCTCCCTGCTGCCCTGCGGAGGATTCGCGGGCTACCCCAGAGCTGCTAAGGAACTTGTCGGGGCTGGCGGGGGAAGCTCGGGTCACCCCCCCCCAGCCCCAAAGAGCAGCTCGCGGAGCAGCAGACAGGCTGCGTGCAGCCTTCCCATTGCTCCCAGAGCTGAAGCCCGAGTCTCCCCCCCCCCAGCCCCAGGGACCACACATTCGCCCCATAAGACGCACAGACATTTCCCCTTAGTTTTTAAGAGGAAAAAAGTGTGTCTTATGGAGTGAAAAATACGGTAGATTAGGAAAATTTAAAACTATTTTGTTCTTGTGTCACACTTTTCCTATCATGAAAGGTACAACAATATGTTAGCTAATCTTTCAGTATTCTTAAAATGGGTTCATGTTGTGTTAGCTGACTTTGAAGTATGTGCTCATGCATACCTGAAAGGTGTTCCTCTCTAATCTGGGCTAAGGCCTCTGTATCCATTCATGGTACACACTTGGGTGGAGTTCACTGCTCTGGCTGGTAAGTGTGACAAGATGCCAGATGAGTCCTTTATTCTTCTAGCTGGCATCCATTCTTCTCCTGTACGACAGATGCTGCATCGAGACAAACCTCCCCACACCCATGGAAACATTGGCAGAGAGTTACTGGATTAGAGACTTTAATATGCATCACTAACTTGTTCTAAGCAATATTTCCAATTTTAAGCCCACCCCCATCCCCCAACATGACAGGCAAGCTGCTATTGTTTATTGTACTTTGTATTTATTATATGTGAAAAACCAATAAAAAGAATGAGAACAAGAACTCACCACATTGTTATCCAACAGTAACCATGGAGAATAGCATACTGACATGTTCAAAAACACATATCCTATCACTTAAGATTTTCCAAATGTTTCTAGCACTTGCTTTCCTAGTGTATTTGCTGTGGAAGTAAAATAGTTTTTCCAGGATTTTGGTCTACAAAATCTTTTAACCAGCTTCAATTTGGCCAACATCTTTCACCATGTTACCAAATCAAAAAACCCCACCACAATTCTTTTCTTCCTTTGTCACTGGAGGAACAGACATAGTTGTGCTATATTACTGCTTTTCTGAGTGAGTATTTCAATCAGAACCACACAATGTATATATGCTGTTTCTGCTGGGAAAGGACAGGAAATCATGGCTGACAATATTCTGCCAAAATGTGAATGTTACTACTTTTGATAGGTTTAACATGGGCAAACAGGATGAATTGAACTGTGGAATGATTAAACAGTGGATTTTAGCTGTAACTCCTATCCTACTTTGTTTTGATTTTAGGGCTCTAGACTAGATGATCAGAGATGTGCACCACCACCAATCATCACAAAAGGACCAACTGTACCTGATGAAGATTTTTTTAGCCTTATTCTGCGATCCCAAGGGAAGAGAATGGATGAACAGAGAGTCTTTCTACCCTCTGATTTGAAGAGGGCAAATTCCAATTAATGGACTTCTTCAAAAGCACACCGAAGAGAAACAGATGGATTGTGTAATACTGGAATTCCTTTTTTTTTAATAATACAGGAAACAATGCCTTTAAGGGGGAAAGTTTATGGTACAGTTACTGCTGCCACAGCTTGAAAAAAACATATCTAAAAATGTTTGTAAAAAGCTCTATAGAGCACTGTTTCAATTTTCTCTCTGTAAATATTTTTTTGTTTCGTATGGTTTAGTGTTTAACGGTACTTTTCACATGAGCTTATGGGAAAAAATCCAGCTAAAATTATGTAATAGGAAAACTCTAGACTTAACCTCAAAAGTTTTTCTAACATCTAAGAAGTATAGAATGTTCCAAAACAATTGACAAGTATTACATTGTTTTTTTTAAAAAAAACCACACACACGAGAAAAATAAATATTTTCATACTAGCAAAACCTGCTGTTTTGTCTGTAAGTAAATGAACTGATCCAAAGGGAATGCCATTGGTTCTTAAGTCAGATAAGTTCCTTTTGTGGTAAGGTCCTATCTCTTAACCACCCTGGAGTTTTTTCAGCTATTCTAGTTATTTGTTGCTCCCATTTGTTAAGAGAAGGCTTTTCCATTATTTCCTGCCTGTTATTGGGTTTTTGTTTTGTTTTTTGGTGAGTGGGGGCTAGATTGCAGGACTGTCATGGCTGAAGATGTGCTTTCTCTGTCAGAGAGCTTGCTTTGCATGGTCCTGTCTCCTTGAGGGACTGGGAAGAGCAACCCACTCGAGGTTATTCTCCTACCTTTGAAGAACATGAACTTGGGTATGAACCAACATTCCTTTTCCAAGCAATGTTCAAGCCTTCTTCATGCAAAAACATGACACCTGGTAAAAATTAGTTCTTGATCTTGGGGTAGGGGAAAGTCACAGCTAAATAAAAGTTCTCCTGTTGAACCTAAATAACAGCTTTTACAGATATGAATATAAAAGAAATTTCATTAGTAACATTTTGTAAGAGTTTATTTTGTTGGCAAATATTAACTACAAAAAAACTTAGCACAAATTTTAAAAGCATTTTACCAGTAGAGTCCCTTTTCGAATTACATTATTTTCTCATTAAATGTTTTTAAAATGTGTTGAAGTTGTTGTATGGAAACAAAGGTGCTTCATAAATATAATTTATGTGCCCTGATACCTAATATGCAAAGAAGTTCTATAAGAATGAAAACTGACAAAAGTAGATAACGAACATTTGTTGGTTAGCAGAGGCATTTAAAAAAATCATTTCCCTGGTATAAGGTGGTCTATCAGGAAGCAGTGTTCCTCTGTTTTTGTTCCTGTAAATGAGAAGATTTAAATGAGAAGCATACAAGCCACAACCTTTCAGATTACTTTTAATTTCTGTTCCAGTGTGGAGTCAAATATTTAGTAATCTTAAAGGGCAAAACCACTATCCTGGTACTTTTTGTAATGGTAGAAGGATAAAACTATGACATCTTCAAACACAGACTACAGTGCCATTGTTTTTAAATGTATAGGAAGCCAAGGCTCACTGCTATGCTAGCCCCAGCTAGCCCTTCCCTATTCCCTCCACTCCAGATGCATTTATGTTTGCACACATGCAATTTAAACTCTACATGGGGAAATGAGTTTTGGTGAGAATTGGTAATGGAAACTGAAGCAGAACATTGCTGCTCTCTTCAGCTTAATATCCTCTTCCACCATGGATGCTGCTATTTAAAGAATGCTGTCAGTCTCATTAAACACACTTGGGCAAATCGCTCTAGGCAGCTGTTTTTACCAAAGAATCTAACTAATCCTATGCACCATTACTCAAACTTAGTAGGGCTTGTTCTCAAGTAAATATGAACAGAACTGGGTCATAAGGTTGCCATCTAATACATCCAGTACTACAGAAAGTTGTTGAATATGAGCACTGGGAATGGGGCTACTGGTTTGTTTTTGTTCCTTTTTAAAAAAATATACAGTGGTACCTCAGGTTACATATGTTTCAGGTTACAGACTCCGCTAACCCAGAAATAGTGCTTCAGGTTAAGAACTTTGCTTCAGGATGAGAACAGAAATCGTGCTCCGGCTGCACGGCGGCAGCGGGAGGCCCCATTAGCTAAAGTGGTGCTTCGGGTTAAGAAAAGTTTCAGGTTAAGTACGGACCTCCGGAACAAATTAAGTACTTAACCCAAGGTACCACTGTATTTTGGGTTTCAATTTTGTATTTTTTGGCTGTGAACTGCCCTGTGATCTGTGGATTAAGTGCAGTATAAAATTTAATTAAAATAGTACTCTTAGATCCTTTACCAACAGCGCAAATTGGATGCTCAAGTTTCACAGTACTAAAAACACTTACCCTGAACATCTTGTCTATGCTAATTTTCACATTTAGTTTGTCTCTATTATGTCTTTTATTACTCTTATTATCTTCAAATCATTTGTTCTACAATTCAAATATAGCATGTGTCTAATGCTAAGGAAGTGGCTTGGGCATTTCAGTCTGCATGCTCCAACTGGTTCAGTAAAGAATTTACTCTTTCCTTAAGTTATTAAATATTCAATATAGTACAACTCAAAGATGATACTCATTAAAATAGTACTCTTAGATCCATTCATTTTAATTGGACTACTCTTAAGTAGAATTTAGTTGGATATAATCCTTTGATTTTAAGTCTGAATAAAACAGCATTTGTCTACTAAGCTTGATTCTAGTAGGAATCAGATACCTAAATGATTTAAGACTTCAACTCAGATTTGACACATTCTTACATTCTCTGAATTTGATAAATAAATTTGCCTGCATTACCGAGCTTTTTGAAATGGTTATATAAATAGCTGAAATAAGGCAAGAGAGTGCATTCTTAAATCTCCAAACCCTGTTTGAATGTAGGCAAGATTATCCAGCCTAGAATGTAACATTGTTATTCTCAAACTGGCAGATAATAAAGCAAGTCCTCAAACTGCTTTGTTGGCATTTCTGTGCAGGTCTTTCCAGCCTCTGCAGCAGGCAGACGAGGGAAAGACTTCTGTGTTTGCTCAACAATGCTACCTCACTAGGAAAGGCAGAATTGGCTGAGGGGTACATCCCCTTTCTGTGATACACAAAATATAATGTATGTTAAAACTTACAGTAAAGCTCAAATGTTCTACAATCTTCTCTGGGGGTTCTTCTAATTCACATGAGTGGCTCTCTTTCTTCTTACATCCTGTTATATCCGGAACTTCTTGCTGCACACTCCTGTCCTCTTTAAAGTTACATTTTGTTTCATCTTCATTGCCTCTTGTAAATTCTTGTATGTGGCTAGGTCTGTCCAGTTCAACCAGGCTTTGATCTGTGCTGTTCTCTATTCTATCAGTAGCTTGATCACCTGGTTTAGTATCTAATCCACTCTGCAAGAAGTAACATATCACTGAATTTGTGGAACAATATTAGGTCATCAAAAATCAACAAAAAATACGAACAGTGCAATCCCATACATATATTCTCAGAAGTAAGTTTCACTGAATTCTCAGAAAACTGGATATAGGATTGCGGCCTTAATGGGGTATCTCAATCTGTTATTTTAGTAAAGGTTTTACTGTGAAAGGTGGTCCTCTTTGGGTATATGTATCTTAAGTGAGATTTGGCCATTATCTCTAAACCCTGCAACAACAGATTTTGTCATACCTCAGTTCCATTTTGTGAGCTAAGACCCTCTGATGCACAGAAACAGAACAAAGAACAAAGAAAAACCACTAAAGGGGACACAAATGACTCAATGAGAACAACCTTCTATGCTAAGACAACATTACTTTCTCCCGTGGGTGTAATGTGGATGGGAGAGCAACGTGGCTTTATACTTATGAGGGATGGCTTGTTGCAGTCTCTTTCTTGCAAAAGCTACCTCCTCTGAAACAAACGGGTCTAATTCGTAGTGATAAGTACAAGTGTAACGTGTGGACAACATGGCTGCTTGCCATATTTTATGAATGGGGTGTTTATGGAGAAAGCTGCAGCCCTGGTATAGAAATGTGTAGTGCCTCATAAACCAATGAAATACAGGCTTTGATCCATCGAGCACTGCTGGAATTAGAAACCTTATTGCCTAAAGTGGTCAGGTGAAAAGAGGGAAATAGTGTGCTTGTTTGCTTGAATGTGTTCATTCTATGTATGTATCTTGACAGCCCTGTGAATATTCAAAGAGTACCAAGCCCATTCAGTTGGGTAAGGAGGAGGAGGAGTCCAGAAGCTAAGAGCTGAGAGGGAAAGATAGCTGAGACATTGTGGATGTTTTTTGAATGTGCCAGACACAGTAGAACATATTATTTTCTACTTTCCATTGTACAACCAGCTACGCAAATGCATGCTATTCCCTTTTTTGCGTAGTCTTAACATCATGGCACAATGAAAATATCAGATTGTGAGGCAAAGTGAGGTCTGACAAAATCTGTTCTGTCATAGGGCTTCTAGACTTCAAGCTACAAGAGACATCCAACACCCAGGGGAAAAAGGTTCTTATAAAAAGTTTCTTATAACAGTCTGAAACATCCATTAAGTAAAAATATAATATCAATTTGATATTCAAACATACTAGGAATTAAGTGTTTTTCTTAAGACATTTTATTTAATACCCCGCCCAACATATTATCTATCAGCTTACAGGACGGTCTTCACTGTTCTTTTTTTCTGCTTCTGTTTGTGAATTTACTTCTTCGGAAGACTGAAAAAAAAAGATGAATCAAGGTCATTAAATAATTAAGGCTACAAACCCCCAGCTAGGTCTCACTGAACTGAATGAGACTGATTCTGAGTAGACATGTTTAAGTGCACTATACATCTTATTAAACCTAACGCGTTTTAATAATGCCAGTTCCATGCATTAAAACAACTGAAAACGGTTTTGCTCCAACTGGCTTTCACAGCTGGATAAATGGGTCTTTACCATGAGTGTCTATTTTGTTAGGATTTTAGTCTTGCTTTAAATTTATTTGCTGTTTTTGATACTCTTATGTGAAAATTGTGTTAAGGTGTTTTTTAGAAAGCAGTTACGAAATTAGTGCATGCCTAGTTGGTAGTTGAGGTGCATGTTAAGAATTGTTTTTAATGCAGATTATACCTCCTGTGTTAATAACTATAGAAAATTGAGTTCTTTCCCCTCATTATTTGCAATAAAGATTCCAAACTGAATTGTTAAATTCCCATATACATCTCCTAAGAGTATAGTTCTCAAACAGGAGAGAACATATTGGCTAGCCCTTCCGGCCCTGTCCAGGTCATGCAAATTACCAACTTCCTGGACCCAGGAACTACTCATCCACAGAGCTTCCATTTTGCTAGGATTCAGGCTCAGTTTATTAGTCCTTATCCAGTCCACCACTACATCCAGACACCAGACAACAGCCTTTTTTTTTTTACCATTCTCAAGTCAGGAATTGCATAGAAACAGAATTGGGCAACATCAATGTACTTATGACAGCTTGGTCCAAAATTCCTAATGACCATTCCCAACAGGTTAATGTAGATGATAAATAGCACTGGAGACAAAGTGTCCTGTGGCACCCATACCTCAAAAGACAAGGGGCCAAGGAGAACTCATCCAGTGATACCCTCTGGAACTGCCTCTGGAAATAAGACCGGAACCGCTCACTAACCGGAACTGATACTAATCTCCTATAGATGGGTCCAGCAGGATACCATGGTTAATGGTATCGAAAGCTGACAAGAGTTAAGAGCAACAGGGTCATGCTTCCCTTTGTCCCTTTCCCAACAGAGGTCATCCATTAGGGCGACCAAGGCAGATTCAGTTCCAAACCTGGGCATGAACGAGATTAAAATGGATCTGGATAACCCGATTTCTCCAGACACGCCTGTAGCTGCGTCACCATAACACTCAAGGAAGTATTTGTGATTGGGCAGTTGTTAAATACCACGGATCCAGGGTGGTTTTTTTCAGGAATGAATATACTATTACCTTTTTCAAGATGTCTGGCATAACCTCCTCAGGCAGAGATGCATTCATCACACCAAGATCCTATCTAGTTACACCCCTCTAGCTAGCTTTAACCAGCCATGAACGAAAATGGTCCAAAGGGCATCTTTTTGGGTGTAGACTCACAAGCACCCTGTCAATGCCATCTGGCTGCAAAAACTGAAAATGATCCCACAAAATGTGGCTTGATGGAAACTTCACTTAGGACTGCATCAATCATGGCATCTAGCTCACTTTCTTTGCCACTTTCGTTTCCACAGCAGGCACAATTATGTGCTTTAGCACAGGTTTAGTAATCTTTGAAGTGGGACTTCCACCATTTGTGCTCTAGCCAGCATCTAGCTTCTTTCATCGCATGAAGTCCTGAGTCAGAGCAGGAAGAGCAGTTTCAGTATGGAAATAGTCCTAGGTTCTACAACACAATGCCAGAGACTTGCTTGCTTGGTCTGGGAGGCTGATGGACAACAATATATATATAGCACATCACCTGATTGCAAAACCTAAATATTACCTTTACTGAAGCATCTCCTCTGTCATAAGGTCCTCTCTTGATGGAGTAAATATTGTATGTATTTTCCATATTTTCTATAATGTTGACACCATTTTCACCTGCGTCATTTGGCTGCAGATGTAGCATTTGTTCTTGGATTGCTCTGGTCCTTGGAGGAAGTGCAGGAGGTGGCTGTTTATTCCTTGGGGGAAGTGCAGGAGGTGACTGTTTGCCCCTTGGGGGAAGTGCAGGCGGCTGTTCATCTGTTGGAGGAAGTGCTGGAGGTGGCCGCTTGTCTGAGTAGCTTAACATCCTTAGCGCATTCACTGAGCTTCCAGCCCCAAAGCAGAAACCCTACAGAAGAGACACCCTTGTAAGTACTCTGACAAACTTTGTTTCCACTCCTCCTTTTAACACAGGTTTTTACATTGTTTTGTTTTGAAAATAGGCTCAAAATCTGTGTTCCTATATATTCATTAAAATAAGATAATTTTTTCAAGAGATTTTCTTCATTATCAACTATTCTTAGTCAGACATAGTGGAAATAGTATTTCTGTAACTGCCCTATATAACAGAGAATTAAATTCTTGGACTTACTTATATTCATATAAGAATAGAGCTTTACAAATGAGTATTACTTTTAGTCAGTCCACCTAACAGAAAATGCCAAATTATGTACCACTGCTGTGGCATGCATGTTAAAAAATCCAATTTTCTATTTCATAAATCTTTAAATATGGATAATTTGTTTCTTTGTGTTCTAGAATACTTCAGTATGGGAGAAAGATTATACTATCCTTGAAAAATAAATTGCTATTTATGTCCCAAAATATTAGCTGCAGATGTCAACAAATTAAGTCTTCCTTATCTTCTAACACTTCTTTCTTAGGACTAGAAAGAGCATCAATATACAATCACAGCTGCCTCTTCTTGCACAAGGAGGTGGAACAACTGTGCTAGAACTAAGATGTTATTTCTGGAACTACCTTGTCTATCACTCACAGGTAAGTAGCTAATTGTACCCTTACTTCAGTCTTACTGGTGTTAACTTGTTGAGCAAATCCATTGTTAGCTGTATCTACTTTCACAATTTCTAATCCATGTGTGCAGTACTGGATCCCTCATGTTTCTGTGCATGTACATACCAAAACTGCTATTGCTATGATCACCAGCACTGGGATATGTAGCAGCAATGGAATCTCTTTCATGAGTGCTTTAATAAATTCACCAATTCCTTGACCTATGTGCTTCAATGGCTCCGTTACAAAATTGGTAAATGTAACAGCCAATGCCTAAAACCAGACAGAAAGTAAAATTAGAATGATAGTGAAGCTGTCAGAATCAAACAAAATACAAATGACTCAGTTAGAAAAAGAGAGTACCTTTGTTGGAGGAACAAGCCAAATAGGATTTACTAATACGGTTTCATAATACTTTTGACAAGGATCATCTTGGAACGTCATCGAGCTTCTAAACCATTCTATAGTTAAAAAGCAACAAGTCATACAACTAACCACAAAAAAGCAAGTATATTTTGGCTGTAAGGATGAATAAATAACTAGATGTTTTCAGTGTGTAATAAGAAGTCATATATAGACAGTGAGGAGGGCGTAAACACTTAACTATACTTGTCTTATCAAAAGAAATGATACAAGATCTGGAAGGAAATGATTTTCTAATATTTACACCAACACTCAGGGTATTTTAAAGTATATTTGCTAAACTGGGGGTAAGCCCAGTCTTGAGTAGAAGACATGGCTGAAGCACAATTTGCAGAACGGAACACACCCACCCCCAACCTGCCAGATTGGTATTTGGGCTCTGTGGTATAAACCACTGAGCCTTGGGCTTGCTGAACGGGAGGTCGGTGGTTCAAATTCCCGCAACGGGGTGAGCTCCTGTTGTTCGGTCCCAGCTCCTGTCAACCTAGCAGTTCGAAAGCACGTCAAAGTGCAAGTAGATGAATAGGTACCACCCTGGCAGGAAGGTAAACGGCATTTCCATGCGCTGCTCTGGTTTCGCCAGAAGCGGCTTAGTCATGCTGGCCACATGACCCGGAAAAATGCTCTGCGGACAAACGTCAGCTCCCTCAGCCAGTAAAGCAAGATGAGCGTCGCAATCCCAGAGTCGTTCGCGTCTGGACTTAACTGTCAGGGGTCCTTTACCTTTACCTTTTTAGGTAAGCAATGTAGCAAATGGCAAATAGCACTTTCTTTCCTCAGGAGGAGGAAGTATCCATACCTTGGTCTGCTACCAAATAGTCCTATTTATTTGCTTTTAGTCCTGTTTTGTTCTGATTAGGTACATAAGTAAAATGTAACAGATACAGAGAAACTTGTTACTTTCCCTCTGTATTCTCTTCCTCGTGCCCTTTTCTCCTAGCCCTACAATGGGAGAGTGTAGGAGAGAAAGGTTTTTAGAAGTTTGCTAACCTAGATTATCAGACTCAGTTCTCCTCCCAAATGGCTATTTGGTTTAGCAGCAGCACTAGAAGAGTGCACTGGGCTGAAAAGGCCAAGGGTGATGCTGAACTCCAGTATTCTTGTCTTCATTCCCCTTCATCCCACTAAAATGCCTTTCTCTGTCATTTTTTTAGATGTTCAGCAGACCTGATTCCCAAACCCTAGTCTATCGCCAAAAATACTAGTTTGGGCTCAACAAGCAGACAAAATGTCTTCTGTAGATATTTCAAGGAGCACATCTACCTGACTTGTTCAAAGACATTTACATTAAATGAATCTACCACCAGGAAAGAGATTCATTTCAGAAGATTATCAGTGAGCCAGCTGTATGAATGACACAGTCCAAGTAAGCAAGTTGAAATGCTTGAATATACAGGCAATGTTTCAGGAATAATAATGTTTGAATCATTATATTGGCACAAGGAAGAAGTGACCCAGAGAGTAAAATCAGCAATATCAGAAATGTGTTGTTGGCATCTGTCTGTCTCGAGAGACAATGGAGTGCGCCACCAGGGGTGAAGCCAAATCTCTGCATTAGCAGCACTGAAGTGACCTTGCCGGAACACAAGCCTGAGCAATTTGTATGGAAGTCCTTGACTGTCTAGACAAAATCCTGCTCTCAGGCTCACTAATGTGGTCCAAAGGAAAACAAAATGTTTGGCAACAGCTTGGAAGCAGGAGTTGCTGGAAGGAGGCATACAAGGAGCCATCCAACTGTCTTAGATACTCCACTCCAGATTTGTATAGGGTTTAGAGCCAATCTTAAAAATAAGCTTAAATGTTTACTAAATCAAACAAACAAACAAAAATTTATTTAACAACCCCCACCCCAAACTGGCTGGGTTTCCTCAGCCACTCTGGGCAGCTCTCAACAGAATATTAATAATAATAATAATGTGACAAAACATCAAACATTAAAAACTTCCCTAAACAGGACTGCCTTCAGATGTCTTCTAAAAGTCAGATAGTTGTTTATTTCCTTGACATTTGATGGGAGGGAGTTCCACAGGGCAGGCGCCACTACCGAGAAGGAAATCTGACATGGAAAGTTAGCAAGCAAAACAAAAACAGCTCACCTATTAGACCATCACTCCAACGGATCTTCTCAGCACATACAGTATCAAATTTTCCCATTTTTGCCACTTCAGCTTGATGCTGAGCAAAGGCTACCTACAACAGAAACAAAAGGATTTTAACAATTTAACAAAATTGTTAAATCAATTTCATTTTGGAATTATTTTTTTTTAAAGTGGATTAAAATCCCACTGCCCTCTGTTTCCACAGAGCCTGTGGAAAATTCCTTATGACTTAATATTTTGATATATTTTTTTTGTACTGTATTAATGCAATTTGATGTTACCTGTAAACTGTCTTGGTAGGATTTGTATCCTAAAAGCAGGATATAAATAAATCCAACTAATATACTTCCAAATGCAGCTGCAACTTTCATATACAATAAAACTGAATAATTCAAAGCTATTAAAAGTCTACTTCTTAAAACATATGATTATTCAAAACAGATTGCACACATATGGCTCTTGAGGTCAAGCACTCTTCTTTCTGTGACTGAGCCATAAAATTACTGAAAAACAGCAGAGGGGAAAGAGTCTATTAGACCTGCTGCAGCACAATGTTAATTTTATAAGATTGGCACACAGGATAATAAAAGTTCAAAACTACTGAACTGCTAGTAAATCATGGAGAAGGAAAGACCAATGTGCCAATCTCACTAGCCTGTAACGAGAACGAACCTGACATATTTTAAAATAGTTTTGCACAAGTGTCCCAAAATAGCCTCTGATTATTACTGGATCAATATCAAAATGTGCCGGATAAGAACATTTTTTGTTTTAAGGGTAGCAAGTGTGGTAGCCTGAGTTTATATTGAGCCCTGTTAAGTTATTGAGCTAAATAGTGAGTGGCACAATATTTTCTGTATTTCCAGGGCACACTGATATCCACTTCCCCATTACTACTTAATAAACACTAATAATTGTTTACCTTATATAGGTACATCCAGTTCCACCCAAAACTGATGAGAAAACTTACGAATAAAACACGTTTTAGCTGTGTAAACCAACCAATGCGTGTCCATAGTTCTGTAGCAACTATTACTGAAATGCACACTAAACACAGAAGTACCTTTTAGAAAACAAGAGATAAAAAGAGAGGTAAATTGCAAAAGAATTATAAAAGCCAAGGCCATTTAAAATGGGAGGAACCTACATTTTTAGCATTGAAGCATTTTTAGCATTTATCTGATAATAGAGAAATCTTCCATTCAGCATCTGCTTGAGGGAATCATGAGCAGTATGAATTAAAGGGATCATGGGGTGGGGAGGCAGCAGCCTCATTTTTGTTTCTTGAAGTAAAACTGAACAATGTGGAACCATTATCATGTTGGTGAACATTTATTAAACCTCATATTCTAACAGCTAGAACTTCTTTTCATTTACAATAGCTTGATGGCAGCGAAATGTGAACTGAAATTTAAACAGATGCCATTCAAATAATCACTCGGCATGAAGCGCACTGGTGGATCTCAGGCCAGTCACTACCTCTCTCAGCCTAACCTACCTTACAGGGTTCTTTGGGGATTGAAGAAGGGGTAAACAATGTGTAACACCTTGACCTCCTTGGAGAAAAAGGTGGGGTATAAATGCAAAAAACAAATTTACTTTAGACTTTTGCAGTACATACCCCATGAAGCTGCACTCAAGACAATGCTACAATTTTTGAACTGATTCATATCCCTTTATTTTTGCACACCCAGACATAAATGTGGTGCTGAACTCATGATAGGAAAGCAGTCATGGCTAGTGGGCTGAAATTTGGATCACAAATTAAGCAGTCCGGATCTACTACTGCTGTCTGAAAACATTAAAAGACTTTATATACTCAGCCTTCAGTGGGACAAAGCACTGCATATAGGTTTTATCTTTTTCTGTCTGGTGCAAGTGAGGTACCCATGACTATATTGGCAGTAGAAAAACACCTTACTGCAGAAAAATTATCTCACCATAAAGACATTATATGCATCAGCCCCAAATGTGTCCTCAAACTTCCATTTCCAAACTTCAGCATCATGATGCTTAAAGTTAATCAGAATATCACTGAGTGCATCATCCAAAGCAGCTGATTTCCAGCCCTCTTCATTAAGAAACCTGTTGATTTCATTAAATGTCTGTCTTGTAAGGATGATCTCAGCATCATAATGCACATCTCCAGTGTTATCATCAGGCTAAAAAACAAGGCAACACAGTTGAATTGGGAACTGACATTTCTTGCATATAATAACAGACAAAGTAATCTGACTGTTAATCATAGCTAAGCAGAGCCTTACTAAATCAAACTGACTGACTGCTGTAGTGACAAAGTCAAAGAGAAAAGAATTCTTATACAGTTTATGTAGAGGTTACGTTCTAGGGTTTACGCCTATAGCCAAAATTATGTATAGTGAAAACACATGGGTTCAATGGTGGGTGGGACTGTTAGTCTTTTTCTCCAGATGCTCCCCCCCCCCCACTTTTCATTTAAATAAAAATATTTGCCAAGCATGTAAAGCTGAATGCGCACAAGTTAAATGCATGTAAGTCGCTGTACAAGGACTAGTCTGTCAAATAATACCATAATTAGGATTGCTCTGCTTAATATTTTCTAAGTACACATTCACCTACTCTAGTCTCAAAACCAGGGCAAGCCCAATACATTTTGGCACCTAAGTCGAACCACAAAATGGTGTAGCCCCCTGCTCTGGCAAGGAAGAAGGGACAAGTGAAGATCTACATTGGCAATAGCAGGCAATGCATTCCTTGCAGGCCAGATGTGCTGCCTTTGTGGATCTTGTAATCTGAGGCAGTCGCCTCACCTTACCTCATGGCTGGGCCAGCCCTACTCAAACCTATTACAGTGGTACCTTGGGTTACAGACGCTTCAGGTTACAGACTCTGCTAACCCAGAAATAGTACCTCAGGTTAAGAACTTTGCTTCAGGATGAGAACAGAAATCGCGAGGCGGCAGCAGGAGGCCCCATTAGCTAAAGTGGTACCTCAGGTTAAGAACAGTTTCAGGTTAAGAACGGACCTTCAGAACAAATTAAGTTCTTAGCCTGAGGTACCACTGTACCCAGATTCACAGGTAAAGCTGTTGATGTATATACAGCAGTGTTTCCCAACCTTTTTTGGGCAAAGGCACACTTGTTTCATGAAAAAAATCTCGAGGCACACCACCATTAGAAAATGTTTAAAAAATTAACTCTGTGCCTATATTGACTATATATAAAGTAACTCTCTTTAATAGGAATCAAATAAACACAAAGATAGTATTTTATAATTACTTTATTATGAAATAGTAAGTAAACAGAAATATGAAAAATTATAAAATACTTTATTCAGTGCGCAACCTGGGCCTGTTTACCATGCGCACAACATCATCCAACACATGAACTAGGTCTGCTGGTAAAGTCTTGGCTACGAGGGCCTCACGGTGCAAAAAACAATGCGTAACAATCACATCTGGATTTCTTTCCTTCACTCTGCTTACAAAGCCTTTGAAACCTCCCTAGATATCATCGTCATTTGCATGCTGTTTCCATAGTTAAAAACCATGCTCGAGGCGGCTTACGACATGGCAATATTTACATAATTACCCAAATGCACTCATAAGAAACCGTATCAAAGCGCCCACAACGAAATTAAGCAATCCCCACACAAGTTATAACGAGATCTATAAAGAGTAGTTTAGTATCACGAACAGCAAGATGGACATAAACAAAATAAAATCTTGACTCTAACAACCCCACCCGGCCTAAATCTCCTGCGCGCACCGATGCCCACGCAGGCATTTCCAGCAGCTCTTCCTCCTCCGCCTCTTTTTGCGTTGCCAGCAAAGAAGGAATGAGGAAGAAAAGGCGCAGCGGCGAAGAAGCGCGCCTTCTCAGAATGCCGCTGCTGCCCGAGGACTACATTTCCCAGAATGCCGCGGCCGCCCAGCCGAGATGCGCCCTGATTGGACGGCGTTGCTAAGCCGCTCGCGCCGGGGCTGAGCGTTCGGCAGAGGCGCGCGCCATAAGACGGGCGTCGCGCGCGGAGCCTGGCTCAGGTCGCCAATGCTGCGGGCGGACATGGCGAGCTGGGCGGGACTCGGGCGCGCGCTGGGCGCCTGCTGCCTCCTGGGCCTCTTCTGCGGCGCTGCGCTGCCCTTCTCGCTGCAGGGCGTGAACGAGAAAGCGCCCGCCTCCCTCCCACGGCACACCAGGCAACGTCTCGCGGCACACTAGTGTGCCGCGGAACACCGGTTGGGAAACACTGATATACAGTACCAACAGAAGATGGGAGTTCTGTGAAAATCATATATCAAACCTAATACTGTAGTTATAGAAGTCCTAGATCCAGGAGGTTTAATTACCCCCCCAAAAAAAAACACACCAAAAAAACCAACCCCGGTGCCAAGGACTGGTTGGGCAAACCTTTTGAAGCCCAAGGGCAGCATTCCTCCTAGGCAACCTTCTGGGGACTGCATGGCAGTGGTGGGTAAGGTTTGAGGCAAAAAGTAGGTACTGTAGAGCAACAGATATGACTCTTACCCTTTTTCCAGTTGGCTACATTAAGAGGTTTATACATATCTCTTCACCATCCAAGCAATCAAGCAAGCAAGCAGGCACACACACATGTAAGCTGCATTAACACAGCTCAATGAGACAGCTGAGTTAAGCCAAAGCACTTAAGGAAAGGGTAGAGCAGTGTTGGTGAGGGGTGTGGCCTGGGAAGAATCCTGAGGGCCAGATAGAAACAGCTTTGAGGAGGAGGGGGGACATTCAGCCCCAAGGCACCTCTAAGAGACTTTGCCCAAGACAAAGTCTATATAAGCCTACAGAACCAAACCCATCTTATCCACGAATATAGGATGTTTTCATGTTTTATGTAAGATTACTTGTTAGCCACATGAAAGCAAAGTAAAAGGGGAAAAAAGAATAAATACATGGTTGGGTTCTATGACATACTTACTATTGCCCATCTTAACAATGAATGTTCTGCTTGCAAAAGACACTGTTAAGAATACATTTTAATCTTTAAATGAGTGAATGTATACAGCAATAAGAATGTTGATATTCAGATACTCACAAGACCAAGTCTTCCAGCTTCAATTAAAATCTTATTCAAATATCTCTTAAAAACATGGATGCTATTGTTTTCATATAACTTGGCTTTATCTCTCTTTTCATATTCTTCAAGCTGCAAATATAAAGTGTTTCAATATCACATTTTACCAATCTTAATTCATGTAGTATATACAGTGGTACCTCGGGTTACATACGCTTCAGGTTAAATACACTTCAGGTTACAGACTCTGCTAACCCAGAAATAGTACCTCAGGTTAAGAACTTTGCTTCAGGATGAGAACAGAAATCATGCTCCGGCGGCGCGGCGGCAGCAGGAGGCCCCATTAGCTAAAGTGGTGCTTCAGGTTAAGAACAGTTTCAGGTTAAGAACGGACCTCCGGAACAAATTAAGTACTTAACCCAAGGTACCACTGTAATACGTATACTGTGGCCAGACAATGCCTTAGCCAAGCAATAATTCATTGTACAGTGGTACCTTGGTTTACAACCACAATCCGTTCTGGAGGTCCGGTTGTAAACCAAAACAGGTTGTAACCCAAGGCGCGCTTTCACCAATGGGGCCTCCCCCCCCCAATTGTTTGTAATCCCAAAAAAAAGGACATGCACTTCCAGGTTTGACGTGGTTTTAATCCAAATGGTTGTAATCCAAAGCGGTTGCAAACCAAGGTACCACTGTAGTGTGTATATTGATTAGACTAACACGTAGGCTAATGTTCACATGTAGGCTAAGGTCCATTGATTGCAGAGGCACTCTGGCCTTTAATAACTGAAATCTACTTGCTGAAAGCATCCCCAAAACATAGTTCAAGATCTGTTTATGTTCAAGAGATTTGACTCCAGACATGTATTGAAACCTATTTTAAAAATGAAACTTGTGACCCATCATACCAAATGCAGTCCATCAGCTAAGAATGCCACCTAACAGGATCATAATGAGCTGCTTGCTTTTGATGTCTGCTGAAATACAGAGTTATCAAACAACTGGCAGCTTATGATATATAGCTGGTGAGCCAGGTTTGGCTTGGTGGGTCAAAAACTATACATGCCTATTATAAACAAAGGTCAATGTCCCAAGAAACAGTCTATGTTTCTACATCTAATCTTTTGCATATAGAGGGGCTGTTGTGGTACAGTGGTGCCTCGCAAGACGAAAAGAATCCGTTCCGCGATTCTTTTCTTCTAGCGGTTTTTTCGTCTTGCGAAGCAACCCCATTGCCGGCTAAGCGGATTAGCGCTATTAGCGATTTAGCGCTATTAGCGGCTTAGCTGTTAAAAGGCTATTAACAGCTTAGCCGCTTTGAAAAAGGGGGGGGAGCGGGGGGGGAAATGGCGAGACTCGCAAGACGTTTCCGTCTTGCGAAGCAAGCCCATAGGGAACTTCGTCTTGCGAAGCGCCTCCGCGACGGAAAACCCTTTCGTCTAGCGGGTTTTCCGTCTTGCGAGGCACCACTGTAGATCTTCATAGTAGCTCAACACTCTACACATGGTTGCTAATAATACAATAACAAATACTGCCTTGCAGGCACCAATACTGCAATCCCACATTTACCTGGAGTTAAGTCTCAGTTAACTCCATGGGACTGACTTGTATGCAGTCGTGCAGATGATTGTGCTGTAAACATACAAATCTGCACCTGTTGATGTCAATAATGAAACTGACTGGTTTTAATAAAACCAGATTGTGGACCAAATAGTTAATTAAGAGTATTGATTCTTACCACCACCTATCAATATGAATGCTTACCCAGGAATATATTTCTGTGAAGGTGATAGACCAACAAGATCTGAATTTATGAAAAGAATATGTAAACAATATTTTCATAAAGTAATATATTAAATATGAAGCAACATACATGCAAACAAACCTTAAGAATTAAAGAATCAAGTTGCTTTTGGCACATGGAAACATCCACAATATTTTCTTTTACTACTGATTTTTGGGGAACTTTCTTATCTTCAGAATCATCCTGGTTCACCTGCAGCAACTGTAATCATAGGCATTTCTTAATCTTTCTACTGTAATTTATAGATTGGAAATCTCATATCAATATGGTTGCTTCATTTTGCATATTTATTGGAAAAGGAGTAAAGAGAGAAAAGAGAGAACTCAACAAAATTTGTTACTCATTGCTGCTGAATGCATGAACAAGAAATAATACTAACAAAACAATTTAACTAATTACATTGTTTGTAGTATAAACATGCTAACCAAATATGTATTTTCCCTCTCATTTACTGGGTTCTCAGCTCACTGGTACTTTGTGTAAATCAAACTGGCACGATGCAAGTGTCATAATATAGTAATTTATGATTTATACCCTGCCCAAACTTCCCTAAACAGGGCTGCCTTAAGATGTCTTCTAAAAGTCAGATGGTTGTTTATTTCCTTGACATCTGATGGAAGGACATTCCACAGGGTGGGTGCCACTACCAAGAAGACCCTCTGCCTGGTTCCCTGTAACTTCGCTTCTCGCAGTAAGGGAACCGCCAGAAGGGGGTAGAGACGCTCCTTCAGGTATAGTGGGCCGAGGCCGTTTAGGGCTTTAAAGATCAGCACCAACACTTTGAATTGTGCTTGGAAACGTACTGGAAGCCAATGTAGGTCTTTCAAGACCGATGTTATGTGGTCTCGGTGGCTGCTCCCAGTCACCAGTCTAGTTGCCGCATTCTGGATTAATTGTAGTTTTTCGGTCACCTTCAAAGGTAGCCTCATGTATAGCGCATTGCAGTAGTCCAAGCAGGAGATAATCAGAGCTCTTGCGAGACAGTCTGCAGGCAGGTAAGGTCTCAGCTTGCGTACCAAATGAAGCTGGTAGACAGCTGCCCTGGACACAGAATTGACCTGTGCCTCCATGGATAGCTGTGAGTCCAAAATGACTCCCAGGCCTCTTCAGGGGCACAGTTACCCCATTCAGGACCAGGGAATCCTCCACACCTGCCCTCCCCCTGTCCCCCCAAAACAGTATTTCTGTCTTGTCAGGATTCAACCTCAATCTGTTAGCCGCCATCCATCCTCCAACCGCCTCCAGGCACTCACACAGGACCTTCACCGCCTTCACTGGTTCCGATTTGAAAGAGAGGTAGAGCTGGGTATCATCCGCATACTGATGAACACCCAGCCCAAACCCCCTGATGATCTCTCCCAGCGGCTTCATGTAGATGTTAAAAAACATGAGAGAGAGGACGGAACCCTGAGGTACCCCACAAGTGAGAGCCCAGGGGTCCGAACACTCATCCCCCAACACCACTTTCTGGACACGACCCAGGAGGGAGGAGTGGAACCACTGTATGAGAGTGCCCCCAGCTCCCAGCTCCTCTAGACGGTCCAGAAGGATGTCATGGTCGATAGTATCAAAGGCCGCTGAGAGATCCAGCAGAACTAGGAAACAACTTTCACCTTTGTCCCTAGCCCGCCAGAGATCATCGACCAGCGCGACCAAGGCAGTTTCAGTCCCATGATAAGGCCTGAATCCCGACCGGAAGGGAACCAAATGGTCCGCATCCTCCAGGCGTGCTTGGAGTTGTTCAGCAACCACCTGCTCAATCACCTTGCCCAAGAATGGAAGATTTGAGGCTGGGCAATAGTTGGCCATATCGGCTGGGTCTAAGGATGTTTTTTTAAGAAGAAGTTTAATAACCGCCTCTTTCAGCGGGTCTGGCAAGGCTCCCTCACAGAGGGAGGCATTCACCACCCCGCAGAGCCCATCGCCCAGCCCTTCCCGGCTCGCTTTTATTAGCCATGAGTTTCCCATATTCACTTGGAGTCCCATGCCAGCAGAAGCTGCCCAGTATCCCCTTCAAAACCACAATCTGTGCACTCAAGAGAGGATGTGCATAGAGAACTGTCCCAAGCCCTCCTGTCCACATGGTGGTACATGTACAACTGAGAGCACTCAGGGATTATATATTTTTCAAAAACAAATGGAAAAGAAAACAACAATGAAATGTGGAAGAGTATTTGGCAGCCTTCAACCAACTATTACTTCCTTCCAATCCCTTTTTTGCAATTACTCTGTTTGAATCTAAAGATGCAATCAGAGCTCAGTAAGACACCCCTATCAACTAATCAGTTGATCATTAGGACAGAATGGAATCGTTCCAGTAAGAAAAAACAATGCTCAACTCTAGGTTTATTAATTTGTTGCAGTATGTGTTCTGTAAGGGAGGCAATCCAGACATCCATGGTGAACAGGTTCTTTAAAGGACATCAACTAAACCATTTACTGAACAGCAACTCAAATTCAAAATGTGTACCTTATCAGGTTTTCTCATGGTTCCTGAAGCTGCATCATAGTTCAGCATGTCTGTTGGATCAATCCAGTCATCATTTTGAGTTTCACTACCTCCTATCAGCAGGATTACACACAGTATCAAAGGAGCTAGCATCATCTGTCACAAAACACAATTGATGGTTTTAGCAGAATCAAAATCCTCTGGGACAAATTGAACTATTTAGTGACGTAGGTAATTTGCCTACGTCATCTGGTTACTCTAGTTAAGGAACATAGAAATATAACTTAATTTACTTGTTAAACTTGCACCCTATCCTTTATGCAAGTAACTCGAGAGTGACATATAAAGTTATCTCTTACAGTCCCCATTAAATTCTACCCGCTTAGTTTCCAAACACCTTCAAAAACTTGATCTGCAGAATAATTTTACATGAACATCAGAATAGATTAACTAGTATGTGTGGAAGTCTGAGGTTGCACACTCAAATGATGGTCATAAAGTCTAGTAAACTTTACTCTAAATCATGGTTGCGAAACTCTGGCATATGTATGGACAAAGGCAAATCTGATAAAAGCAAGCTATATTAAGCTGCAGTTAAACTTAACTCATATTACCCAAGCCTGACCACTGATATGTTTTTAAAAACAAAACCCAGTCTTCCCATTGACTGCTAGGAGTTTCATAGACCTATTAGTGCCATTCAAAGAATGATACCAATATCCACCCACAATTTAAAAAATACAGTGGTACCTTGGGATGCAAACGGGATCCGTTCCGGAGCCCCGTTCGTACCCTGAAGCGAACACAACCCACACCTGCGCGTTGCTGCTTCCGCGCGTGATGCCATTTTGACCGTCTGCACATGTGCACGCAGCGGAACCCGGAAGTAGCACACTTTGTTACTTCCGGGTCGCCGCGGAGTGCAACCCAAAAATACTTAACTTGAAGTACAGTTATCCCGAGGTATGACTGTAGGAGACTTAAGGGCCGTCACATGGAAGAGAGAGCACGCTTGTTTTCTCCTGCTCTTGAGGGTAGGACTTGAGGCAATGGCTTCAAGTTACAAGAAAGGAGATTCCAACTAAACATCTGGAAAAACTCCCACAAGAGGTGGTGGACTGTCCTTCCTTGGAGGTTTTTAAGCAGAGGTTGGATGGCTATCTGTCATGGATGCTTTAGCTGAGATTCCTCCATTGCAGGGGGTTGGACTGGGTGTTTTCCAACTCTAAGTTTCTATGATGCATATATAGGGTGGGACATGTTCAAAACTTAGGCCAGACATCAGTTGGGAAACTTAACACCACATTTACAGCGTTCTGGGTGAAATATAATAACTTATAACTCCTTTACTAGTGTGCTACTTGCTAGACAACTTTCTAAGAAAGTCTGGCTGGCATTAAAAAAAGAATTTCACCGAGACTTCTCTGCACACAAACACATTATTTGTTAACAGCAGCATTTTTGGTTCTCAAAAAGATTTGCAAGTTTTGTGTCAAAGAAATGAAAGACAGTATTTCTTTTTTCCTTATTGCATAGCAACCTCATACCCCCTCTTATCTGCACACACTCCTGCCTACCTGTCTAAATATGGGCAGTGTACTATGCTGCTGGCAGTCCTCCTCATTTCAACGCTGCACAAGAACAGAAGAGCCTGCTAGATCAGGTCTGTTTTTGCAGCAGCCAACAATCAGAAGGTCTGTGGGAAGCCTGAAAGCAGAAGCTGAGCATAACAGCAGCATTCTCCCCACTCATCATTCCCAGGTCACAGCAACTGGGGGTTCAAACAAGTAGAGATAAGCCATTGGTAGAGAATTAACTGCAGTCAAACATACCGTATTTTTTTGCTCTATAAGACTCACTTTTTCCCTCCTAAAAAGTAAGGGGAAATGTGTGTGCATCTTATGGAGCGAATGCAGGCTGCGCAGCTATCTCAGAAGCCAGAACAGCAAGAGGGATTGCTGCTTTCACTGTGCAGCGATCCCTCTTGCTGTTCTGGCTTCTGAGATTCAGAATATTTTTTTTCTTGTTTTCCTCCTCCAAAAACTATGTGCGTCTTGTGGTCTGGTGCGTCTTATAGAGCGAAAAATACGGTAACTATGCATAAGTGCATGAAGGCATTAAGACCAGAGATGTCTGTTCCTAGACTCAGCCATGTAACTGACCAAAGAAGATGTGCCTAAGTTCCAAGCTTAGAGCAGGTGTTTGAAGCTATCTTTCTGTATTTTCTACCCACTAGTATTCTGCCTGCGTTCTCTTTGCTGCTGCTTGGATAAATGAATGAATCTCTGACCTTTGCAAGCAAGACATTTTAAACTTACTTAATAGCATGCAGTCAGTTCGCTGCAAGATGGGTAGAAAGAATGCTGTTTGCAAGCAGGCTAAATAAGATAAAAGGGTCTAACAACATAAAGCTATAGAGCTGCTTGACTTTTGTTAATTTAAACTCTGCTACTGGGGGCTCTCTCCTGCTAGCAGGGACATAGCTAGGGGGTTGGTCAGGTTGGACCACGCTAAGGGCACAGTTGGGGGGCGGGGCGGATACAAAGAAATGCACCTCTCTACTCTGGCTCGGAGTGGGAGCCATCGCAACAGCCTTGCCGGGGGGGGGCTCTCCCCAGTCTGGCCATCAGAGCGCAAGGGATTGGGGGGGATCCATCTCCTTGCCCAGAGCGCAAGGGAGCTCAGCTATGCCTCTGCCTCTTGGGAGTGAATTTAACCCCGCATTTTGAATCCAGGAACCGAGATTCTTTTGTTATTTACTCCCCTCCCCCTTCAAAAAAATAACCCCCACATACCTTTGGGTCACAGGCAGGGCTTTTTCAGCCAGAACTCGCCCGAACTCAACTCCGGCACCTCTCAGGTGGGCGCCACTGCCATTATAAGAGAACAAGGGAGGCGTTCTTAGGGATTTCCGGTTCCTCTTTTTCTAGAAAAATAGCACGGGTCACGGGGATTTGTCTTTTCCTCCCCCCACACCATGGATAGGGTTGGCCACGGTCACCGAAAGCGAAAGCTGCTGCTCTGAAAAGCGGCGACAGACTCACACCCGCCCACACCCCTGCCTTCCTGAGGGGGAAAACGCTTCTCGCCCGCATTAGACGCCGTGCAACCGTCTGGGGGGGGGGTGAAAAGGGGAAGGCGGAACGGCAACCCTGAAGAGGGAAAATGCCTCGTCATCCAGGCCCGGGGGGAGCGGGGAGAACGACAGGAGAACCGAGGCCACGACCACTGGCTGGCGGGGCGTCCCCGCCTGAGGGAAAGAGGCGACGGACGGAGGAAAACTGAGGAAACCACCACGCCCACAACCAACGAACTCACAACCCCCTCAGCCGCATTAGCAGCGCGCGCGCACCACCTGAGGGATTCGCTTCGCCAACCGCCAACGGTTCCTCGCGCTTTTAAAAACAAGCGAACCAAGGCAGCGGACCCTCGCAACTTCCGGCGGCCACAGCTCAACCGCGCTTCCTCGGATCCGCGAGCTCGGCCGTCATCCGCCTCGACCTGGCGCTCGCCGGCTTCCTTCGCTCGCGCCTCTCGATCGGCGGTCGACTTGGCTCGCCTGCCGCGGGCGCTCTGATAGCCGCCTGATAGGGCGGTGGCGAGGTTGGGATGCTTCTTGTCTCGACGAGATGCGCGCGGGGTGGTGCTGCAAAAGAGAGGGCAGTTCTTCTCGCCAGAGTGCAAAGGCAAAGGCATCTTATTTCGAAGTAGAGTGCTTTTGTTCTTAAACTGATAGGTTTTACTTTTATTGCAGCAATAACAGTGCTTAGCCCATTTGCAAAACTAAGCAGGGCCCGGTGTGGTTTCAAATTGGATGGGGGACCGCCTGTTGAAATACCTACATTGTAAGGGGGTTGGACTAGATGATCCTGAGGGTCTCTTCCAAATCCATGATTTTGCGAAACCCGGGACTCTTATGCAGAAGACGGAATTGTAGCTGGTGTACTACAAAACGGCTGAAAGGTGTAGTAGCCCTGTCCTCCTTGGCGGGTGGGCGGGCAGCCGCTTTAATTTAGAAGTACCCACTGATGGGGGACGCGGGTGGCACTGTGGGTTAAACCACAGAGCCTTGGACTTGCTGATCAGAAGGTTGGCGGTTCGAATCCCTGGGACGGGGTGAGCTCCCGTTGCTCGGTCCCTGCTCCTGCCAACCTAGCAGTTTGAAAGCACTTCAAAGTGCAAGTAGATAAATAGGTACCACTCCAGCGGGAAGGTAAACTGCTCTGGTTCGCCAGAAGCGGCTTAGTCATGCTGGCCACATGACCTGGAAGCTGTACACCAATAAAGCGAGATGAGCACCGCAACCCCAGAGTCAGCCACGACTGGATCTAATGGTCAGGGGTCCCTTTACCTTTACCTTACCCACTGATGGTAAATTCTGTCACATCCTCAAGCTTCATTTAAGCTGTGTAGGTTTTGTTTTTGTTTTTTAAAGTGTATTGTCTTTAATATAGTAAAACTTTTAAAGAGGTCCATTACAGAACACTGTTGCAGAACAGTATGTGCACCTACCGTTCTCCATTAATCTGTGTTGTCTTTTGTTGAGTTTTCAGGGATTTGTTTTACTGGATTATTATATAGGCCACCAAAACTGAGCACCTTTTTAAAGGGAGAACAGTAACACCCACAGGAGATAGACCAGCCAAGATTTTAGGTACCATAATCGTGTAATGCACTGGTTTTCCAGCTGGTGGATTGGGAGAGTTTCAGCCTGATCTAAGTGGGGTCACAACAGCAGCATGCAAACATATGTTAAATGATTAAGAAAAATTCAGGTTCAGCTCCTGAATTCTCCTGTTAATGGTCTTTTTGTCAGGGAGGTGCATGCCTTTGCCAGGGTATGCTCCTACTGTCTTGATGCAAATATCTGTTTTGTCTTGGAAGGTTAAGTACCCTGAGACTTAAGCTGCATACCTGTTGAAAGTGTGAAACCATATATCTGAATAAGGTATTATGCATACTTGCTTTCAACTTGCTGCTTTCAATCCACAAGCATTATAGATCCTGCCATCCACAAAGGTGGGTATGGTTAGGTGATACACACTAAAATCCCTCCCTTTGATAGGGTTTCCTACGCTTTTTCTATACACACCTATACAATATCTCCCACAGGAACTTGAGTACCTGTGCATGTAGGTTATAACTGTTGTTGTAATTTGTACATTAATATTATTGGACAAGTTCAGATTTTCAGACAATCAGAAAAAAGCAGGAACTGTCAGTTAAAAGTATTGCTATTTTTCTAGGGGAAAAGGTGCGGGAACTCACCATAAACACCTCCCTCGTTCTTTTAGAATGACCCTTGCCCACTTTGAAATAGGCATAAGACCTCTGGAATATGTGGGTATTTTCCTCCCTGCCTGAAGGAAAGCCACCCAAGCACACCCATTGAGTTGGCAATCTAGAAAGTCCTGGAAGAGGAGTAGCCACATGTATAAGACTAATTGAAAGACTTAATTAAGATCAGGAGCAATATTTTTAAATTTGTCCCATTCCTTGTTTTAGAACAGCATCCATAGTGCATTGTATAATAATTAGTGTATGACATCTTTGAGTATATAAATGCCAAAACAATTTCTCATTTCTCTATCAGGTGTCAAAGTCTTTATTGAGTTTAAAGCACATATACATTTCTATGGTAACCTCAACTTTTTATGATAGTTAAAAAGGTCTTGCTACAGTGCACATAATTTATTAATAAGAACCAAGTCTTAACTGTACTTCAAATAAATAACCTAAATATTCAAGAATTTAATTTAAAAGCATAACTGTACAATATGAAAATATAAACAATACATAAAACATAATACTCTAAAAGATATTTAGAAATAAATTTGTAATTCTGTATTATATAGACAGTGCAAGAAATAAAAAAAATTCAAATAAGCCTCTGAACTGGGAAATCATTTACTTTTACATTATCATGCAGACATAGCATTTCAAGCCATGCTGTTGCCTTTAATATGGTACTCTACATGCACACACAGGAGAAACAGCATGTGCAGCCAGAGGTTGCTTTGAAGACTTCATCATAGTCATTTCCAGAGTTACAATAGCAAGCTACTTCTCCGCTTCATATATATTAAAATCTTCAGCAATACAATCAGTTCTGATAGAAACTTCAGAGAAATCTCTAGCTGCATATAGTTTTCTCCCATGTGTGCATGAGGGTTTGAGGGATCGTGGCTGTAGTTATTAAAATTACTGTTACCAACCTTATCCAACTGCATGCTTTCTTTCCTACAGTACCTTACAAAGAGGTATTTTGTTGCATTCAAAAGTTTTAACATCTCTTCAGCAAACCAATAGGCTTTTTCCCCACCTAAAGCTTAGGAGTGTAGAACATCCAATCAAAACAATCCCAGTTAAAAACCAACATATTATACCTAATGGACTGTGATCAAGAGTCAGCCACTACCTAACCACCTTTCAAGTTCACAATTATAGATACTAAAATCAAAATATGAAATTTTGATGCAAAACAAATTTGACCACTAGTTAAGATGTGATGTAAGCAATGGTGTAGAATACAGCATAACTAGTTGTTGTTTTAAAAAAATCTATTTTGTGTGGACCTAGCGATATTTCATGTGAACTTGAGTTAATTATGAATCAGTTTTTATTCCTGTAGAAAATAAAATAGTCATAGAGGCAAAGACCAGAGAATGCAATAAACACTAAACTGTAAACACATAATTAGTCTTTTGGAGTGCACACTGACATTGCAAGAGCTTGTTCCACAGACTTCGGCAACAAGACTACGATAGGTCACAGCAGCATGAGATCACATGGAAAGCACTGAACAATAATACTATCACACACCAACACCTCCTAGCAATCAGGTAACTGAAGGGAAACATCTCTGCTCCATGAGATGCTTTCCTGATCAAATGCTGCTCTTTTTAATGCCTAATTTAATGTTCCAATAGTCTTAAATGTGTGTGCTTTATCTGTAGGCTTAAAAACTACTCTTTAGCCGTTATAGGTCCAGAGTTTTACAGTTCTGTCTGCAGAAGATGACAAGAAGGAAAGATCTTGTGTATGCCATCTGCACTGAATCACTTTGTCTTTATGCTCCCCTACCACCATCGTTGGGAGCTGCTTGGTAAGGTCCCCTGTGAAAAAGAAATAGAGTCATTATTGTTTACCTGAACTTTTTAGAATCACCATTCACTTCACTTGATTGCATTTACAACTTTTACATCACATCCTGATAACTCAGTAACTCAATAAGGTCGGTTCATATGCTGCCAAGGGGTAGTGAAAGCAGCAGCACAGATGATTTGTTCTTCTTTCCCCATTTCTACCTTTACAGCACAAGGCTATACATGTCTACTGAATTGAGGGAGCTTGCTCCCAAGTAATTCGGCATAATTCCAATGTGTAAAGAATTTGCTGGCCTCAATAGCAACAACCACCTTGCGCTTCAGAAGCCCTCTGAGGCGAACAGATCTTGCTCACAAATCCCACTTCATACTTTCTAGAAGTAGTAAAGTTTGAAGCAGCAGCTACCCATTGTATTTCTTTCTCTGCCTTCTGGTAATCCATGAAATTATCTTAAAAAAATAAAAAATGAAAACTCCCTGTTGTTTCATTGCTGATTTAGCAGTTAAATTACCTTGCAAGTCTGTCACTTTTATTTTCATATCATAAGAACCCGTGAGAAGGTAATGAGCCCCAGGGGAAAAGCGGACAGAACGGACATCACTGGAATGAGGATGGTAACTCTGCACCATTCGCCCTCCACGAATATCATACAGCATGCAGCTGGAATCCTCCTGGCCTGTAGCTAGAAGACGACCACTAGGATCTACAGCTACTGATGCCACAGCACTGCCTGCAGGGAGAAATCCCATAAATGAAATCAGTACCATTTCTCTAGATAAGGTGTGTGTTGTTTACAATAAAGATTTTTTAAAGAAGTCTTTATAAAATATAGATCAGAATAAAGGTAGATGCATTTCCAGGCATCTGATACAATTCAGCATAGGGACCAGGGGAGATGTAACTGAGCCAAAGCATGTGCTATTGAGATAATCATTATTCTTCCCCTGCCTTTGCATGCCTGCCTTTTCTTCCATTTCCCTATGTTTATTACAGGTTGTAAGTCCCTTGGGGCTGGGGCCTTCCATACCTGTTCCTTGGCGGGGGGGACGGACCACATGTACATAGATGATATTATATTAATAAATCTTTTTAACTGTACTATCACTTAATTGTTTACTTGTACTGTCATTTAAATTTAGATAAATATGGCAGATATGGTTGTTTATTATGCAGATCTGCTATAAATGTACTTTTAACTAACAGCAAACACTGGTTAATGTTTCAAAGAAGTTCTTCTGTATGCTAAAAAACAATCTTCAATACCAGAATGAGACAGGAAATGGACCTAACCCGTGGCTCCTTAAAAACTGGCACTCATTGCCTTTATTTTCCTGATAAAAGGCATCAGATAAATTTTAGAAGGATTGCTAGCCTTTGCACTTACTCATTTTAAAATCTGATGTCCCTCTCTTCATCCAAAGACAATAGCGTGGGTTGCAACAATACATGAAGCAGTCAATAGTTTAAAAATATTAAATCATCAACATAGTAAATTAATGTGAAAGTTTTATAGAGGGCATTCCCCTACACCAAAAAAGTCTGATTGAAAAAGGTTTGCAGCTGGCCCCTAATGCTGAAAAGTGGCACAGCCACACCTCCAGGAGTTAGTGCTTTCTATATCCAGGGTCCTATTACTGAAATGGGCCCTTGTACCTTGTAAACAGAAGTTAATTTATGTGAATTTGTTTCCAAATATTTATGCACAGAACTCGCTATTTTCCAAGCAGCAACTCTACTGGCCAACCATGGCAAGGATTTTTTCTTGGCTTCATCATCAGTAACCTTACCAGTTCCATGAAAAGTTGTTCCAACAACGCGAACACAACTAGGTACTCTGAGATCCCAGAATCGTACGGTCTTGTCTTGGGAGCCAGACGCTATCATCCATCCACTCCATGTATAAAGTGCTAAAATGTGACCTGCATGTAAGGAATTTTGATTTGTATTCATTATTAATAGAAATATTGATATTATTACATTGATGATTAAAATTATGGATATACTAGCTAGGAATGCATGTTTATCAGCAAAATGCACTTTTGTCATACAAGTAAGAGAAATGACACGTTCTACATGTAACAAGGGTAGTTTTGCCAAAATTTGCGAATTTACACAGTAAAGTGTACAATGTGGTACATTTTAAACTTTATTAAAATGGTTCATTAATCCAGCAACACACACTGTTTGTTGTTAGTAAAACTGATTGAGACCAAAGGCTACCAAAGCTTGACCAGAAACATACCAGTATGACCACTCAGAGCATGGAGGCCTTGCCCTCGCTGGCAGTCTGTTGTATAAATATTGCAGTCCCCAGCTCCAGCGCTTATTAAAATGGCACCACCACTTTCGGGACCTTCCATAAAAGCTAAATCCCTAATGGTTCCATCATGCATGCTGAATTCCAAATCTGGCCCTAAAACAGATGGAGAACAGAGTGAACAATTATCACACACAGAGAGAAAATTAGGAGTTTTATAACCATTCAGGACACTACTTAATGTTAAAACACAACAACTGGTCTGGTTTTTATTATAAAAAAATCTTCCAAAGATTTAAAGCTAAGGTTCTTAAATTTTTTTAAGCTTTCTTACAATACCATAATCTTTATTGTCAATGTCCCATACAGAACAACGAAATTGAAAATCTACATCATACATTCTGAAACCAACAAGCCTGCTATCCCAGCTATCTCAGCCTGGTTAGCCCGCTAAAAACTCTGATACCCCATAATTAAATACATAAATACAAATATTCTCCCATAGAGACCTTACACTGTGTTTAAAACCAAAATCGCATTTGAATAGAAACTGTTTCTCAGGCGGCTAGTCCTAGTCGTTATAACCCTGTACCTTCTTCCAGAAGGCAGAAGCTGAAAGAGATCATTTCCGGGGTGTGCACTATCCTGCACTATCTCTGCAGCTTTCTTATGGCACCTGGAAGCATAGATTTGATCCAAGGTGGGAAGAGTGCACCCAATTAATTCTCTCCGCAGTCTTTACAACCCTGGACAGCATTGCTTTTTCCCTGACCATGCAGCTCCCAAACCACACACACAGACCATAAGTTAAGAACAACAACCCAAGATGGTGGCGCGTGCAGACGCTGCGACTGACAGCTCCTTGGAGAGGAGTCGGGGTTTGTTAGGACAAATTATTTATAGCCGATATGCAAGCTTTCTCATCCCCTAAACAATGCAAGAAATTATATGCTCTTAAGTGTATAAAAAGTCAATTGTTACAAGCAATTGTAACAACAGTTTGTACTTACCTGTTGCATTGCAGGTGTCTGCATTGAAAGGTAGCACTTTAACATATTTGTCATTGGAACCAGTTGCCAGCAATTGTCCACAGGGACTCCAGGCCACACAATAGATTGATCCTTTGTGATGTTTGTTCCTTTTGAAACGTACCGCGGGCTGCTTAGGAGTGTTACTATCACTAGGGGGGGGCAAATGAAAGTGAGATGATTTAGTGCTTTTGCATGTCTGGACAGGATCTGTAACAAAAGGCTAATAATTCTACTCTTTTGGAAGGATAGAGTAATTAGCAAATATTTTAAAACGACATAACTGCATTTAAAATTATTTATCGTTTCTTTTGTATTAAAAATATGAACTATAGAAAGGGTCCCTCTTCTAAAGTGATGCACTTTTAAGGATAGTGTGTTTTTCTTGAGCATGCAAAAAAGCCTACCTTCAAAAGGCTTATATTAATTGTTTTAATGAGCTGTAAAGTGCTTTTTAAAAAATGGTGCAGAACACAGCTGCCCAGCTCTTACTGGAACCTTCTGTAGCAAGGCAGATGCTCTGCCATTGAGCTAAGGTCCTTCTCCAACCTTTAGAAACCCTTTAAATTAATAGAAATACATTTTAAATGAAACACACAATAAACAAATGGCCTGGTGGGAACAAGATAACTTCTGCCCAATACCACTGTCCTTGTCCAATATGGGATCCCAACACACTGTTCTTAAGAGAACCTGAGAGATCTAATTATCAATCTCTAATCACTAATCTAGTTTTGCCTTTAGCAGAATGTAGGGAAATTCATACTTTTTAAACTTGTAAAATCATTTTCCTCACCAATGCACTTGCCTACCAGAAGTTCAGCTGAGACAACAGAATTTAATTAATTAAATCAGAATTTAATTAAAACACAACAGACTGCTTCTGGCACTACCGCAGCTAAAGCCAAGCCACTTTGTTTTCAGATAACAGGAGTCTCCTTCAGATGTGCACATTCAGCATTAATTGAACAAAGGGCATCCTAGCCTGCATCCCCATTTGCCAAAGCAGGGTGCAGGCTAGGATCCAGTTCCTGATAGGTGGCGGGGGCTTCTGCCCCCCTGCCCACCTATCAGGAAGGGCGCGGCAGTTCCAGTTCCCACGCTGAGGCTCCAGTGAAGCCTCTGCTGTCCTGCAACGCCGCCACACCAAGAGGGGTGAGCAGACTTTCAGAACATTTAGGAAGCATGACAAACATTGGAAGGCAGCTACAGGAGACTTGCAAGACTATTGGTATCTTCAGATCTTGACCATTGCATTAATGGAAAAGTTAACAAGGTAATAACAATAAGCAAAAACAAACCAACAAGGGGGGCATGGGAATGAGTGCGCAAACACCACCCCCTGACCCTTCATGAGTACAGAAGGTTCTCTACTTCAAACAGTCACCTTCCAACACACAGAAGATGATAAGGATATTGAGGATGGAGCTAGCACATTCAACCCCTACAGTTCCCCGCCACAGTACGTTTTTGTTACTACTGAATGTGCATGCCTGAAAAGCCGGAATACCACAACTTCCACTTTGCCAAAGTGAATTAGCCACTTCTAATATAACACTTTAAGCATTGTAAAGGCAAAAAATCAATGGAAAACAAAGGACTTCAAGTAATCTTGGAAGAGAGGAAACCAGATTTCATGATTTTCAGATATAGTCACATAACAATTTCCATTTCTACTGTAGTTTTTCATGTGCAAAAAACTTGTATCTTGGAAATTGCAAGACTGCTTTAAAGTTCTTAGTTAAAAAGGTAACAGAAATAATAATCTGCCTGCCATTATTTTTCTTCTCTATCTTAATTTAACCATTATTTATTAAAGATGCAGGAAAACAGCTGATTAACAATCATTACTTACAAGCAAAAGTAGAAACTGTAAAAGCAGTGGAATCATGTAAATATTTGGCTACTGGACAGTTTAAATAAAAGCAAGATGCTAATAAGGCAACTGAAAGCTAATACAACCAAGAAGCTTTTAGTGATAGCAGATTTTTTTAAAAAAAAGGTCATGCTGCAGAAGCTGTAAAGTGAGGCTGTTGTAATGAAGAGTGAAAGCAGAGGAGTACAAAATATGGAGAAAGTGGTATACTCAAGTAGTTATGGAGCAGGCACATAATACAAAGCCAAAAGAAACAAAGCCAAATGATCTGGCAACTCCAAAGTGTTTGTAAGAGGAAATACTGTAAATTTACTAGTTACTTTGTTGTCATCTTTACAGAGGAAGACTGCGAAGATCTGCCTAAGTCAAATACCAGTTTTCGAGGAACAGCAGAGGAGGAGCTAAACAGCATATAAGCAAACAAGTTATAAATGGACTAAACACACACACACAAAATATTCTGTAAGAGTAACATATTTATGGCTTTTTAAATTTCACAAGGTGAAGGCTGGGTCACATTTAAAACAGCAGCAGCACTACACTCGGCAACATTTTATAATGCAAACAGCCAACTCACTGAACAAACATCCCATCCTACTACAGCGTTTGCTACCGACATTTGCTCCCATTTGCCATGCTTGCAGCCACACAAGTCCACAGAGGTGAGAAAGCTAAGCATGATACATGGAGGAGTTCAAACTACTTCATATTGTTTTTTGTTTTACTCAGATGTTTGAGCAAAAGTGAAATAGTATGGGTCCAAAAACAATTTCAAGTAATTTCACCAATTTCAGTGAAACGGCTTGCCAAGCTCACTAATATTAGAACTTGCTACTGGTCACCTATGCATAGTAATTGATGTTACTATGAGCTACAGTGAACCTCACAAAAATCCTGTAAATAATAAAGTAACTTCTATTTGGCATTTATTTTTTGTTTGTTTATTTGCTAACCATAGTTGGACAGTCAAGAAGTTCACCTTACGGTAGTTATTCAGGTAGGAATTTGCTGAAATTCCTTTTTTAAGACTTCTGTTTCTGCTTGTTCTGCTTCCTATACATCAGAATATTTAAGATTGCCACTGGCAACCTCCATTTTTCTATGTACATAAAAATGTAAGGTTGTTATCGTGCAGCCCCCATTGAAGGATATGTAACCATCACAATCCTGAATTTGCAAGAGAGGGGAGCAAAGAGATGGCAGATTTAAACAACAGCAGAGGTTTGAATAAAGTATGGTTGGAGCTGTGAGGGAACAGACGTTGATCTGAAGGAGCTGTGAGGGGATGCGGTATGTGTGTGTAAGGCATAAAGATTTATTTAGCTGGGTTGGCGAGCAACAAGAGCAGGGACAGCAGCCCCAAGTTTATACATAAAAAGTTGGGCAGGGATAAAACTTTATTTTCCCTACGTATAAGCTTTCACTTCAATATCAACAGCAAAACATATGGTAACTTCTCAGCAACGGCACAACAGTAACTGGCTTCCAGTTTAGCATTGGTTCTAAAATGATCTTGAGAACAGTGTGAATATTTTGTCTGCCTTAAATTTCCTAACCATGCTTATAAAAATGAAATGAGGATAATGGGGCAAAAATTGTGTCACTTGTAATGCCAATGTTTCAGATTGCTTTCCAAAAATGAAGTTATAGAATACTGATATTCTATTAATATAAGAGAGTTTTACATTTTTCAGAGTAGCCCAATTCGTGTGAAAAATCTTGAGTAATATTTTTGTAGCCCTCAAGGGGTAAAGTTCCACAATAATCAATGACATGTTAAAAAATAAGAAATGGAGAAAATGAGGGTCAGAAAAGCAGAGCAGAAATGGATACAAATGTCAGACATAACTGATGGGGGACAGATTAACAATCAATAATTACTCCTACCTTGATTCCTGGAGTTCTGGATAGGCACATACTCTTAAAGTTTTAGAATTTGAGCCAACAGCATAAAGAGTGCCACTTGGATGAAAAGCCACAGCTCTGACAGCTTGTGTATCTTCTAGGGTATTGACACAAATGAATTGCTTTTTTGATTTGTCATCCTGTTGTGTCAAAAGTTACAATACAAGTGACTATTTCTCCATAGTTCTTTACAACTAGAATGCCATACATGATATTATTCTACTATTAGGAAAAGGTTGCATATCAACTCAACATACGAAAGCAACACCTGGTTTGGGCAATAGTTCAGGGATTCATAAACCGTAATTTGTGAAACTGTGAGAAAGGGTCAGGGTTGAAAGCCAAAACTTAAACTCTCTACTGTTGTCCAAGGATTTCCCATGTTACACATTATGATATAATGCCACCCCCAACAATTTTGATGCATGGGGAACACACTACATTTAGAATTCTGGATGTAAAAACTAAGGGTACATTTTCACCTTCACTGGGGTGGAGTCTATTTAAATGAGATATTTGGTTGGTGTGCTTCTAAACACACTGCAATGCTTGTAGTGTGCTACTAGGTAACACTATACTACACTACACACAGGTTTTGATATTGGAATGTTCATTATCCGAAATCTCAGTTATCTAAAAACAAAAAGTATACCCAAACCTCACTACACAAACAGCTGATTCAGATATCTGAACAGCCAGAGTTTGCCCACTTCCTGACTTGCATTTATTTTGCTGGCTAGCAGCAGCCATTTAGGGCAGACACCATGGAGGGAAGGAGAGGGATTGGACAAAGTGGGGAAAGATTGCAGAAATCAACTTTTCCTTTGTTTGGCTTTTGCTGATTTGCAGCAGTTTCAGGTAGAAACCATGGCGAGGGAGGGAGGGACAGACAACGGACAAATCACAGATTAGAAATGTTCCCATGGGAAATAATTGAAATCATCAGCTCATTATGTGAATGCTCCCCTGATGAACAATTTCCTGGGAATGCACTGTCTTCAGAAAGTTGGACCTGTGTGTACTACGTGGCAGAATACAAGTATGATAAGGAACTCACATTTAGGACATTTGTGAATTTACAAAAATAATGATAATGAATGCTATATTTGCACCAGCCCTGATGCTGCAACAGTGACATGATTATACAAACTTGGCATTTAGGTAGCCTGGGCAAGAAGTTCAAGTTGCATCCATCTTAAATGCTTGGGATAAGCATGAAACAGTCACGTTCTAGTTTACAGCCTTAACATTTTTGTGTGAAATGAAAACACACTCATTTAAAAGGTCAGGTACTACAAAACACATTTTTAATATAGTTTAGTTTCCTTTTATTAGTTATGTGAATAAAAACAGTAATTTTCCTCGGCTTTCTGGGACACATGAAGCCTTATGGAAAAGATACCTAGCATGAGTCTTAAATATGGGACTGTCATTTTTTTAGATATTCCACAGTCATATCTGTTCTTGATGTCCAAGTGATTGGCAGCAAGACTATGACTATATTTTGGGGTACTCCACCATAGCACTGTACAGTTTCTTATTGTTTACCTGTCATTTTTTACATTTTGAAAAAACCAACAATAAAACTTTTTTTAGGATGGAGCCTTTTCATTGTAATGCAAGATGCTATTAAGTCCTACCTCATCACCACTTGCTCTTGTTAAATTCCCTGGAGAATCTTCACGTTGTGCTGGAATGGCACCATGCTCTGGCATTCTGTTTTGATACACAAAATTTAAATTCAAATTTAAATGTAACTTTCCCTGTTATTTACACCCATGTCACCTTCCTCTGCTTCCCCGTCCCCTTGCTTTCTTGGTGCTGCCCTCCATTCTTCTCCTTTCCCTTCTTATTCTAAATCAAGCAACAAATGTAAATTTATAATTGTCTGTTGCTAGTTATTCAGCAATAAACTGACATCTTCAAATTCTAGAGTAAATATTGAAGATATTTTTATGTGCTGCCATAATTGAAGGACATTATTGAGGAATGCCCTATGAAGAGAGTTTGTCTACGTGGAGGTAATCTGCCTGAATACTTGCCCACTACTTACTGGTTTGCCCAAGCTACGAGGACTTAAAAGCAGCCATGTTCATATAATTAAATTGTTTAAGTATTTGACTAACTTGGGGGGGGGCAGGTTCCCCTGGACCTCTGAAAAAGTGGCCTGTTTTGCTTTTAAAGTAGCAATTTTAAGGAGAAAAGTTTATGGGGATGATGAGTTAAATTCTTCAGGGTAGCAAATTCTTATCTGATGGATAACTGTGTAATGTATTTTATTCTGTTTTATGTGTTTTATCTTTAGTAATAGCTTCAAGTAGACTAAATAATTAATGCTTTTTTGTACAGCTCATGAACAAAGTTCTCTGAGCAGTTCACAAAAGTTATGAACCAAATATATAAGAAAATATCAATGCAATGCTCACAAAACCATTAGAAATTCAGTATAAAACAGCTACACACTAAAACAGTATAATTAAAAAGATCCCCACCTGGCACCAAAGACCACAATGCAAACACCAGACAAACGTCTCTGTTGAAGGCACCAATGCACCACAACTGAAAAAGTCCTTCCTCCCCACTTCTCCCCATCTGATAGGCACACCTGGAGATTGCCAGCTCTTCAGTCCTTTAGGTAGCCTAGACCCAAGCTATTTAGGTCTTTAAAAAGTTAACAACAGCACCTTGAATAGGATCCAGAAATACAGTGGAAGCCAGTGCAGATGACAGAGCCCAGTCTACTGAATATGGCGTGTTAGAACTGTTGTGGGCCCCAACGGACGATTATGTAACTATGTGATTTTTAACCCTGCCTGACGGAACAGTCCAGGGAGGGGAAAGTATACACAGAAAGAGGTTTTTGTGGGGCTTTGTGTGTTTTTCTTATTCAGGGGAACAGAAAGGTTAGGAGCTAATTGCATGAGGGGAAAAAGCCCGTTAAATTAAAGGAGGGGTAAATAAAAACGGATTAAGCCAAAGTGGTCGATATCAGGGCAGAGAGTTGAAAAGAGAGAAAGAGGAGTGGCTGCTGAAGGGAGAGAGCAAGGCTGAAGGAAAGGTATACTGACCGCTAATATTTTTTTAAAATTTCTTTTTATTAATTTTCATTTAAAAAACCCCAAAAGTGAACAAATCAATAATACCCGCACAACAATAAACAACAACAAAATAATAATAATATAGTTTCCATTACAATCCTTCATCATCTTGTTTATATCCCTCCTATATATACATGTTGACCTCCTCCCCCCCCCCCCCCGATTTCGGGCTTCATGGTAAAGCTTCTTTTTTGCAGTTTCGTTATTAATTATTTACACGTCGTAAGATTTATGTGAAACCTGCTATGGTTTTAAAGTTTCTAAAATTTCCTTCAATGTATGTAAAAAACTTACTCCAGTCACTAATAAACTTTGTACCTTTTTGGTATCTAATTTTTTGCGTCATCTTTGCTAGTTCCGCATATTCAACTAATTTTATTTGCCAATCTTTGACAGTTGGAATATCCAAATTCTTCCATTTTTGTGCTATTAATATCCTGGCGGCCGCTGTCGCATATTGAAATAATGTCTGATCTTCTTTTTTAATTTCATCTCCAATTATTCCCAACCGCTAATAGACTTTGAGAAGAGGCTCTGCAAACTGCTTCTTCAGGCAGGAGAGAAAAAACAGAGAGAGACACCTGCCTCCCAGAATTCTATGTTCTCCTGCCTCATCGCCAGATGAGATCATACAATGAATGGATTCCAACCAGCACAAATAGACTGAAAACACTCCAGGAAATGAATGTTCACTTGTTCCTTGTATGTTTACTTGTAAAAATTTTATCCAAATTTGGGATGGGTGGTATCCATTACTCCTATTTTGCTGGTGCAAGAGATGTGGGCTAGCAGAAATGAACTTTCCCCTCCTCTCTTCAGCAACTCCCTGCAGCCTCCAGATCAGCTTCAGGGAAGATTTTGGTGGTGCGGATGAGGAGGAGAGGAAACTCCACTGCTGCTGCTCTGGATACAGTCAAAAGTATTCTACCAAATGGCTGAGCAAGGCACAATATGTTGTGAGGGTGGCACATCAAATTGATCTGCATATTATTAATCTTAGTTCAGAAGTAGCACTGACATGCACAAGAGTGTTCCAAGTACTTACATTTTATTTCCATGGACAGGTGATTCTTCAAGAGAGGGTATCTGATTAGTGGACCCAAGTTTCTGAGGTGTGCTTGTACTGAACTGTACATTAGCATTTGCTGTTCTCTGACTAGAATCTGGAAGGATGGATACGGTTCCTTTGCTGCCACTGCAATGCTGGTTTAGTGTTTGCACATCATTTCCCAGATTGTCAATTCCCATATTTAACTCCCCCAACTTCTGAACAGACCTGCAGGATAACATTAAAAAAACATAAATGAAGAGCTATGAAAGCATAATTACTATTACATTCAATGTAATGTTGTCACCAATATGGTATTTGGTTAATAAGACTTAAGAAAGGCATCAAATTAATACAAAAAGAACGTCATCACATCCTATCAGCAGATGCTGGGGAATTTACTGTGAAAGTCATTTTATAACAAAATTATACTGAAAATTATAATCAGATTTGAAAATATTCTTTTTAGTGACTATCAGCATTTATTTCAAAGTAAATTCCATTGACTCTAGAGTAAGGCTAAGATTGTAGTCTTTGCTACTGAACAAATCATGGCCTGAAAACCACAAAGATATCATAGCCAACCTGTTAAGAAACTGCTCTGTAAGATTTTGCTGTGCATCTGAACCATCCTCCTGGTTTACCCCTCCTTCTAATAACATTTGCTGATATAGTTGTCGCTGTTGCTCCTTCTGTTCTAAGTGCTGCTGGTATCGTAATCGCTGTCGGTAATATTCCTGAAATTGGTCTGTTGAATCACGAAGCTAAACAAGATTTGACATAAATAAAAGCTTAGACATCATCATTCTCATTACAGTTCTTTATCACCATGCCAATAAAATTTTACATTACCAGAGGCAGGAAAAAAAGCAACGGCTCTTTACTTAAGTGTAACACAGCATTAAACATTTGGTGGTGTATGCTCATTCTGTCTTTAACCACATCTGGAAAACATGAAGACACGCCTGTAAACTTACTGAAGGTGAGTGAGGTATCTGAAGAAGTGTGCATGCACACGAAAGCTCATACCAAGAACTAACTTAGTTGGTCTTTAAGGTGCTACTGGAAGGATTTTTTTTGTTTTTACTGAAAGTGGTTTTTTAAAAAACAACAACATAACATAAAGGCTTGGAAAATCATGAACAAAATTCTAGAATGCATAATTTGATTTTAAATGGAAATCTCCCATGACTAGACAACAAAGGAAACACATTTGCTCATTTGCTGCTGCCACAAATTTTGTGTTCACTTGCCAGCTCAAAAATTTTGGTCAAGGCAATCAAGTTTTAAAATTTATTGCTTCGTAAAGGTAGATACTGAATGGAGTGGGAAGAAACATTTTGCAAGCATGTTACAAGGAAAACTGCAACCTCACCAAGCATACCAAGAACATATGTTGTCCTATATACTTGCCCAAATTAATGGCAGGTCTGCTTATATGCCACAGTCACAACTTTTATCTCATTTTGTATTGCGAGCAGGCAAGCTTCAACAAACAGGCATGAAGTCCTAATGCATGGGTAGGCAAACTAAGGCCCGGGAGCCTGATCCGGCCCAATCGCCTTCTAAATCTGGCCCGTGGACGGTCCGGGAATCAGCATGTTTTTACATGAGTAGAATGTGTCCTTTTATTTAAAATGTATCTCTGGGTTATTTGTGGGGCCTGCCTGATGTTTTTACATGAGTAGAATGTGTGCTTTTATTTAAAATGCACCTCTGGGTTATCTGTGGGGCATAGGAATTCATTCATCCCCCCCTTCAAAATATAGTCTGGCTCCCCCACAAAGTCTGAGGCCCCCTGCTGAAAAAGTTTGATGACCCCTGTCCTAATGCTAAGTAGTTCCAAAACAGAACTAGCTTTGGAGCATGGAGGCAAATTGCATGCTTTGCCTGTTTCTGTGGCTCGTGCTCCCCATTGGTTGGCTGGCTTTAAAAAGAAGACTGAAGTGGAAGACATCCCTCCTGTGCTGTGCTGTGCTGTGCTGTGCTGTGCTGTGCTGTGCTGTGCTGTGCTGTGCTGTGCTGTGCTGTGCTGTGCCACATCTCAGTCCTCATAAAAGAGCAGGAATTTTTAAAATAGCAGTACTGAGTTTCTAAAGAAGAGCTGTTTTCTGGATTTCAGTGGAGGACTGAACTTCTGTAGAAGTTTTATCACAATGGACTGGATCAAGAATTGGAGGTTTCTTAATTCTTCCTACACCATGACTGCAGCTCCTGAAAAGCTGCTCCTGACTATGGTGGACCCTCTGGAACAGTGTGAGGAAGAGCTCAAGGGTCATTTCAGCAGAAGGGATAAAATTGGCTAAAGCAGCAGATGCACCTTTGTGAGTAGAGATTTCCATTGATCCCCTTCTCACTATAACCCCTCCCCAACCCTCATGGGATACTTTGGAACAGATGCACAGGCCTGAAATGACAAGGAGTGGATTGCAAAGAATTATTCTCCCCTTGATCCTATCCATTGTGTTATAAATTGTAGGAATGGTTTCCCCCATAATGACACTTTCTTCTATATACCCTGGAGAGAGTGCATAAGCAAAAACATCAAAACATCCACACAAAATAATTTTTTAAAAAAGAAAAAAAGAAAATATTGAATAAAAATAAATTAAAAATAATAATCATAATAAAAACATCCACACAAATCTACTTCTAAATACTGGGACTGCATGCCATGAAATAAAATTGCTGCATAAATATATTTGGGACCCCACAAACCCCTTTTTACGTTTATATGGCAATCAGTAGAGTATCTTACAGAGGGACACATTCACACACTTTTTAGATGAATCAAGACTTAAGTATGCAGGATGCACAGCAAGCATGCTTGCTACAGAAAAGCAAGCTTCAAAATATCGAAATATTTTGAAATTTGTCTGGCAGGGCAAAAAGCCCAGAATAAAATTTAAGATATTAACAGATGCGAAGGAAAGAGGGGGATTTGCCCTGCCAGATTTAAAATTGTACTATGAATCAGCAGCGTTCTGCTGGATTAAAGAGTGGATGCTCCTCGAGAATACAGATATCTTGGATTTAAAAGGTTTTAATAATGCATTTGGTTGGCATGCATATCTATGGTATGACAAGGTCAAAGTGCATAAGGCTTTTAAAAATCATATTGTCAGAAAAGCATTGTATAATGTTTGGACTAAATATAAAGATCTGTTGGAGAATAAAACTCCAAGGTGGTTGTCACCCTTGGAAGCTAAAGCGGTGAAAAAACTCAATATGGAGATCAGGTGGCCAAAATATTGGGAAATTTTGGAACAAGAAGGGGATCAACTGAAATTACAGAGTCATGAGAAACTAAAAACAAAAGTACGAGATTGGCTCCATTATTACCAAATAATGGAGGTTTATAAACAAGACAGGAAAATTGGCTTCCAGGTGGAGAAATCAAAATTAGAAACTGAACTGTTAGAACCCAATGTTAAGAATTTGTCAAGAATGTACAACTTGTTGCTGAAATGGAATACACAAGATGAAACAGTCAAATCAGTTATGATCAAGTGGGCACAGGATATTGGTCATAATATTATGTTTGCTGACTGGGAATGGTTGTGGACCACCGGTATAAAATTTACGGCATGTAATGCCTTAAAGGAAAATATTATGAAAATGATTTATAGGTGGTACATGACCCCAGTCAAGCTAGCAAAAATATATCATTTGCCTGATAATAAGTGTTGGAAGTGTAAAGAAACTGAAGGTACTTTCTACCACCTTTGGTGGACGTGCCCGAAGATTAAGGCTTTCTGGGAAATGATATATAATGAAATAAAAAAGGTACTTAAATGTACCTTCCCTAAGAAACCAGAGGCCTTTCTTTTGGGCATTGTTGGCCAATTGGTGTCGAAGAAAGACAGAACCTTTTTTATGTATGCTACTACAGCAGCAAGAATACTCATCGCAAAGTACTGGAAGATCCAAGATTTACCCACTCTGGAAGAATGGCAGATGAAGGTGATAGACTATATGACATTGGCAGAAATGACTGACAGAATCCGTGAACAGGGGAAAGAGACGGCGGAGGAGGATTGGAAGAAGTTTAAAGCTTACCGTATTTTTCGCACCATTGGACGCACTTTTTTACTCTTAAAAAGTAAGGGGAAATGTCTGTGCGTCCTATGGAGCGAATGTGTGGTCCCTGGGGCCAAATTGTCGGAGTGCGGCACACTCTTGGACTGGTCTTTGGTAGTGGTGGTGGAGCCGCGCTCCCCTGCCGGCAGCCTCGGCTTCCCCCTGCAGCCCCGGGAAGCTTTGGAAGAACGGGAGGGCTGTGCGCCCCTGCCCCGCACTCCTGGGCTGCTGAATGGGGGGGGGGGGCGGGAGAGCCGCGCTCCCCTGCCGGCAGCCTCGGCTTCCCTCTGCAGCCCCGGGAAGTTTTGGAGCAAGGGGAGGGCTGTGCGCCCCTGCCCCGCACTCCTGGGCTGCTGAATGGGGGCGGGGGGTGAGAGCCGCACTCCCCTGCCGGCAGCCTCGGCTTCCCCCTGCAGCCCTGGGAAGCTTTGGAGGAACGGGAGGGCTGTGCGCCCCTGCCCCACACTCCTGGGCTGCTGAATGGGGGCGGGGAAAGAGAGCCGCACTCCCCTGCCGGCAGCCTCGGCTTCCCCCTGCAGCCCTGGGAAGCTTTGGAGGAACGGGAGGGCTGTGCGCCCCTGCCCCGCGCTTCTGGGCTGCTGAATGGGGGCGGAGGGGAGAGCCTCGCTCGTCTGCCGGCAGCCTCGGCTTCCCTCTGCACCTTTGGAGCAACGGGAAGGCTGTGCGCCCATCCCCCACGCTCCAGGGCTGCTGAATGGGGTTGGGGGGTGCTGCTGTGCCAGCAGCCTGCCTTTCCCCTCTAGGTTTGGAGCAGTGGGCAGGCTGTGCGCCCATGCCCCACACTCCTGGGCTGCTGAATGGGGGCGGGGGGTGCTGCTGTGCCAGCAGCCTGCCTTTCCCCTCTAGGTTTGGAGCAGTGGGCAGGCTGTGCGCCCATGCCCCACACTCCTGGGCTGCTGAATGGGGGTGGGGGGTGCTGCTGTGCCAGCAGCCTGCCTTTCCCCTCAAGGTTTGGAGCAGTGGGCAGGCTGTGCGCCCATGCCCCACACTCCTGGGCTGCTGAATGGGGGTGGGGGGTGCTGCTGTGCCAGCAGCCTGCCTTTCCCCTCTAGGTTTGGAGCAGTGTGCAGGCTGTGCACCCATGCCCCACACTCCTGGGCTGCTGAATGGGGGCGGGGGTGCTGCTGTGCCAGCAGCCTGCCTTTCCCCTCTAGGTTTGGAGCAGTGGGCAGGCTGTGCGCCTATGCCCCACACTCCTGGGCTGCTGAATGGGGGTGGGGGGTGCTGCTCTGCCAGCAGCCTGCCCTTCCCCTCAAGGTTTGGAGCAGTGGGCAGGCTGTGCGCCCATGCCCCACACTCCTGGGCTGCTGAATGGGGGTGGGGGGTGCTGCTCTGCCAGCAGCCTGCCTTTCCCCTCAAGGTTTGGAGCAGTGGGCAGGCTGTGCGCCCATGCCCCACGCTCCAGGGCTGCTGAATGGGGGTGGGGGGTGCTGCTCTGCCAGCAGCCTGCCCTTCCCCTCAAGGTTTGGAGCAGCGGGCAGGCTGTTCACTGAGAGAGGGGAGGAAGAGGACGGAGAGGAGGGGGACCAAGAAGCTGGGTGAAGGGAGATGAGGTACCATAGGTTGCCGTGAGTGGAGAGTCATGGTAGAGGGCAAAGGAGAGGGAGCAGTGAAGGGGAGAAATTGTAGACGTCACCTGAGGAGTTTGGGTGAAAGGGATGGAGGAGGAGGAGGCTGGAAAAGGGGGCTGTTCTGCTGGGGGGGGGGAAAGAAAAATGTGGGGAAAAGGAAAGCCTCCCAAGCCTGCTACTGAGAAGCTCTGCTTGGCTGTTTCTTGACTGTAATTCAAGTAAAGGGAATGTTTGCGAGCAGCTGGAAGGCTGTTCGCTGAGAGACGGGAGGAAGAGGATTGAGAGGAAAAAATGTGGCATTAGCAATGCTTTGGATGGATACGAAGATGGTATTTTACATGAAGATAGCGAAGAAAGTGATGTCTCTGACTGTGAGCAACTGAGCTTCATAAATTCTGACTTTAGCAGTGATGAGTTCTTGGGGTTCACAGACTAGAAGAGTACTCAAACCTTAAAGTCTCTCTTCATTTGTTAATGACAGTGATGATGGTTCTTAATGCCATTGTTGACTGCTGTTCACTTTACATGGCTGTAATGTGATTCTGATATACCAGTTGTTTATTAAATACAGTAGTTTATACAACATTTGATTCAGAATATTTTTTCCTTGTTTTCCTCCTCTAAAAACTAGATGCGCCCTATGGTCAGGTGCGTCCAATGGAGCGAAAAATACGGTATCTAAAGAAATATTATAAAATTAATGAATGTTAAAATGTCGAGGTTTTTGTAAGAAAAGGAGATTACAGCGACAAAATATTAAGTTAAAGAAAAGAACAATAAGGGATAAATTTATTAAAATTAAATTTAGGATTTGCTGAAATAAGTTTGGAAATTGGGATGTAGAAAGGGGAGGTTTGGGGGAGTCGGAGAAGAGAGGTTTATGAAAAAAAGGAGAGGAAATTATACATGTTTGTTTGTTTCTTTATTTGTTTGTATTGTTTATAAAAATGTTGTAAAACCAATAAAAAATATTTTAAAAAAAACAACAGAAAAGCAAGCTTCAAAAAAATCACGTTGCACAGGAGTTCCCATTACAGTACACATTGCCTATGAGCTGCCGAAGAGAACACTACAGTATGCATTTTGTTATTACCAATCAAAGCAGAAAAATTCAAAGGCCCTTTATTAGGTGGAAGCAAAAATATTCCATTACCTCATTTTTTTCTTGCTTGGCTGGTCCTTGATTCTGTGTTCCATTTGCTGGCTCTTTTTCTGGAACTGAGTTCTGGCACACAGTCTCACTGCCTGACAAAGGCTGGGGATCCACTGGCGTGTCACATCTTTCATGGATACAGAGACCAGGAAAAAGCGTTTAAAGTTTTATTTTATGTTAAACCATTTTGCAAATTGCATCTTATATATACAGATACTCATGATTTAAATACATGCTAACCATTTCCCAAACTTAGGCCAGAAAAAAATATTTCCACAACTATGATAGCAACATTTCCCTCCATGCTCACAGTCCTTCACTGGTCTCACAGAACAGCTGGGTGACAAAGAAAGTGACATATCTAAAAGTATGGGGGGGGGGGTAGGAACTGAGCTTTACTATCTCTCAAGACAACAACTGACAAAATGTGTTCCCCTGAAAATAGCAGAGGGAATTGGAGTTTGCCACGTGGCTCAAGACCCATAGCAAACTAAGGGAAGCAATATCTCTCAAGATAAACAATCTAGTGCAGGAGCAAATGTTATTGTGAGAGGTCCAGAGGGTACTAAAAGAAAGTAAGGCTTGTCCATACTTCCACTTGTCCTGATGCTTTCTCCCTGAAAACCCAATCTACCAATTAATCGGAGCAAAAGTCATTCAGTTTACACATGGATTTATGTTCGCTCCGATTCAGCAGTAAAGAATTGATTTTCATGGGGAAAGCGGTGGGGGAAAGCAGAAAACTAATCAGACCTATGCTTTCTAGGTGTGGGACAAGCAAAGTGTGGGCGAGCACTAAGTGAAGTGTCCCACCAGGGCTAGAAAAGTGATGTGAAGATCCTTTAAGACAAAAGAAGTATCAGCAACAGGAGAAGACCCATCGAGGCACAACATATAGATTACCAATAATGCTGATGCACTCTATTTTTAAGTGGACCACAAAAGTCCCAGCTAGATTCTAACATGCCTACAGAAAATTTGGCAGAGATCGTTTAAGAGACTCAGCCATCTGTTCAGTAGCGTCAGCATGTGGCAGCCCTGGTTTTAACACTATCAAAAACACAAATAAATATATCATAAAACAGAACAAAACAGCCTCAGGAAGTTTTGGCAGCACCTAAATAACAAACAGTTTCATCTTAGAAGTGTGCATGCACATGAAAGCTTATACAGTGGTACCTCGGGTTACAGATGCTTCAGGTTACAGACTCCGCTAACCCAAAAAAATATCTTAGGTTAAGAACTTTGCTTCAGGATGAGAACAGAAATCGTGCCGCAGCGACACGGCGGGCCCCATTAGCTAAAGTGGTGCTTCAGGTTAAGAACAGTTTCAGGTTGAGAACAGACCTCCAGAACGAATTAAGTTCTTAACCTGAGGTACCACTGTACCCAAAACAAATTTAGTTGGTCTCTAAGGTGCTACTGGAGAATTTTTTAATTTTTTTCGACTGTGTCAGACCAACACACCTACCTACCTGAATCTAGTATATCTTAGTCTATCTACTTTCCTCCTTTCATGACCTAGGCCTCCATGACTCCGCCTTTAGCCAATTCTCTTCTGACCTAACCATTCACTCCACATGAAAGAGTTCTTTTCTCTGGTATCCTCAGGAATATAGTCTCATCCCTTCTATATTACCTCTCTATGACCTCATCCTATCCCACGTATGTCAATACTATTTATACACCAATAAAACCAAAATAAACACTCATCAGCATTCAGGTAGGTAGCTGTGTTGGTCTGACACAGTTGAAATATATAAAAAAACAAAAAAACAGAGAAAGAGAAGCAGCCATATCCACTTTTTGACACATCCTCTGCTGGTTTGAAGCCCAGAGTTGTCTGAAGATGAATGCAGACTTTAGACCAGAAAAAGGTTAGCCACCCCTGCATTAGAAGTTAACACAAATGTGTAAGAAAATGGAGACCTTAATGCATTATATTGCACAGCAGGTTCAAGAACCAGTTTCTTATTGTAACCAAGGTCTAATCTATACTGGTGGGTTATAACGTTATAAAAGGTAAAGGTACCCCTGCCCGTACGGGCCAGTCTTGACAGACTCTAGGGTTGTGCGCCCATCTCACTTAAGAGGCCAGGGGCCAGCGCTGTCCAGAGACACTTCCGGGTCACGTGGCCAGCGTGACAAAGCTGCATCTGGCGAGCCAGCGCAGCACACGGAAACGCCGTTTACCTTCCCGCCAGTAAGCGGTCCCTATTTATCTACTTGCACCCAGGAGTGCTTTCGAACTGCTAGGTTGGCAGGCGCTGGGACCGAGCGACGGGAGCGCACCCCGCCACGGGGATTCGAACCGCCGACCTTTCGATCGGCACGCCCTAGGCGCTGTGGCTTTTACCCACAGCGCCACCCGCGTCCCTGTTATAACGTTATAAATGCATTATATAAATGTGACACCAGGAGGCGCTGTATAGCAGTCAATGAAAACTGCATTGAGAGCTACAACTTTTCTCTTTTCTTAGCGTTTTTTAAGATCAGTGTAGATCCAGCCTTAGTGTGGTAAAGGGCAACTTACCGCTCAGGTGACTCTTCGTAAATACTGTGGCAATCTGTATTTTCTAACATTAGACTTCGAGTAAGATTCTGTACTCCTGGGTAATGGAAGTTAGCGAAGGAATGAGACATGGGAGATGTTTTTGTCCCAAGATCTGTGATGCGTTTTTCATTAATTGTCAATCCACAGGAGAGTCCATCCAAGGCAGGGTTCAAGGAACGCGTCATGTAAGCATCAGCAGATTGAGGCCTCCTCATGGGTGAGGATGGGTAAGGAGAAAGTTTACTGATGAGGGGAGTCAAAAGGTCAGCATAGGCGGCTTTTGTAGGTTTTAGGAGTTTATCAACATGAATATTCAGCATCTTTTGTTCAAAAGCGCAAGAAAAAATAGTAGAGGGCAGATTCTGAAGCCATGACAACAAACTAAGGTCCAAGTCATCGCACCCATTACCACATAAAAGGTCAATGCCGAGCAACACTTCACTCTCCGTAATTTCTTCTCCTGTTGCTTTACTCTGACAAAACTCCACACAACATTCATACAATAGCCCCTTCATCACAAGCTGAAACAAACGATTGTTGCTTGCTTTAAAGCCAGCCTCACTTAGTTTTCTATCAGCAGGAATGAACTCAGCTACCATGACGCAAGCCTCTTCAAAACAGTGAACTCGTGCGGTGCTTGGGTTCCAGTCTTTGAATTCTGCATGGTTGGTCAGACGAGGCAATGTGAGAAGTAAACACAGTTTGCTATAGTCTTCTTTAGAAGGACAATATTCTTCCAGAGCATGTAGGCACTGTACAGCCTCTTTCATTGTAAATTCCAACTGAAAAAGAGAGTACCCCTATTTAAGGCTAAAATAATGCTTTTTTTCATACATAGCTGCACAAAGATACAGGCAGATAAATTACTTTGCTATTCACCTATTAATAATCAATTGCAGTTTTATGAGTGTCATCTTTCCCCACATATGAAAATACAGCTTCAACTTGTGTGACCAATAAAATGCTGTTCAACCGAACATTTTTCTATGATATCTAGTGATGGCACAATTTGTTTTCTAGATAGTTTCCTAGGTCAAGTTTCAGACATCTTGGCATAAGTGCCATTTCTTTAAACATTGATTAAGGTTTGATACCTAGGTCACTTTTTTCCCTACTCCAACTTGCATCCAGCACCAGATACATCCACCTTGACACCTTAATTTTACAAGGCACAGTTCAGCCCCACGATAATGAGTTGTGAATCACTGTATCAAGTGCTCTTCAGTTTTTACTTTCTACACAGATATCCTTGCGTTACAGTTCTTAAAACAAAAATGTAAGACTTGAAAACAAACTTTAAGAAAGACTTGATTGCCTTCTAAAAAGGAGAATACAATTGTATTTTCTACGTTTAGCTAGAGTGCTGTGATTAGATCACAAGGCTTACATGTTGAGGCTCATCTTCTGCAGACATTGCATTGTTTACACATAAGGCTTCTAGAAACTTCTGCTGCAGTATGATATAGCGAAACCTATGCACAAGAAAACAGAAATAAAACTGATGTAACAGTGTAAATTAATGTGAACTTTGGTACAAAATTATAGCAGTTAACTGGGACTGCTGTTCCTGAAATTTTGGAAGATCATGTTCTAACACAGGGTTGGGGAAGGTTTAAGCATGCATGGGTTTCAATTTGGTCCACAAGGCAATTGTTGTTGTTGTTGCTGCTGCTGCTGCTGCTGCTGTTAATTTATATACCGCCCTATTCCTGGAGGTCTCAGGGCGGTTCACAGAACAAAATCAAAATATGAAACCACAAAATAAATAATCAAAATAAAAACAACAGCCCAATAACCCCCCTCCCAAAAAAACCCCACATTTTAAAAGGGCATAGGATATTAATCAAATCAACCAAAGACCTGGTTAAAAAGGAACGGTTTTGCCTAGTGCCTAAAGGTGTATAATGGAGGTGCCAGGCGAACTTCCCTGGGGAGAGCATTCCACAGACAGGGAGCCACTGCAGAGAAGGCCCCTTGTCATGTTGTCACCCTCCGGACCTCTCGGGGAGGAGACACACAAAGAAGGGCCTCAGAAGATGATCTCAGGGGTCCGGATATGTTCATAATGAAAGAGGCAGTCCTTGAGATACTGTGGTCCTGAGCCGTTTAAGGATTTATAGGTCAAAAGCAGCACTTTGAATTGGGCCCGGACACTAATTGGCAGCCAGTGCAGTCGGACCAGGATCAGTATAATATGCTCAAACCGTCTTGCTCCGGTGAGCAACCCGGCCACTGAATTCTGCACTAGCTGAAGTTTCTGAACCGTCTTCAGAGGCAGCCCTACATATAATGCATTGCAGTAATCTAACCTTGAGGTTACCAGAGTATAGACAATAGTAGTTAGGCTATCCCTGTCCAGATAGGGGTGTAGCTGGGCCACCAGCTGAAGTTGATGGAAGGCACTCTGGGCCAGAGGCCACCTGAGCCTTGAGCGACAGCAAAGAATCCAGGAGTACCCCTGGAGCTATGAACCTGCTGCTTCAGAGGAAGTGCAACCCCATCAAGAGCAGGCGATCTCCCACCCATCCGGTCTAGGGAACCACCCACTAACAGTGCCTCAGTCTTATCTGGATTGAGTTTCAGTTTGTTGGCTCTCATCCAGTCCATTACCGAGGCAAGACACTGGTCCAGCACTTCCACTGCCTCACCTGCAGATGTAAAGGAGAAATAGAACTGAGTGTCATCAGCATACTGCTGACAACGTACTCCGAACCTCTGGATAACCCCACCCAGCGGTTTCATGTAGATGTTAAACAATGTGGGGATAGGATTGAGCCCTGTGGAACCCTACATTGAAGATTTCACAGGGCTGAAAAGCATTCCCCAAGCAACACACCCCGGGAAAGACCATCCAAGTAGGAATGGAACCACCGCAAAGTGGTGCCACCCACCCCTAGTTCGGACAGTCACTCCAGAAGGATACCATAGTCAATGGTATTGAAAGTCGCTGAGAGGTCAAGAAGAATTAACAGGGACATGTTTCCCATGTCTCTTTCTCGACAGAGGTCATCATACAGGGTGACCAAAGCAGTTTCTGTGCCAAAACCAGGCCTAAATCCCGATTGAAATGGAGAAATGGATCCAGAAATTCAGTTTCTTTCAAAAAGCGCCTGGATCTGGTTTGCGACCACTCACTCCAGAACCTTGCTCAGGAAAGGGAAATTAGCAACTGGCTGGCAGTTAGTTAGGTTTTCCAAATCCAGGGAAGGTTTCTAAAGGAGTGTTTTTACCACTGCTTCCTTCAAACAGGCAGGGAACACCTCCTCTTGTAAAGAGGCACTGATCACCTCCCTGGCCCAGCCAGCTGTTCCCTCCCTGCTGGTTTTTATCAGCCAAGAGGGGCAAAGGTCTAGAGCGCAAGTGGTTGCCCTGACTGATCCGAGCACCTTGTTCACATCCTCGAACCTTACCAACTGAAACTCATCCAACACAACAGGACTAGAGTGTGCTCTGGACACCCCATGAGATTCATCTGCTATAACAGCAGAGTCAAGGTCTGGGTGGATGCAAGCGATTTTATCCTCAAAATGCTTTGCAAACAAGTCACAGAGAGCTGCCGTTGGATCTATCACCTCCTTTGGGCCAGCTGTAAAAGGCCCCATACAACCTGGAAAAGCTCTGCTGGGCGACATAATGAGGATGCAATGGAGTCAGCAAAATATGCCTTCTTTGCTACCTTTGCTACCTTCACTGCCACTAGGTAGGCTCGATAATGAGCCCTTATCAGTGTTCGGTTGCATTCATTCAGATCTTTCCTTCACTTGTGTTCAAGCCGTCTCCCAGCTTGTTTCCTCGCCCTAAGATCTGGAGTATACCAGGGGCCAAACACTCAGGGAGAGGGCACTCGGGGGTGATCCTGTCAATAGCCCAAGCCATCTGGGTTTTTCAGAGGTCGGACAGGGCTTTGACAGGGGCACCAGTCATCTCTGCCAGAAAACATCCTAGAGTCATTTGGAATCCCACTGGATCCATCAGCCTCCAAGGGCGGACCTTCCTAATAGGTTCCCTGCCTCTGTGGAGGGGAAAAGGTGCTGACAGCCTAAATCTCAACAGGAAGTGATCTGACCATGACAAGGGACTGATGTCAATATCCCCCAACTTCAAATCACCCTGTTCCTGCCCAGTCGAGAAAACAAAGTCCAGAGTGTGGCCTCCCATGTGCCATGGGCCAGTGACATGTTGGGACAGCCCCATGTTTCCCTCAAGTCAAGCCTCCCTTCATATGTGACAACAGGCATATGGCAGGCAGAGGTGTGGCTGGATTGGTTGTGTAACAGAGCTTGATGACGTAGCCTATCCCTGCAGAAAGCAGAGTTGAATCCACAGCCCATCAGCTGAATTCAAGCCTGCCAGATCAGCTGTGCAACTCAGTTCCCCATGGGGAGGAGAGCTTGGCTGCACAGCTGATGCCTGCAGAAAACAGGGCTGAAGCCTGTACTCAGTGCATCTGAAGCTGAGTATACAGCTAACAAAGCCCCTTGTGCTACTGTTCCCCAGCACCTAACAACCAGCTGGCTGTTGGAAGCCTAGAAAGCACTGAGCAACAGACTTTGACAGGTGGGTGAACCAAGCCAGCTGTCAATCATCATCATGGCATTAGGTGAATTGACAAGTGGGTTCTCCTGCTCACCTGTCAAAGTTGGCCCAAAGTAGGGACAAATAAGGATCTAGCCCACTGCACCAAAAAGGTTCTCTAATCATTGTTCCTTTGTTATCCCAGATCCTAACTATGAGAGCTTATCCAAACACTGCTATTTTGTTTCTACTTGTGTAATGGAATTTTAGTGAGAGCTGTGATGAAAATGTGTTATTCTTATAGAGTTAATTGAGAAAAGCTTGTAAGGAAGAATGCAATGCAGATATAGACACTGCAACAGTTCTGAAACTGTATGAAGGCTGAGTGCATGTTTAATTGTTGTGTTGCATAAATGGGATTGCCATGGTATTGAAAAATTACTATAAATTTACCTTTTCTTATCAAATTTGTCCATGCACTCCAAAGGTTGGATGAACTGAAGAACCTCATCCCACTGACCATCAAGGATCAACTGTCTTTTGAGAGAGAGAGAGAGAGAGAGAGAGAGAGAGAGAGAGATCTATTGAATTCTGCTGGACTTTCAATTTAGGTTTTAAGCTAACCAAAACATCCCTTCCCTCAACTACAGCAGCTGACCAATCAGCTTTACAAAGTCATTGCTTTACAAAGTAGTTAAGAAGATTATTTACTAATTTAAATAGAAAAAGGTAAAACCTTTTTACAGGAAGTCAGAAAATTGTCACCCTCCTCTTTCTGTTAGCAGAGGTGTCCGCTGGATCAAAGGACTGAAAGTCACAACTGGATGCAATATAATTTGTATTGCCTTGTGCTGAACAGTATTATCTGGTAAAAGTTAGGTGGCTCAAAAATGTAAACTGACAATAATCTAATAATGTATTAATGCATGTTTCAGATACTTATAGGTATAGCATTACACTTGGCATGTCTTGCAGCCAAGTGCTTAAAAGGGGTTATGGATAAATTTTATTCAGTACACATACAGAAATGGATAACAAGTCAGTCAAGATACTGTAAAGCCCAAGATGGATCAAAGCATTTTAAAGGCATGGACGTGAGTTTAAACAACAGCAACAAAAATGTGAGCTTTGTTTGAACAGTATCCTTAATACTATGATAATTATTTTTACCTTAAGAAAAGCATATCATCTGAGAACAGTCCATTAATTACTCCACTTTCTTTCTCCAGAGCCAACATACTGATATGAAGTTTTCTTGAATTCAAAAAATCCAGTATTAGCTTGACTATTTCAGCTTCTTTTACATTCACTGTCTCTTCTGCCGTCATTGTGAAAGACTGGAAAGAAGAAGAAAAAGCTACATATAAAATTGGGATTGACCTGCATCTTGTTAGCAAACAGACATCGTCAAATGCATTTTTTTCTTTGTTTACATGAAACATGCTACAGCTTGGTAGTACGCTTAACCACTAAAGTTTATGCAGCTCAATGTAGCATCACTAATAAAAGGTAAAGGTACCCCTGCCCGTACGGGCCAGTCTTGACAGACTCTAGGGTTGTGCGCCCATCTCACTCAAGAGGCCGGGGGCCAGCGCTGTCCGGAGACACTTCCGGGTCACGTGGCCAGCGTGACATTGCTGCTCTGGCGAGTCAGAGCCGCACACGGAAACGCCGTTTACCTTCCCGCTAGTAAGCGGTCCCTATTTATCTACTTGCACCCGGGAGTGCTTTCGAACTGCTAGGTTGGCAGGCGCTGGGACCGAACAACGGGAGCGCACCCCGCCGCGGGGATTCGAACCACCGACCTTTCGATCAGCAAGCCCTAGGCACTGAGGCTTTTACCCACATTACCCACATGAAATTAGCATCACTAATAATTTGGCCCAATTGTACAGCTAGCAGTTCAGCTTCATACAGAGGGCTACGAATATCAAGGGCAGATTATGTTTTACTTAACTATGTTTCAGTTTACAAGCGTTTAGTAGCATAAAGAACATTTGAACAACAGCTCCTTTAGAAAAAAACTCAATATGCGTTAAAGCAGAGTATCTGGCTATTCAGAAAGTGGACATTTTGTTGGTTACATTGGGGGGGGGGGCGGGACCCCATAACAGTAATCTACTTTAGAATTATTAATATTATTAAGCAAAAATAATTGTTAATTTTACCATGAATTATCAGCATGATTGAATAACGTAACAATCTTGCAAACTGCTACCTGCATTTTATCAAAGTGCCACTTGCGTGCTATGGAGTATTTCTGCCTACATTTTTGTTTTAGCAAATTAATATTTAAGATCCAGGCAAAAACATTACTTAATATAGACTTCATGTGATTTGGCCTTTCCTATCGTATGCTCCAAATCAAATCCAAAGATCAAGTAAATGTGCACTATCAATAATACCATCTGTGCATTATGCACTAACAAAATGAAACAAAAAAGAGAAAGGGGGGATTTTCAGTGGCTGCTGCAACATTCACTTTCTTTTGAATATTATTTTTTGATAAACTATGAACAATACTTTTTCTGTTTAAGTTCCTGCAGAAGGTTAAAGGAAGGAGTAAAAATCATTGTATTTATTGATTTTTTTAGATTTGTAGCTGCTTCTCAGTTACTTGTCTCAAGAATGGAATACAGATTGAAATCTTACACTGAGTAATACAAAATGACCATTTCGACCACACATCTCCTTACCACTTGACAGGATATAAACTAGTATGCCAAGTATTAATATGCATACTGTTTTCATTTACCATTTGCTTAATGAACTGTTTGTATCTGCCAACTGTATATGAATCTGTATTTGAAACTTAGTCATTTGTGTTCTAACAGTAAGGTTTCAAATCTCTTATTTAAAATTCTGTTTGAATAAATGTTTCACAAGTCCCTCTGCCCAGCACTTGATACAGTCCTAAACCTCTGTATATATAGAAATTTTGAACTGGTTTCTTGCTGTTTTTCCTTCTTCCCATAATAAAGTCACATAAAAATGGTGATTAGCTGTCACTTTCCACTCCACATACACATAAACATGTGCATTTGTCACTTACAACATGATTTCCTACATGGAAATTATATCTGTAGGAAAAGAGTCTTGTGTGAAGTATTCCCAAGAGTGTTCATAAAAAGTCACTATTATGTATTTCATCTACAGAGATAGTCCATAAGGAGGAATCACTCTAGTGTTTGTAAAATGATAGTGAGAGGTAATGCTCATGGTATGCCAGACATGAAGATTTCATCCTGGGCATTTGTACTATTCTACTTCATAGTCTTCATGATTATTCTTTCCATGGTTGTGAGGGTCTCATTTAAACAGCATATCTAGCCCAGCAAACATACTGTTAATAGGTACTGAGCAATACAATACAAGTACTGAATCTTGGTAATCACAAATAATTCTTCATGTTTGAAAGGATTGCACTGTATTAAAAGAAGCATGTACATTTTGCTTAAGGCTGAAGACAGATCTAGAAAAAAGGGATCAATGGGTAAGCTGAAAGGAAGTACTGGAGAAGCTGCTTCTCTACTAGCAGATGGATGGGGCCAGAGTATACTTCTCTTTAATTCTGCAATTGCAGCAGTTTCCCAACCCTGACAAACTCCCTACTGGTCTTCCCTCCTTCCATTATGTTCTACCTGAAGAGTAGGGAATGTAGCTTCTTCAGCAGTCTTTAATCCTGTGGCAAACTGGGGTCACAGTGTGCTTGCCTTCAGCTCTGCAGTGCCAGGACAACTCCCATGATTCATTGTTAGTCACAGACATGTCAGTTTCCAGCACTGCTTTCTCCAACCCAGAACTTCAGAATCCCAATTGTAAGAACTCACAGGCAGAGTTGCAATTGAGACCAATGATGTAGGGATATGCACATGTCAATCTGGATGTGTTAATTAGTATGTCAGTTGTATTCTAGTACTGTAGTTATATTTCATTTCCTCGTTTGTGTTGCATTTTAAGTTTTGCAGCATTTCATGGCCTGTCTAGCATGCACTGTCTTTGTCAGAAACAAATGTGAGCTCAAAAAGATCCCGCCAGACACAATATCAATTGTCCAGGGAGTGAGATTTTGCATTAAATAGGACTGGCTCTAATCTGCAGTCAGATTTTAAGACACAGAAGGCTAGAATAAGAAGAATCACATATTGACATACACACCCATAAATCTGAGCCTATGCTCTTGGCTGACATATATGCGGGGTTGGGGTGGATAGAGGGAGAGAGAAAATAAGAAGCAGCTGGGCCACAGAAGGTGTTAGTCACAGAACACAAAACAACTCTTTGCTCAGTGTATGTGGAGGAGAAACCACAAAGACTCTGGGCAAGTGAGATGTCTTTCCCTCTTGAAGGCAGCTGCCCACATTTCATCATAATTGTTTCAGTTCCCATTAAGCATTTGGGACAGACATTTGATCCTTGGAGATATTCTCTGTATAGATGGGAACCTCAGAGGAACTAAACTGATTGACAATTGTAAGTACAAAAACTATATAATATTTTATCACAGCCTCTAAAATCGCTCCCCTTCTCCATCTCAAAAGATCCCAGATTTTTAGTAGTATTTTTAATGATACTATGACTTATCAAATAATTTAACAACCTCATTTTCAGGAATCATGTTTAGCTATCCACTAAGTTTCTTAGGATTAGGAGACTACAAATACATCTCATGTGAAACAGGATCCCAAAATTTCAATTTTACAATTTAGAGTAGTACAGATAACATACCTCCTGTGTTAGTAATTTTATTAAATATTTATACATGCTATTGATGCAGAAAGTGGTATGATATGCAATACGTTGCCAGGGAGTAGATTTACACTAAGCAGCAGCTTGAATGGGAGTGTCAACAGAAACCTTTTTACAAATTAGATGTCTTACACACTTCCCAATATGTAAGTAGAGCAGGCACCAATACCTTCCCTAAGTTGTATAGAAGACGAAATTTCAGCATGTGCAGCTTTTCTCAACCTTGCATTACAAACTCAATCTGCTGGAATTCCCTCTTCTACACAACAATCAAAGATGCATAAACCCTTTCTTCTCTTGTATCTGGTCACCCAGAGTAAGATTATTATAGACAGGCTCACTAGAAATTAGCAGAAGGCAATATTCTAAATTCCCTTAAGGAGGGTGCGATCATCAGTTCTATAACAGTAACTAAAAGACAGTGGTGGGAACCTCCAATCCAGCTTAATTAGGCCTGCCAGGACTCAGATGTTGGCTCACCAGGCCATTTGGGGCAAACCACATCCACCTTTTCTGGCCCAACATCGTAGGAAAGGTCAAGCATCAAAAAATTATTTGCATCAGCAAGTCAATACAGTGAAAGAAAAGGCATCAAATTCAGAAAGTACTGATTTTTTTATGCAAAGAAAGAATTTGGAACACACTCTGAATTCAAGTTAAGGATGCAAATAAATGATCTTCATTTTCAGAGAGCCACATCTCCCTAGGAAAGATAATAATAACAACAACAACAACAACAACAACAACAACAACAACAACAATTTATTATTTATACCCCGCCCATCTGGCTGGGTTTCCCCAGCCACTCTGGGCGGCTTCCATAGAAACCAAAAATACACTAAAATATCACAAATTAAAAACTTCCCTGAACAGGGCTGCCTTAAGATGTCTTCTAAATGTCAGGTACTTATTTATCGCTTTGACATCTGGTGGGAGGGTGTTCCACAGGGCGGGCGCCACTACCGAGAAGGCCCTCTGCCTGGTTCCCTGTAGCTTTGCTTCTCGCAATGAGGGAACTGCCAGAAGGCCCTCGGCGCTGGACCTCAGCGTCCAGGCAGAACGATGGGGGTGGAGACGCTCCTTCAGGTATACTGGGCCGAGGCCGTTTAGGGCTTTAAAGGTCAACACCAACACTTTGAATTGTGCTCGGAAACGTACTGGGAGCCAATGTAGGTCTTTCAAGACCGGTGTTATGTGGTCTCGGCGGCCGCCCCCAGTCACCAGTCTAGCTGCCGCATTCTGGATTAGTTGTAGTTTCCGAGTCACCTTCAAAGGTAGCCCCACGTAGAGCGCATTGCAGTAGTCCAAGCGGGAGATAACTAGAACATGCACCACTCTGGCGAGACAGTCCGCGGGCAGGTAGGGTCTCAGCCTGCGTACCAGGTGGAGTTGGTAGACAGCTGCCCTTGATACAGAATTGACCTGCGCCTCCATGGACAGCTGTGAGGCCAAAATGACTCCCAGGCTGCGCACCTGGTACTTCAGGGGCACAGTTACCCTATTCAGGACCAGGGAGTCCTCCACACCAGCCCGCCCCCTGTCCCCCGAAAACAGTACTTCTGTCTTGTCAGGATTGAACTTCAATCCA